TTTACATAGAGCACTGGAATCGGACAATTTATACATGAAATATAGCTATTATACTTCTAAAATAACATCGTGACTTCCTTGATATACGAGGGATGGTACATAAGGCTGATTTCTACGTCGTGACATCCTTGATATACGAGGGATGTTACATAAGCCTGATTTCTACGTCATGACATCCCTGATATACGAGGGATGGTACATAAGGCCGATTTCTACGTCATGCCATCCTTGATATACGAGGGATGGTACATAAGGCCGATTTCTACGTCATGCCATCCTTGATATACGAGGGATGGTACATAAGGCCGATTTCTACGTCGTTACATCCCTGATATACGAGGGATGGTACATAAGGCCGATTTCTACGTCATGCCATCCTTGATATACGAGGGATGGTACATAAGGCCGATTTCTACGTCATGCCATCCTTGATATACGAGGGATGGTACATAAGGCCGATTTCTACGTCATGCCATCCTTGATATACGAGGGATGGTACATAAGGCCGATTTCTACGTCATGCCATCCTTGATATACGAGGGATGGTACATAAGGCCGATTTCTACGTCATGCCATCCTTGATATACGAGGGATGGTACATAAGCCTGATTTCTACGTCATGCCATCCTTGATATACGAGGGATGGTACATAAGGCCGATTTCTACGTCGTGACATCCTTGATATACGAGGGATGGTACATAAGGCCGATTTCTACGTCGTGACATCCTTGATATACGAGGGATGGTACATAAGGCCGATTTCTACGTCGTGACATCCTTGATATACGAGGGATGGTACATAAGGCCGATTTCTACGTCGTGACATCCTTGATATACGAGGGATGGTACATAAGCCTGATTTCTACGTCATGCCGTCCTTGATATACGAGGGATGGTACATAAGGCCGATTTCTACGTCGTGACATCCTTGATATACGAGGGATGGTACATAAGGCCGATTTCTACGTCGTGACATCCTTGATATACGAGGGATGGTACATAAGGCCGATTTCTACGTCGTGACATCCTTGATATACGAGGGATGGTACATAAGCCTGATTTCTACGTCATGCCGTCCTTGATATACGAGGGATGGTACATAAGGCCGATTTCTACGTCGTGACATCCTTGATATACGAGGGATGGTACATAAGCCTGATTTCTACGTGATGTCGTCCTTGATATACGAGGGATGGTACATAAGGCCGATTTCTACGTCGTGACATCCTTGATATACGAGGGATGGTACATAAGGCCGATTTCTACGTCGTGACATCTACGTCGTGACATCCCTGATATACGAGGGATGGTACATAAGGCCGATTTCTACGTCGTAACATCTACGTCGTGGCATCCCTGATATACGAGGGATGGTACATAAGGCCGATTTCTACGTCGTAACATCTCTGATATACGAGGGATGGTACATAAGCCTTATTTCTACGTCATGCCGTCCTTGATATACGAGGGATGGTACATAAGGCTGATTTCTACGTCGTGACATCCTTGATATACGAGGGATGGTACATAAGGCCGATTTCTACGTCGTGACATCTACGTCGTGGCATCCCTGATATACGAGGGATGGTACATAAGGCCGATTTCTACGTCGTAACATCTCTGATTTACGAGGGATGGTACATAAGGCCGATTTCTACGTCGTGACATCTCTGATATACGAGGGATGGTACATAAGGCCGATTTCTACGTCGTGACATCCTTGATATACGAGGGATGGTACATAAGGCCGATTTCTACGTCGTGCCATCCTTGATATACGAGGGATGGTACATAAGGCCGATTTCTACGTCGTGACATCCTTGATATACGAGGGATGGTACATAAGGCCGATTTCTACGTCGTGACATCCTTGATATACGAGGGATGGTACATAAGGCCGATTTCTACGTCGTGACATCCTTGATATACGAGGGATGGTACATAAGGCCGATTTCTACGTCGTGCCATCCTTGATATACGAGGGATGGTACATAAGGCCGATTTCTACGTCGTGACATCCTTGATATACGAGGGATGGTACATAAGGCCGATTTCTACGTCGTGACATCCTTGATATACGAGGGATGGTACATAAGGCCGATTTCTACGTCGTGACATCCTTGATATACGAGGGATGGTACATAAGGCCGATTTCTACGTCGTGACATCCTTGATATACGAGGGATGGTACATAAGGCCGATTTCTACGTCGTGACATCCTTGATATACGAGGGATGGTACATAAGGCCGATTTCTACGTCGTGACATCCTCGATATACGTGGGATGGTACATAAGGCCGATTTCTACGTCGTGACATCCTTGATATACGAGGGATGGTATATTAGGTTGCTTATTAGCCGATATGACATTATTGATATACAAGAAAATGTTACCGCAGCCTGCTTTCAATTGCTTTCAACCGACATGTAATTCTTGATGTAAAAAGAAAATGTTATAGTGTTGTGCTGTACACATATATGATATGATAGACTAGTCTGGTATACAAGGAAATGACATGCAAGAAAATAGTATAACGGTTTCCGTCAAACGGACATGGCAGCCATGTTTGTTTACAGCTAATTTAAGCCGACTTATCATGTTTTACTAGTCCGGTGAAGATGACCATTAAAACTAACTTTAACAATCTGTTATTTTACTGGTCAGTAAAGGGATTCTGTAGGTTTTAGCCAGACATTCGTGCTAATACCCATTACGACTGTGCACAATAAAGATCAATAGTTCATCATGTCCCTACACAAACCGCCAAAACGCCTGTCAGGGTGTAAGCTGCCCTCTATGCTACTTACCATGCAGTGTAAAGAAATGGTCCAGCAGTATCGTTGCCCGGGATATCCGGAATTCGGTGTAGAATAGGCTCCCTCAATTCAAAATATGTTTGTCAGCCAGCCCGTCGGATAGCTGGTTTGACGTCCTTGTATCTGTTTCTGGCCTGGGGAAAAACTATCGATTATCAGGAAGAATATTGCTACTGCTGCCTCACTGCTGTCCTGATTTCTCCTACGTATACGCATGAATCATACATGTGACCTTACTGCTACACAGTTTTACTCAAAACAATTAAGATTATACATTTTTTTTGAAATGTTGTATATTGTATAATGTATATTGTGTTGTTCTTTTCGTGGTCTTAAGTTGAAATATATTTGCATGTTTCCAATATGTTATATATATGTGTGTACAGAGTTATTATGTCAGATAGTTACAAAATAAATATTTCACGTCTGTTACTTAAACTATTATTACTACTAGTTGTACCCTTTATTTGTCGCCTCTTTAGAATTATATACATTTGGAAATATGTTGCTAAAATGAATGTAAAATATCATTCATGTTCGATAAAACCAAGAGAGTAACTTATGACGTGGAAATCTTTGAAGAGATGACTAGCTGTAAAGAAATTTGACAGCCTAATACAACCTAGGCCTAGACTGATGACGTCACATATCTTTGTTAGCAGTCAAACGACTAGACTGATGACATCACATGTCTTTGTTAACAGTCAAACGACTAGACTGATGACATCACAGGTCTTTGTTTACTGTCAAACGACTAGACTGATGACATCACATGTCTTTGTTTACTGTCAAACGACTAGACTGATGACATCACAGGTCTTTGTTTACTGTCAAACGACTAGACTGATGACATCACATGTCTTTGTTTACTGTCAAACGACTAGACTGGTGACATCACATGTCTTTGTTTACTGTCAAACAACTAGACTGATGACATCACAGGTCTTTGATTACTATCAAACGACTAGACTGATGACGTCACAGATCTTTGTTTACTTTCAAATGACTAGACTGATGACATCATAGATCTTTGTTTACAGTCAAACGACTAGACTGATGACATCATAGGTCTTTGTTTACTGTCAAACGACTAGACTGATGACATCACAGGTCTTTGATTACTATCAAACGACTAAACTGATGACGTCACAGATATTTGTTTACTTTCAAGCGACTAGACTGATGACGTCACTGATCTTTGTTTACTGTCAAACGACGTTACTTATAACATCACAGATCAGCATTTACTGTCACATTGCCGACAAAATTTATAACATCGAGTCACGTCTTAACCTCAATATAACAAGGAGAATAAATTATTCAAATCAGTGGTCCTTATTAATTATATTTTGATTGGCTAAAGGCTAACAATTATTGAAATGATAAAATCGTCAATTTTTCATAATTATTCTGTATGTATAATGAAAACTCTGATCTTTAAAATATGCTGGTCACTTTTAATCATATATGTAATGCTAGCAATTGCCACTACATACGGAGGAGAATTAATGGTCACTCTGATAAAAAAGTAATGTCATTCATAGATGGGGTATATACCTTGTTGAATACGAAATAGTTGTCGTTACAGTAAATTCAGGTTCGAACCTTAAGATGGACAACAATAGTACAGCAAAATGACTTAGGAAGTCTGACAGGTATAGACTAGTCTACACCTAAAATTAATCCAAAGTCAGGGATTTAACAGATCTTTGTGGTGACAGTATGACAAAACCAGGTTTACCTATATAGATTTATTATATAGCCTCTTAGCTATACCCCATAAACTCATTAACTCCGCAGTGCGGACGTTTGGCAGTGTTCGGATTACTAACAGTATCGTTAGTTTGACCGGTGGACTGTACTAACACTATTAAAAGTAGTTCAATACAACATTCGAGTTGATTAATGAAATGTTTGTTTTACTACTTAAACTTTATCTCACATCGTTATATATTCAATAAATACGATAAATTTCGTTCACTTGATAATCCATGATTTCAAAGCAGTTATTCGATGAGGTTGATATAGTAAAGCTTCCTATCCGTATGGTAAATGCACTTGATTCAGGTTATCTCCCTTGTCAGAACTCTTTTCGTGTAAACAACCAGTTGTTAGGTTGGTGAGAAATGGTAATGTTCGAGTCTTTGGTGAGGACAGAATGATTCATCCCAGTCCAAGATGACATGGGTGCTACATGCAGCAGTGGAGGAACTAAGACTTTGTCCGTTAACCTCTCTTACACGGAGTTAGATTACCCACAAAAGATTCTGATGGTGGGACCCAGTGGAGCAGGTGCGATGTATAATTATTTTTTATAATAGAATTTGATATGCTGTACACTGCCGATTTGTTTAAGAAGTGTATGATTCCCTCAAAAAGTTGAGTGGTAAGCTGACACAACGTCGAAATTATATCGATATACCGATCGATGAGTGGCTAACATCATTATTGGCGATGTAGACCCTATTTTTACCGAACTGTACACTTACATTAGCTACAGAAACGTGTCTGGTAAAATCTTACTTCTTGTGTATGTAACTATCCCGGGTATAAAATAGATACATGCATGATACTGTATCTGGACGAACTGGGTCACTAGGGTTAAAGAGGGTTGGACCGCTTTACTTTTATAATGGAAAATTACCTACATCTAAATAAGATCGATATTTTGGAAATTTACCACACGAACCATAACAAATGATAGAGCATTGATGAAACACACGTGAATGTCAGTCCGAATTCTACAGACCCATCTGGACTCCATAGATCATCAGAATAATTCAGATTTTCTACATATACTGCCTACATAACTGCAATACTGATTTCAATGTCAAAAGCGGACACATCACGTGTTCAAAACATACGTTATTTTGATACAACGACATGCCTTCTATTATATGATAAAGATGTAATCAGACATCTTCAATAGAACAGATATATCCTACTATGCTAAGCAGAACGTGTGATGAAGTATATATTATATTTCCTGAAATAACTGTAAGCATCAGATGGTAATGTAATTGTAATCACAAGAATACACCTGTATTACTACGCCTAAAATCAATAAACACGGTCTCGGCATCAGGGTATATTACCAACAAAACAAAGCATCCGTTGTATTGGTACAGTGGCCCATTGTAACCAGTCTACACTGGTGTGTGTTGGAGGACGGAAATCCGAAACAAAATAATCATTCTACGTATGTACAGTGGCTATTATTGGTTTATTTATAAGAAAGAAACAGTGTCGTATTTTTTTTTATTATGCACGTACATTATGGGAGGTGGGAGGAGGAGGGAGTGTTTATTTGAAAGCAACAGTGTCGTATTTTTTATTATACACGTACATTGGGGGAGTGGGGAGGAGGAGGGAGTGTTTATTTGAAAGCAACAGTGTCGTATTTTTTTTTTATTATACACGTACATTGGGGAGGGGGAGTGTTCATTTGAAAGCAACAGTGTCGTATTTTTTTTAATTATACACGTTAACTGTTGGAGGGGGGAGTGTTTATTTGAAAGCAACAGTGTCGTATTTTCTATCATACACGTACATTGGGGAGGGGGGAGTGTTTATTTGAAAGCAACAGTGTCGTATTTTTTTTATCATACACATACATTGGGGAGGAGGGAGTGTTTATTTGAAAGCAACAGTGTCGTATTTTTTTTTATTATACACGTACATTGGGGAGGGGAAGTGTTTATTTGAAAGCAACAGTGTCGTATTTTTATCATACACGTACATTGGGGAGAGGGGAGGAGGAGGGAGTGTTTATTTGAAAGCAACAGTGTCGTATTTTTTTTTATTATACACGTACATTGGGGAGGGGGGAGTGTTTATTTGAAAGCAACAGTGTCGTATTTTTTATTCAACACGTACATTGGGGGAGTGGGGAGGAGGGGGAGTGTTTATTTGAAAGCAACAGTGTCGTATTTTTTAATATACACGTACATTGGGGAGGGGGGAGTGTTTATTTGAAAGCAACAGTGTCGTATTTTTTATTCAACACGAACATTGGGGGAGTGGGGAGGAGGGGGAGTGTTTATTTGAAAGCAACAGTGTCGTATTTTTTATTCAACACGTACATTGGGGGAGTGGGGAGGAGGAGGGAGTGTTTATTTGAAAGCAACAGAGTCCTTTTTTTTTATTATACACGTACATTGGGGAGGGGGGAGTGTTTATTTGAAAGCAACAGTGTCGTATTTTTTATTCAACACGTACATGGGGGGAGTGGGGAGGAGGAGGAAGTGTTTATTTGAAAGCAACAGTGTCGTATTTTTTTTTATTATACACGCACATTGGGGAGGGGGAGTGTTTATTTGAAAGCAACAGTGTCGTATTTTTTTTTATTATACACGTACATTGGGGAGGGGGGAGTGTTTATTTGAAAGCAACAGTGTCGTATTTTTTATTCAACACGAACATTGGGGGAGTGGGGAGGAGGGGGAGTGTTTATTTGAAAGCAACAGTGTCGTATTTTTTATTCAACACGTACATTGGGGGAGTGGGGAGGAGGAGGGAGTGTTTATTTGAAAGCAACAGAGTCCTTTTTTTTTATTATACACGTACATTGGGGAGGGGGGAGTGTTTATTTGAAAGCAACAGTGTCGTATTTTTTATTCAACACGTACATGGGGGGAGTGGGGAGGAGGAGGAAGTGTTTATTTGAAAGCAACAGTGTCGTATTTTTTTTATTATACACGCACATTGGGGAGGGGGAGTGTTTATTTGAAAGCAACAGTGTCGTATTTTTTATTCAACACGTACATTGGGGGAGTGGGGAGGAGGGGGAGTGTTTATTTGAAAGCAACAGTGTCGTATTTTTTTTATTATACACGCACATTGGGGAGGGGGGAGTGTTTATTTGAAAGCAACAGTGTCGTATTTTTTATTCAACACGTACATTGGGGGAGTGGGGAGGAGGAGGGAGTGTTTATTTGAAAGCAACAGAGTCCTTTTTTATTATACACGTACATTGGGGAGGGGGGAGTGTTTATTTGAAAGCAACAGTGTCGTATTTTTTATTCAACACGTACATTGGGGGAGTGGGGAGGAGGGGGAGTGTTTATTTGAAAGCAACAGTGTCGTATTTTTTTTATTATACACGCACATTGGGGAGGGGGAGTGTTTATTTGAAAGCAACAGTGCCGTATTTTTTGTTTATTATACACGTACATTGGGGAGGGGGAGTGTTTATTTGAAAGCAACAGTGTCGTATTTTTTTATCATACACGTACATTGGGGGAGGGGGAAGGAGGAGGAGTGTTTATTTGGAAGCAACAATGCCGTATTTTTTTTTATCATACACGTACATTGTACACCTGTTTTGTATACGGCGATATAATCTAATACATAGTTATGACTAGAGCTCGAGCATTTCAGTCATACAGGCTCTACAAAAAGGATCAACAGTTAAACCTCGGAGGATTTTATATCGCTGAATGAAAATTTCAAAATTTTCGCACGCCATCAAGATTAACAAGTAATATGTAAATAAAGTACAAATGTATCACTGCAACACAGTTTTTTACATGGCATTAAGAGAGACATAGATCAGTATTGTTAAAATCAATTTCATAGTTAATGTTTATGGTCAAAGGATTTTTTCGGGACTTGAAATGGTAGGATGGGTTTTTACAAAGGAAAGCAGTTCTTGTTACATATAACGATGTGTCGTTTTTATGTGTAGGTAAAACTCACTTGCTATACTCGTGGAAGCTGGGATGTAACAATGTAGTAGAGCCAGTCAAAACATCTGATTTCAATGTGGAACAAGTCCAAGCAACAACAAGTGGTCAGTCTTTCGTGGTGTTTGATCTTAGCGGTTCCCCGAGCTTCAGAGTAAGACGACGACAGTTCTACCATGGCACAGAAGGTAGGTGTTGGTGCGTCGCTCAGGTGAGACGACGACAGTTCTACCATGATACAGAAGGTAGGTGTTGGTGCGTCGCTCGGGTGAGATGACAACAGTTCTACCATGGCACAGAAGGTAGGTGTTTGCGCGTCGCTCGGGTGAGACGACGACAGTTCTACCATGATACAGAAGGTAGGTGTTGGTACGTCGCTCGGGTGAGATGACGGCAGTTCTACCATGACACAGAAGGTAGGTGTTGGCGCGTCGCTCGGGTGAGACGACGACAGTTCTACCATGATACAGAAGGTAGGTGGTGTTGGTGCGTCGCTCGGGTGAGATGACGGCAGTTCTTCCATGATACTGAAGGTAGGTGTTGGTGCGTCGCTCGGGTGAGACGACGACAGTTCTACCATGGTACAGAAGGTAGGTGTTGGTGCGTCGCTCGGGTGAGATGACGGCAGTTCTACCATGATACAGAAGGTAGGTGTTGGTGCGTCGCTCGGATGAGATGTCGGCAGTTCTACCATGGTGCAGAAGGTAGGTGTTGGTGCGTCGCTCGTGTGAAATGACGACAGTTCTACATGACACAGCAGGTAGGTGTTGGTGCGTCGCTCGGGTGAGACGACGACAGTTCTACCATGATACAGAAGGTAGGTGTTGGTGCGTCGCTCGGGTGAGATGACGGCAGTTCTACCATAATACAGAAGGTAGGTGTTGTTGCGTCGCTCGGCTGAGATGTCGGCAATTCTACCATAGCACAGAAGGTAGATGTTGGTGCGTCGCTTGGGTGAGATGTCGGCAGTTCTACCATGATGCAAAATGTAGGTGTTGGTGCGTCGCTCGGGTGAAATGACGACAGTTCTACATGACACAGCAGGTAGGTGTTGGTGCGTCGCTCGGGTGAGACGACGACAGTTCTACCATGATACAGAAGGTAGGTGTTGGTGCGTCGCTCGGGTGAGACGACGACAGTTCTACCATGATACAGAAGGTAGGTGTTGGTGCGTCGCTCGGGTGAGATGACGGCAGTTCTACAATAATACAGAAGGTAGGTGTTGTTGCGTCGCTCGGCTGAGATGTCGGCAGTTCTACCATGACACAGAAGGTAGGTGTTATATTTAGTCAGAATCAGGAAATGTACAACCTCCTTAAACATGTATCCCATCCTAACATATAGCCCTCTGTACATTTCAAACGTTTACTCAGTTAATAATGGCATACCAAGGCTTATTTCTTTAATAAATTCTGATCCTTTATTGCCTCTTGAAATATGCCTGGTGTACCCATCTTAGTACATTGAAGCGTTCATAGAATACATTTATTTTCAAATCCAATTAACATAAGGAGTCCTTGTTAAAAGGGACAGTAAAACTCTGTGGAAAAATTCATTGATTACGACCAGTATCCGATTTTTCTGATTTGTTTTAGGTATCGTGTTCGTGGTAGACAGTACATGTTTGGGAACTAAGGAGATGGACGATGCCAAACAGGACCTTGTCAGTGTGCTCCACGACCGGGACCTTATCAACACTCCATTACTAATCATAGGCAACAAACAGGACCTATCGGGTAACTGGGAAAAACATTCTATTTCACCTACATCGCATTGGAATCCATTGTGAAGCTAGGATAGAATATACCTGCTTTGTCTCGCAGCATGTTGTGCTCTGAGCAGAATTGAGGGAAGTCATTCCATATCGTATGGTTCCTCCCTTATCGTATGGTTCCTTCCATATCTTATAGTTCCTTCCATGTCGTATGGTTCCTTCCATGTCGTATGGTTCCTTCCATATCTTATGGTTCCTCCCATGTCGTATGGTTCCTTCCATGTCGTATGGTTCCTTCCATGTCGTATGACTGTTAATAAAGAGGCGACTTGTGGCCTCTACAGAAATCTTTTTGTCATTTTCACAACTAAGACATCAGGAGATCAAAATTGTCATGCTGCTGTCCAGAGTAGTGGGGCAGTTGTCCTTTAGTTTTTTCCCCGTCTCCTCTGTCATGGCTGTACTTTGTTAATATTCTGTTAGCGTTACTCTGGAACCTTTTATTGGTGTAGTTACGTTCCTACAGAAACGAATCAATTAGAAAAAAGTGTCATTTTTTTAAATTAAGGGTTATTACACCTTCCCTCAGTTGTCTCGGATTTTTTATTTTCATAGCTGGCCTTATAAATCCAGATGTTAGACCCTCGATAACACTAACAAGTCCCTAAAAGACGAAACAGCTATATGGCATTCACTACATATAATCCTGAAGTTGTAATTGGTATTTCACCATACCATAAAACGTCTAATAATATTCCATTTACCCAGAATTGGTTCATTCTATATGTGTGCCATTATTTTCCTTATCTTATACTTCAACGCTTGCAGTGATGTACATGTAATTTCCATATTGATTATGATATTGCTTTGAATTCCAACACCCATTAAACAATTGACAGTATGGAAAACATAATCATGCTGGTCATCATCTGTTTGGTGTTACATGCCTGTAAATCAACTTAAACGAAAATAAATTGTCTGGAAACAAAATTGTAGTTTTATAGAATATAAAGTATTAGCAGACTTATGTCAGTTGAAAAAGAAATACACTTCTTGTCCATGTCTTGAGTCACTTGTTTTACAGTAAAGATATCTTTTCACACTGGTAGGGGCCTTATCTCTGGAGGACCTTGAGGCAGCACTTGGCCTGAAGGTGGCCATGACCACAAAAAGAGTTTGGAAGACGATGGAGGTCTGTGCCCTGAGTCAAGAAAGTGTTACTGCAGCGTTAGACACCCTTGTGCAATTAGTGGGATCATCGGAACTAGTCACAGCACGGACAAATATATCAACAGCTACAACCGAACTGGACACTTCCAGACCGGAAGTAGCGACTTCGAAATCAGATGTGGTTAAAATTGATGTGCCAAAAGCTTGGACGAAGTAGAAAATAACCTCTACTCTCATGTCAGTGATAAATATAAATTGTGCGTTATGTGAATTTCTCAATACACAAACAACATAAGCCGTAAGCTACTTCTGAGAAACGGCAGTAGCTCGACGGAACCAACTACAATAGATTACGCCTAAAGTCGATAACGTAGTGTTTTCGGCGATATATTGAAATGAACAGGACATTACCTGGAAATAGTGCATGTATACATGTGTATTTTAGTGTCTTCATTTAGACAGCATTTCTGCAATCAATCAAACACTTGAAACACAATGTGCTGAGAGATTATGTAGTAATGGATGTCCACGTATTCCGGATGTACGGCAAAACAAAATAATCCTGCTTACAGTTGATATACACTACATACAACAGCATTTTTACATTACATATGACTGGTAATACTCTCTATGACATATTTTGGTTGCTTGAGTTTCATAGGCAAACGAATCAAGGTACCTTATCATAATGGAGTTCCTGTGTAGTTTGATTATTGAAGCCCTAACAACTGTTTGTGGTGTTCATTAGATATGATTGGTCTGAATACATCGTATAAATAGTGTCCTTACTTTGTTGTCTTTACCCCGGTACACTACCAGTATCATCTTCGATCGCAATAGCCGGTGGTGCTGTACTCTCACTGACATAAAGGTACGTTATCAAAGACATTGGAAGAAAGCACATTTCGAGGGCAGAAAGGAGTCTTTACAATTGCATACATACTTATGGTACAATCTTATTTCATTTATTCATTTGAGTTTGTTTGTTTGTTTGTTTTTTTGTTTTTTTTTTACTTTTTATCATAATTAAATTGATAAAAAATAATAATAATGTTTAAATATTTCCGAAGTGTAAATGTTTACAAAACCTAGTATATTAGTTATTATTCAGTAGCACTCTTGGTAACTGATACTTGTGTTACAGTTTCCCGTTAGTTTGGACATTACCTGGCTATTATCAATCCCTATAGAATGAAGGAATCAGGTTTTAAAATACGTTTCGTTAGATGTGATTTAGCCGTATTTAAACAATAAACTCGATACTGTTTTGTAATACCATTTACAATACTTATAAAAGCTAACACTCCTGTGATAGTGTATTACACTCCTGTGATAGTGCCTGTGATAGTGTATTGCTCATTCAGAATATTTAGATACCTTATATTCAGGAAAGTATACATACCAGATTTTCAAAAAGATGTTTTTCAAAGAGAAGTCTGAAACGTGGTGCCAATGCCTTTAGGTCATGATAATCTTGTTCTTATCCCAGATTCAGAATTTCCCATTCTTAATTAAGGTTATAAAGGAATTGAACTTTTTACATAGAATAAGTGTTAACATCTTACCTATCATATCGTCCTGACAATAGCAGTATGGTATTTATCATGATTTGATTTTAATGTTTTTGACTTCAGTGAAGTAAGTGCTATATCATATATTTCTAGTGCAGCTTGTGGATTTACACAGCACAATGTTACTGATGTACACCATTGGTTTTACCTAGTTTTGTTGTCTAATGTTAATACAGATAATACAAATAAAACTGAAAAGAATAGCTTGTGTGTCATGTATGATGATATTTAAGTGCATGTCCGCCCGAAAACGTCGTGGAACAGATGTGTTGTGCATGTACGCCCGAAAACGTCGTGGAACAGATGTGTGGTGCATGTCCGCCCGAAAACGTCGTGGAACAGATGTGTGGTGCATGTCCGCCCGAAAACGTCGTGGAACAGATGTGTGGTGCATGTCCGTCCGAAAACGTCATGGAGCGGATGTGTGGTGCATGTCCGCCCGAAAACGTCATGGAGCGGATGTGTTGTGCATGTCCGCCCGAAAACGTCGTGGAACAGAGGTGTTGTGCATGTACGCCCGAAAACGTCGTGGAACAGATGTGTGGTGCATGTCCGCCCGAAAACGTCGTGGAACAGATGTGTGGTGCATGTCCGTCCGAAAACGTCATGGAGCGGATGTGTGGTGCATGTCCGCCCGAAAACGTCGTGGAACAGATGTGTGGTGCATGTCCGCCCGAAAATGTCATGGAACAGATGTGTGGTGCATGTCCGCCCGAAAACGTCGTGGAACAGATGTGTGGTGCATGTCTGCCCGAAAACGTCATGGAGCGGATGTGTGGTGCATGTCCGCCCGAAAACATCATGGAACAGATGTGTGGTGCATGTCCGCCCGAAAACGTCGTGGAACAGACTTCATTTTAAAGCTGAGAAAAGGTTCTATGCTGTAGTCATCTCAAAGTGGAGTTAGCGGGAATCAAAATTAAAGAAAATATAACAGAAATATTTAAAATGTGTATAATTATTTAAAAAAAACAACAACATACTCCTCATTTATTTTGCATACGATAATTTTAACAATAAACTGACATATGATAAACCCCCCCCCCCCCCCCCCCCCCCAGAAAAAAAGAGTTAAAAGACCCTATTGAAATAGAACAATTAAGAAATAATAAATAGCATTTTATTCAAATTCTATGGACCTGGTCCCTGGACAGGTGTTCACTCCAATGTCAGTCACCAGCAGTGTGATTGTGGGAGTCTTAGTAAAAACATGAAACTAAGAGATATTTTCATTCGTATTTTCATACATAAAAATATGCAGGGCGAATCTGCAAAATGACACAAGAAAATCAGGTGCACAATAAAAGTATATCTTGATATTTATATAAGTAATTCTTAAATAACATAATCCCACTGGCTACTTTCTTGAATTTTGGTGCATCAGGAATGAGGAAATCACAGCAAAACAAAGTAAGGTAATATACAATCGGATCTCACTTACAGGCGATTCTAATGAAATGCAGCATGCTGTTTGCCTTCACATTGAACATTCACATACATGTGCAGAGAAGGTAAACCTTTAATCCAATAACTGTTTGAAATTGATGCAGCAACAATCACATCATTCATGACAATAATGAAAACAAGTACAGTGTGACCTTGCTTGAAGTGCAAACTACTTTATCTTAAGTCCCATATTGCACCAGTCAAATACAAAGTTACACTCTCTTCATTTGCAGCAATGAGTCAACAAATCATATCTTCTGTCAACATGTTCTGTATTCATAACAAATGAGCCCAAATAAGCTTGATATTAGAACGAATGCCTCTGTAATGTACATTTTACAAAAATGTTACTATCTTGTAGCCTTATTAGGCTCTGCATGGCCATACGGACGTGCAATGATAACCACGGTGTCCGTTCTTCTGTCCGTCAGCAGTTTCGTTTCCAGATCACGGGTTCCGAAAGATTTTTTTTGATATGATAATACTTAATACTTGTATGCCACTTGTATGTAACAATTTCCCGTCATTTTAGGGCAATCGTTAAATAACATTAAACATTTAAAGCGTGTCAGACAAACAAACATTGCTTTCTCTTCAGTTTCATAAATTTGATATCTCAGAATTCAATCGTCATTGTCTTTACCAAATTTTGTATTACTATACTTTTCTGCTATACATAAACTGCTATACATAACAAACTGCTATACATAACAAACTGCTATACATTTCTGCTATACATAAAGTGCTATACATAACAAACTGCTATACATACCTGCTATACATAACAAACTGCTATACATACCTGCTGTACATAACAAACTGCTATACATGCCAAGCTACTAAACCTACCCAGCCAGAATACATAACAAGCTGCTGTTGAATTAATATCAAGTTGGGCGTTTCCCCAAAAATCTCTGTTGGTCGGCCGAAGCTCATTTCATTTTTCCTGCAAATGCACTTTGCCAAGGATATAAAAACACTGTGAAAGATCGTTTTCACATTCCATTTCATTTTACCAAATCCACACGAAACTGATTAAATAAGAGCTGCATCTTTCAAATTACTAAACTTTCATAATGGTACAAGATGGCCGTTTCCTTGCTGCTAATGCTTTGATAGATTTGGGCCGTTGCATGCTTGAAATTAGCTTCGATAACTAGATCCCTACAATAGTTCTTCTAGCATACTTGGGTGAGTATCTCTTTTGACAAGTCCCATGAGCCATGTGTTTGCCAACGGTACTGACCATTTTTTTTACTAATTAATCAAAACTATGCTATAAAGTCACTTTGCTGATATTTGGTCTTTGAATGAAAGTTGAATATTTTTCTTCTTTTCTGTGTTTTGCTCTCAATCATATCAAATACGAAAATGACTCTTCAATCATTGTTGAATTCAGGTTATTTTGCCTCGATTGTGTCAAGAGCTAGAAATCTGGTTTGCATTTTATTTACCCATTTTTAGAGCCCTTAAATTTGATTCAAAATGCTGTTTTCCAAAATTAATCACCTTTGGCATTTTGATAAGGAAATAATTTGAATAAACCACACACAGTAAGAAAACATGTATTTTATTGACATCTTGCCATATCTGATAAGCATGGAATAAAAAAGTTCCATATCAATCAATTCCTGTCACATATCAAATTCACATTCCTACATGTGTTTAAATTCTACACACCATCCCAATGTGTTTACATTCCCACATTCTGTCTCCATGTATTTATATTCCCACATTCTGTCTCCACATGTTTACATTCCCACATTCTGTCTCCACGTCTTTACATTCCCACATTCTGTCTCCACGTGTTTACATTACCACATTCTGTCTCCATGTGTTTACATTCCCACATTCTATTTCCATGTGTTTACATTCCCACATTCTGTCTCCATGTGTTTACATGCTCACACCGTTTACAAAGTCTCCCAATGTTTGTTTCCACGATGTTCAAACATACCAGGATAAAACTATGTACATCTACATCATATCTGTCTGAGTATAACAATCAATCACAACAGGTAGTCATTGGAATGAACAACAACAAAATCAGTCTCACCACTTAAAACATCTGTACTGTCATTGTTATAATTCACTTTCCTGCTCTACCTTGTCAGGCCACAATGAAACAATTATACCTGTACTATAACATTACTGTAATACATGATCTTCATACAGTAAATAATTTTACATCTACTGTTGCATTTATCCAACAGCCATACATGATCCTTCAGGAAAATTTGTTTGATAATCCATACCTTCTCACTTACATTAAAAAACAGAGTATTAATATATATGTGTACATTTGTCAGTCTAAGCTTCTCACATGGAAGTAGTTACCCTGTCACCAGAAATGACACTAGAGATGAAGATATATGTCACAATGACTAATGTTTGATCAGTGGTATCCAACCAACCAAAAGGTATACCACTACAAGTAGCTGAAATTTTACAGGATTCATGTCCTATAGATGCTAAAATTATGATGGAATAAGTCTGTATACTTTGGCAGACAGCATTCATCAAGAGATGTGTCAGTTTAATTAATGTAATTATGAAATAGTGCATGCATGCACAACGCGTTACTGATAGAGAGGATATGGACTGGAGTTGGAATCCATCATCCTCTTTTTGGAAGTGAAAGACAAACACAACAGCTGATACAATAATATTTATTGTATAAAAGATCATGTATTGCAGAAGTGTATGTTACAGTATCATACCTGTAACAGAACTTACAGCAACACACAACAACATTCTTCCCAGAGTGCAAAGCAACACCTTGATTTAGCATCCCTGCATGACTTTTACAAAAACAAAATTACAGACTACAAAAGTTAAACAATATCATTACAACATAATATTGTTTCATAATGTCGATGTTTTCAAGCTTTTTTTATGCGAGTCTGACAATATTACAACCATGATATACTCCTTATCCAGAAAAAAGAATTAAAATGGTTGCACTAGTACATATATTGAACTGTCACTTTTGACCTTTCTTCCTCACATATTTTGTATGTACTGTCACTATTGATCTTTCTTCCTCACATATTTTGTATGTACTGTCACTTTTGACCTTTCTTCCTCACATATTTTGTATGTACTGTCACTTTTGACCTTTCTTCCTCACATATTTTGTATGTACTGTCACCTTTGACCTTTCTTCCTCACATATTTTGTATGTACTGTCACCTTTGACCTTTCTTCCTCACATATTTTGTATGTACTGTCACCTTTGACCTTTCTTCCTCACATCTTTTGTATGTACTGTCACTTTTGATCTGTATTCATACACATGCACCAAAATTGTAGTTGAAAATAGTTTGATACAAAATTTCATATCACTAGTTATACTGTCATCCAAATTAGGGCACCTCATATATTCCTTCATTACATTGTTGCATAACAAGACCAAGACCTCTACTGAAAAGTTTTCATAAGATTGAACAATTGAACCTTTTCCTATGTTGCATTTGTTACCAGGATTTTCTTCCCACTATTTCCAATTGTATATCTCTAAATGTCAGCTTCTTTTATTCCATACTCAAACAGAACACAATATGGATCATCTTCGACCTGTGATTCTCACCACCGGTAGTCCTGAACTAGGTTGTAGTGGCACAACATTACTCTGAGGGGGAACAGGTGGTCCTTGTGGCTGTCCCATAGTGTTCATTGCTCCTGTGTTTGGAGGCATAGGTTGAAAAGGTGGTGGAGCACTGACACCAGGCTGCTGTGGAGGAAATCCAGGCCGAGGTGGTGGTGGTGGAGGAAAACTATTTGGCCCCTGGAAGGGTGGTGCATTAAATTGTTGTGGTGGGGGGAAACCAGGGGGGTACTGACCCACTTGTGGTGGGGGTTGGTTTGTTGGGAAGGCCTGTTGTGGAGGTGGACCCCCAGGAACTGCAGGAGCTGCAGGATATCCACCTGGACCTTGGTACTGTGGCTGGACTGGTGGAGGCTGTTGATACGCTGTGGGTGGAGCATATGTATTTGGTTGGTAGGGAGCAGGAGGATACTGTCCAGGGGGTGGATACTGAGGAACCGGTGCAGGAGCTGAGGCAGCAGGCGTGGGAGCCTGAGTCTGTAAGTAAGATGATGTGGATGTAAGACCTGAACCACTGACTAGTGTCTCTATAGATTTACTACCCTCCTGAGACAGAAACGAGGATGGGTACTGTGAGGATGTAGATGCCATGTAAGCTCCATATTGTGTGTAGTCTGGCTTGCTTGGTGCAGGGGGAGCTGAACTGTAATTTGATGCTGGAGCAGTGCGAGGCACAGAAGATGAGGATGGAACATCAGATACTGAACTGCTTTTCTTGCTAGAATTTCTTCTTGAGCTTGACTCCTTACTTTTTTGTCTTTCTGGTTGTGACTTTGGTACCTTGGCATCATGCGGTCCTTCACCTGGTGTTGTCTGTTAACACCATACATTGACAAAATTATTTCAGGTTTCATCATAAAAAAATTCAAAACAAAATGCACATGTCACATTTATAAATTTAAATCACAGATAAATGTTATTAATTCCATGATTTAATTCTTTTGCATAAATTCTCAAACAGACCAAAAATTCATTGTTTTCACTTTTAAAATATGTTTTTGGTGTTTTGGCTTTTTTTCTCCTTTTTCTCTCTAGATTATTGGTTTCATTAATTCCTCACAAATGGAATAAAATATCCCTTGAAAAAAACACAACATCCAAAACACTTAATACTTCAGTTACATGGTTAATCTAGAATTTGTAGAATATACTACCCATTGAGACACACAATGAAAAAATGGAAGAATTTAGAATAGCCCATTTGGTCACAATTCAAAAGAGGAATATCAGGACAAATTACAAAACCAAATAATATTATATAATACTGATCAAGTGTAAAAATTTCTCCTTTTTCTAACAAAAAATAATGACTGCTTAACAAGGTTTCAGATACATCTTACATAAATACTGAACCGTATTAGTGACAGTATATTTAAAAACATTCTGGCATTGTTATTGTTTAAAGAATTTAAAAATGGCATACAAATTTTTGTCTTTCAACACAAAATACATGCCATATCACAAATTTCAACAAACTTGAATCAACCAAAGAGAATTTTGATAATAATAGCTATGTCTGACAATAAGCTGTAATATTTATCATCCTGAATCCTAAATCTTCAAAAGTATTTTATTTAATTTGGCATAAAATTAAGTTAAAGATTAGTCTCCTTTCAGAGCCTAAATTTGTAAGCTGTAAAGAAAATACAGTATGAGTTATCTTACTGGCAGACTGCGTTTTCCCATCTGAGGTGGGGGTGGCGGAGGGGTGTCCCTGGCAGTCATTTTTTTACTAGGAGTAACTGGAGGGGAGTCCGTACCAGCTCCCTGGGGGTTGTTAGAATACAGGTCAAGGACCTTGTGACATATATCTGAAAAATAAAAATATCCAATAAATTGACTGAGAATATTACACACCCTGAAAATTTTCAGACATCCAGTACAGATTCATGTCCGTTTATCATGGAATGATTCTGTGCCACTTGAACCCATTTTAAACTTCCCTACACTAAACAGTGTGTTATGTTCACTATCACAGGTAAACTCCCCTACACTAAACCATGTGTTATGTTCACTACACATGTAAACTCCCCTACACTAAAGCATGTGCTATGTTCACTACACATGTAAACTTCCCTACACTAAAGCGTGAGCTATATTCACTACACATGTAAACTTCCCTACACTAAACCGTGTGTTATGTTCACTACACATGTAAACTCCCCTACACTAAACTGTGTGTTATGTTCACTATCACATGTAAACTCCCCTACACTAAAGCGTGTGCTATGTTCACTATCACAGGTAAACTTCCCTACACTAAACCATGTGTTATGTTCACTATCACATGTAAACTCCCCTACACTAAAGCGTGTGCTATATTCATTACACATGTAAACTCCCCTACACTAAAGCATGTGCTATGTTCACTACACATGTAAACTTCCCTACACTAAACCGTGTGTTATGTTCACTACACATGTAAACTCCCCTACACTAAACTGTGTGTTATGTTCACTATCACATGTAAACTCCCCTACACTAAAGCGTGTGCTATGTTCACTATCACAGGTAAACTTCCCTACACTAAACCATGTGTTATGTTCACTATCACATGTAAACTCCCCTACACTAAAGCGTGTGCTATATTCATTACACATGTAAACTCCCCTACACTAAAGCATGTGCTATGTTCACTACACATGTAAACTCCCCTACACTAAAGCATGTGCTATGTTCACTACACATGTAAACTTCCCTACACTAAAGCATGAGCTATATTCACTACACATGTAAACTTCCCTACACTAAACCGTGTGTTATGTTCACTACACATGTAAACTCCCCTACACTAAACTGTGTGTTATGTTCACTACACATGTAAACTCCCCTACACTAAAGCGTGAGCTATATTCACTACACATGTAAACTTCCCTACACTAAACTGTGTGTTATGTTCACTACACATGTAAACTTCCCTACACTAAACCGTGTGTTATGTTCACTACACATGTAAACTCCCCTACACTAAACTGTGTGTTATGTTCACTATCACATGTAAACTCCCCTACACTAAACCATGTGTTATGTTCACTACACATGTAAACTCCCCTACACTAAAGCATGTGCTATGTTCACTACACATGTAAACTTCCCTACACTAAAGCGTGTGCTATATTCACTACACATGTAAACTCCCCTACACTAAAGCATGTGCTATGTTCACTACACATGTAAACTCCCCTACACTAAAGCATGTGCTATGTTCACTACACATGTAAACTTCCCTACACTAAAGCGTGAGCTATATTCACTACACATGTAAACTTCCCTACACTAAACCGTGTGTTATGTTCACTACACATGTAAACTCCCCTACACTAAACTGTGTGTTATGTTCACTATCACATGTAAACTCCCCTACACTAAAGCGTGTGCTATGTTCACTATCACAGGTAAACTTCCCTACACTAAACCATGTGTTATGTTCACTATCACATGTAAACTCCCCTACACTAAAGCGTGTGCTATATTCACTACACATGTAAACTCCCCTACACTAAAGCATGTGTTATGTTCACTACACATGTAAACTTCCCTACACTAAAGCATGTGTTATGTTCACTACACATGTAAACTCCCCTACACTAAACCATGTGTTATGTTCACTACACATGTAAACTCCCCTACACTAAAGCATGTGCTATGTTCACTACACATGTAAACTCCCCTACACTAAAGCATGTGCTATGTTCACTACACATGTAAACTTCCCTACACTAAAGCGTGAGCTATATTCACTACACATGTAAACTCCCCTACACTAAACTGTGTGTTATGTTCACTACACATGTAAACTCCTCTACACTAAACCATGTGTTATGTTCACTACACATGTAAACTCCCCTACACTAAAGCATGTGTTATGTTCACTACACATGTAAACTTCCCTACACTAAAGCGTGTGCTATATTCACTACACATGTAAACTCCCCTACACCAAACCATGTGTTATGTTCACTATCACAGGTAAACTTCCCTACACTAAACTGTGGGTTATGTTCACTATCACATGTAAATTCCCCAACACTAAACTGTGTGTTATGAAATCCTATAGTGTTAACCAGTGTGAAACATTATACCCATTTCAACCTCTAGTGTACCTATATTAACCTCTAGTATACACATATCAACCTCTAGTATACCCATATTAACCTCTAGTATACCTATATTAACCTCTAGTATACCCATATTAACCTCTAGTATAGTTATATTAAACTCTAGTATACCCATATTAACCTGTAGTGTATTCATATCAACCTCTAGTATACCTATATTAACCTCTAGTATACGCATATCAACCTCTAGTATACCCATATTAACCTCTAGTATAGTTATATTAAACTCTAGTATACCCATATTAACCTGTAGTGTATCATATCAACCTCTAGTATACCCATATTAACCTCTAGTATACCTATATTAACCTCTAGTATACCCATATTAACCTCTAGTATAGTTATATTAAACTCTAGTATACCCATATTAACCTGTAGTGTATTCATATTAACCTCTAGTATACCTATATCAACCTCTAGTATACCTATATCAACCTCTAGTATACCCATATCAACATCTAGTATACCCATATTTACATCTAGTATACCTATATTTACCTCTAGTATATCTTTATCAACCTCTAGTATATCTTTATCAACCTCTAGTATACCTATATCAACCTCTAGTATACCTATATCAACCTCTAGTATACCTATATCAACCTCAAGTATACCTATATCAACCTCTAGTATACCCATATCAACATCTAGTATACCCATATTTACCTCTAGTATACCTATATCAACCTCTAGTATACCTATATCAACCTCTAGTATACCCATATCAACATCTAGTATACCCATATTTACCTCTAGTATACCTATATCAACCTCTAGTATACCCATATCAACATCTAGTATACCCATATTTACCTCTAGTATACCTATATCAACCTCTAGTATACCTATATCAACCTCTAGTATACCTATATTAACCTCTAGTATACCCATATTTACCTCTAGTATACCTATATTAACCTCTAGTATATCTTTATCAACCTCTAGTATATCTTTATCAACCTCTAGTATACGCATATCAACCTCTAGTATATCTTTATCAACCTCTAGTATACCTATATCAACCTCTAGTATATCTTTATCAACCTCTAGTATACCTATATCAACCTCTAGTATACCTATATCAACCTCTAGTATATCTTTATCAACCTCTAGTATACCTATATCAACCTCTAGTATACCTATATTAACCACTGACCTTCCATCAATTCTACAGTGATATCTTCTACAAGAAACTCCCACCACTTGGTCTTGGATCCAGGCACCTTGCCATGCCAGTCTTGTATATCAAACTTGGTGAGGCGTGTACCCAGATACATGAGTGACACACTGATCACCTCTGGCTCCCACTGCAGGCACTGAGTTGTACACAGACTGAAGAAAACATTGATATTGATAACAAATGAACATTTTTTTTCCATAGATATGTTTTTCTTGACATTTTTCTGAACGAATGGAGTAGTATACATAATTATATACAGGTTTTGGTATAAATGTTACTACATATATAATCCTGATTTTAAAGGTAACAAAGAACTTTCTTCATAAGTCTGATGTAGGTAAATTAACAACTGTTGCTAAAGGAGTGGTCAGGTGGTAATGGGTCACCTGTCTGACCACATGAGTTTCCTTCCACAATAAGACCTCCTGTGTGCTTACATCCGGGCCAACAAGAGTGATTAACATTTGTTCAAATAACTTCTTCCACATTTTTGTAAACTGAAGAAAGTTTATGTTCAAATCTTGCTAACTTTCTTCGACAGGCATTTCTTCATGACTGATTTACACATGTGTAATTTTATGTGTAGTACACATTTTTCCAATTTGTTGGGTTAAGCTTTAACTGGTATTTGAGGTCAATAAAATAAGCTAATTTTACCAAACATGCTGATGATATGTGAAGATAGACAACATAATCAAGATATATTGAATTCTGCACAAGGATTACTAACAACATCTTGTATCTACCAGAAATCTATTTAACATGACTTTCATGTGATAATTATATGTGTAGATCTGAGGGACACTGTTTTTCCTAATAACAACTAACCTGTCATTGATAAATGTCCAAGCCATTTGTACTAGTTTCTGTATCTTTTCTTTGTCACCTGTAAACATACAACAATCAAACTTACATACAATGTTCAATGATTCTGAGTGCCTGCTATTCCTGCGTATTGTCTCATTTTTGGTTACCTGTCAAGTGTTCTGACCTCACACAGATAATTTGGAATAGTTTACTGGTTCTGTATGGTATTTTGTGAGGATGAAGGCGAGTTCTGGAGTTCAGGTGCACAGACTGGAGACACAGGTTCACCAATCAACACAGTATATATGACACCAGCACAAATACATACCGGTATATTTATATACTACCAAATATCACAAGCACAATCAGACATTGATATGATCAATGAAGTAATAACGCTTGTCCATACTGTTGCTATTACTTCATTGATCATATCTATCCCAGTATATATATACTCAAAAATATCTGTTTTGTTCTAGCCATATAAATGAATCGAGTATACTAAATAACGATAATGACATTTAAATAACAGACTCAACCTGAACTCCAGAATTAAAGAATCCTTACAACTGAATTAGGTACTTGATAGGATCTGGTAATTGTGTTTCAATGTATAACAAATAAGTGTACCTTTTATGAATTTGGCAAACTTGAGCAAGTACCCGTAAGGATGTTCGACTTGTAAGTCAAATTTGATGGTTTGTAACAGAATTCTTTCCATGGTCATCACTTCTTCCTATAAATCAAACAAAAAATAATATAACAACAATGTAATTGTCAATATCATTTTCAATGCTACTGATTATACAAGAAACTTGATTCAGAAATTCCTTTAAAGACCTGTACAAAATTTGTATCATTTTTGGGTCATTTTTTTCAAAATCTTAAGATTTTGTCCTAAATACACGCCAAAAAAAAAAAAAAAAAATTATCACAAGTGAGACATAAACTAAATTATATTTAAAAATCAGATAAACTTGACTACTAAACAAGTAACAATTAACAACCTTGATCACTGAACAATTAACAACCTTGATCACTTAACAATTAAAAATCTTGATCACTGAACAATTAACAACCTTGATCACTGAACAATTAACAATCTTGATCACTGAACAATTAACAACCTTGATCACTGAACAATTAACAACCTTGATCACTTAACAATTAAAAATCTTGATCACTGAACAATTAACAACCTTGATCACTGAACAATTAACAACCTTGATCACTTAACAATTAAAAATCTTGATCACTGAACAATTAACAACCGTGATCACTTAACAATTAACAACCGTGATCACTTAACAATTAACAACCGTGATCACTGAACAATTAAAAATCTTGATCACTGAACAATTAACAACCTTGATCACTGAACAATTAACAATCTTGATCACTGAACAATTAACAACCTTGATCACTGAACAATTAAAAATCTTGATCACTGAACAATTAAAAATCTTGATCACTGAACAATTAACAACCTTGATCACTTAACAATTAACAATCTTGATCACTGAACAATTAACAACCGTGATCACTTAACAATTAACAACCGTGATCACTGAACAATTAAAAATCTTGATCACTGAACAATTAACAACCTTGATCACTGAACAATTAAAAATCTTGATCACTGAACAATTAAAAATCTTGATCACTGAACAATTAACAACCTTGATCACTGAACAATTAAAAATCTTGATCACTGAACAATTAAAAATCTTGATCACTGAACAATTAACAATCTTGATCACTGAACAATTAACAATCTTGATCACTGAACAATTAACAACCGTGATCACTTAACAATTAACAACCGTGATCACTTAACAATTAACAACCGTGATCACTGAACAATTAAAAATCTTGATCACTGAACAATTAACAACCTTGATCACTGAACAATTAACAATCTTGATCACTGAACAATTAACAACCTTGATCACTGAACAATTAAAAATCTTGATCACTGAACAATTAAAAATCTTGATCACTGAACAATTAACAATCTTGATCACTTAACAATTAACAATCTTGATTACTTAACAATTAACAATCTTGATCACTGAACAATTAACAACCGTGATCACTGAACAATTAAAAATCTTGATCACTGAACAATTCAGTAAAATAACATCTCACTCCAAAACATAGCTTACCCTTGGATCATCTCCAAATACACTGAACACTTGAGGTGATAACATGGACTGACAAATTTTGATGATGTCCTTTCCTTTCTTTGGAGTCTCTTCCACCTTCCCAGCCAAGAAAAGGCAGCATGCTGCTGTTATCTACAAAGGTTACACAATCAAACATTTCTTCAACAGAAATTATGAGATTGTCACTACATGTTATTTACCTGTTAAAATATTAATTCATAAAACATCAAGTCTACATTCATCTGATCGTGTGTCAATATTTCCTGTACCTGCACCTTTCTACAATTTTGTTTTTCTGACCAGACCCAAAATTAAATGGCCACAACTTGGGACAAAGGGGAATCTACGTATGAAATTTGACAGAGAAACATCCAGTACTTCTCAAGAAATAGCAATAACAAACTTTTAAAATCAAAATCCAAGATGGCCATCTGTTGGCCATTTTGTTTTCCGATCAGACCCAAAATTAAATGGGCACAACTAGGGACCAAAGGGAATATATACATGAAATTTGAGAAAGATCTATAAAGCTCTTCTCAAGGAATAGCAATAACAAACTTTCAAAGTCAAAATCCAAGATGGCCGTCTGTTGGCCATTTTGTTCTTGTGATCAGTTCCAAAATTGCAAAGGCACATCTAGAGAGCAATGGGAACCTTCATATCAAATTCACGAGAGATCCATGCAGGACTTTCAAAGACATAGTGATAACAAACTTCATTGAAAAAATCCTAAATGGCCACATTTCGACCATTTTATTTTTGTGATCAGTCCCAAAATCAAACAGGCACAACTAGTGACCAAGGGGAATCGAAAAAGATCCATCCAGTGCTTCTCAAGAAACAGCAATAACAAAACTTGTTTACAGATGGACGATGGACGAACCACAGACACAGGACGATTTGAATAACCCACTATCTGATGATGGTGAACTAAAAGTTTGATACTGGATTTTTTTTTACTTCTCAGAAGTTCAACAGAATAACAGAATATCAGCCATGACTATTTACATGAACAAACATGATCACTTTTCATTACAACTTCAGAATAGGTGTACATGCCATACTTACGTATCTGTGGAATTCCTTGAAAGAATGAAACATGTAGAATCTGTGGAAATACACAACACCTGTCCCACATGTATCATATCGCCTTCAGAATCATCAAGGATATTAATATACTTATAAGCATTTAGTCATACCAATACTATCTCTGTGTATCCAAATGAGGTAACCAACAATCTGGTATACTAGTTTAAAGGACCTAAAAATCTTGTCTCAGTTGCATTGTCACATCAAGGAATATATATTGTGCAATGTTGTTTTGTGTGTTGCCTAGTTAGCACTTAATTTTTAATTGTACAGTGTACTATTAAACATGTCAATGTCATTTTTGCATGATGAAAAAAACTGTGAAGTAAAACAAATAAGCTGTATACTAAATATGTGCTCATGAGATTTTAAGATGACTACAATCCAAAGATAATTTCTAAAAGGATACAGTCCCATCTTGGTGCCAGCATCAATAATAAATCTTGCTCCTTCTCGGCGATACCTGGCTTCTGTGGCAGCATCAATGCCATCTTGGAAAGAAGGTGTATTTCTTAATTCTTTCTTTTCAAAATACCAACAGGGCATGTCTGCAAGTTGAACATAAAAAATTAATGTTGAACAATTTTCAATCATAGAACAGCAGCCTTGATTTCCACACACTAGCTGTAAACTTTACACACCAGTGCTCTGTTGAAATGAAACCAAGTACTTGAACACAAATGATTATGTCAATCGAGCAATTTTGGATGATTCTTAAAACAGTGGTAGGAGTTGCAGTAATTTTTTTTTTTAATTTCGGCGAGTCTAGAACATTGATTTCAATATTTATGATAAATCACAATACTAAGAAATACATGTAGTCACTGGATTCCCAAAGTTTGAGTGAGTTGTACAAGAAAAACATGTCTGAGGCTCAAATATCTAAGTCCCAAAAGTCACTGAGTTGGTTACAGAAGAGTTGTTATTAAAAAAATAGACTAACATGACCACATTTGTTATATTTTTGGTTCTCATTCACAAAATGAATGATTTGTCTACACATGATGCCATGATTATTATGGGGTGTATTGACATTTTCTACCTCTCATTAGAAAAACTCTGCTACCTTTTTGGTAAACTTGAATCCAACATTAGATTGTGCAACACATTCTGCTGAATGCCACAACTGTCAAAATAAATGTTGGTTCCTTAAAAGTCTGCATTCTTCATGCTTTTGCCTACTGTGAAATAATCATTGTTCAGTATCTTATTTAAAAGAAAAGTATTGCATTTAATGTGGATTTGACATAGAAACTGCTGATTCGTGATTTCGGACACTGATAAATAAATAATAATAAATAAAAAAAACTTCCTTTGCCTGTGTATTTATACCTCATACATTCAGAAAATAGCTTTTATCTTTTTTTATGTAGGAAATATTAGAATATCATTATATAGAATGACATCACAACAACATAGTAAATATTTCATATTTCAATGTGGTGTTCGGGCATAGGTTTCAACTTCTATTGATATTTGCCATTGCATCAGTGTTGTTTAAGTAACTGTCGATTATTCAAAAAATGCATGTGATTCTAATGAAGATGAAAATGATTATGTTTTTGTGTTCGAGCACTGGTCAGGTGAGACTAGTATGAAATGTTATGGCATAACTCCGTAATAACAGTAGGCCATCATGTTTTATGTGCTTGTGTTATCCTTTTAAATTTCCACTTACAATACTATAAAAAGCTTGCTAAGAAAGATCATTTAGTACACACACATAGAAAACGATGGCATACTGTGTTATAATTCATTAGTTTCTTCTTGTTATAGCCCTCTGCAGTGTGGTAAACACATCTATTTGATATCGACGCTGACTTTTTGTTGAAAAGTTCACGACTCGACACAGACAAATATTTGTGATAAACATAATATGTGTCGCCGTCATTAGCATAAGTTGCGTGTTTTAAATGATTCTAGTAATAGTGAAATAAATGAAAGACTAAATTAGTACAAACCTCTTTCAAAGCAGTTGGAAATGTTTGTTTTCGAAATGCCTTCACCAGCATGCGTCACACAACACAACTCTGGTCGGTGATCTATATAACGTAAAGTAGTCATAAGTCGGAAGTGTCGCAAAATAAATAAATTAGCATATGTATGTGTATGTCTCGCTAGTTTTACAACTGTCAAATTGTGGATTTTTTTCAACATGTGACATAATATCATTTTGAAATTAATTATTGAAACTAAAACGTTACGACACACCGAAATATGATGACGTAGTCCACACCGCCGCACTTGTTCGGAGAAGAACGTGAGTTGATGAAGCAGAGTATCATTCATTTTTTGATGTCATTAACTCATATGTTGCCCTGTGAGACAGTTTAATACTACTTCACTCACAAATCGCTTTATTAGCTTTCTTTAAATATAGATAGGATGGTATTTTTTTGCATGGACGATCAATGAATGATTGGGATGTATCGCGATCATTACAGATTACCATATATGGCGTTTCATATAAAGGGTTATAACTGCTAGACCTACATAGATATGATATAGGTATCGTCTTAATATTCAAAGATTACCTTGTTCTACATAGGATACTTTTGTAGTTTGAAAAGTTAATCGACTCGAAGGATTGAAATATCCTTACGAAAAACTTGCGTCCTAAAACTTCAAAGTTGTAAATTATATGTTGGTACACATAGTACTCACGCGTCTGTAAGTTTTGTTATTTATTTGTCTTTCTCGTGTCAGGTAAACGAGAACCATAATGGGCAAGAAAAGTAAAAAGCAAAAAGATGTTGTTGCTGGAAAACGAGCCAACACTCCTGAACATAAAGAATTATCAAAGGCTTCTAAAAAAGAATTGATGGAATCAGCAACAAATCTCCTGGAGTGTAAGTAATTATATGGAATTCAAGTAAAGATATGAAATATCGAGAAAACCATTATTGCTTTGTAAAGTAATAAGACTGCAAGTTCTTGGTATAAGTTTAATGGTACATATATATATAAAGTATTTGCAGCAAACAAAATTTCTTTTATTTTTAAGTCTGTCAAGATCATCATTTAAAGGAGGTACATGTACCTTAATCCCTTTCGGGATTAATCCTTAGGGATTACATTTACCTTGAATGATCGTTACCTGCATGGTTTTATTTGTCTTGATATTGCAGTTTGTTCAAAACCTATTCCTCCTGGTCCAAAAGAGATAGAAGATTTTCCAGAGATTTTCAGCATGGTGGAGAAAATTCGTAGCATTCAGACAGGTGAATCATTTACAATGGTTTAATTTATAATACTAGTCCAAAGGAAAAAGGTTGATTTAAACTGCACTGTACTATCTATCTGTTGTCCTCCAGCTATTTCTTAAGACATTTCTTTATTCTGAACCATTGATCAGATTATCACCAAAAGGATGTAAAACATCATCAGATAGATGACATGAGTATTCAAAAAGTTAAAACTTGAGTTAGTTTAATCATAAATATTGTAAACAACATCTCTATCTATAAACAGAATCATCAATCACAACAGGTTCAAGCGTTAACATTGAAGTTGATACTTATCTATGTTGTTGATTAGTTTTGCCTATGAATTTTAGACTTCATCAGGATCTCTTGATTTAGATATTTCTGATATAAAAGATAAGTAGTGGATATTCAGTGTCACAAAACTGCATAAGTTTGCAATTGGTGGCACTACCAAGGTTAATACACAAACATTGATCTCAGGATCCAATCCTGCCTGATGGATAAAATTATTGGGTCATAAAATGGATAGGGTCCCCAACCTTGAACTATTTTCTAGTAACTATGTATTGTATATGAGGAGGGGGTAAAAGTGATTGTCTCTTGGGTCCTAAGAGTGTCTGGATTCAAATTCAAGAAAAGATCTATATCAACACTTGTTGATTTTCATTCCTTTTTTATCCCCATGTGAAACATGTTTGCAGGAGATATTAAGTTGGGCTCCGTCTGTCCAAGGGCCAAAAAACAAAAATTAGTGTTAAGTTTTCTTTCCTGGCTGCAACTTTGAAACCATTCCACTCAACTCCACAAAACTTTCAGTATATATTACGGTAGTGCTTTTTCCATTAACTGCCTTGCGCTGAGCGCAGTGCGTAAACTTTGGACATTTCAAACTTCTTCTCAAGTTGCACCAGTGGGATTGAGCTCCAACTTGCATGAAATGGTCCTGAGATGGTCCTGACCAAGTGTTGTTATTTTTCGGGTTTGTCTAAAATCCAAGATGGCTGCCATCTTGAAAAACATGTTGAACTTCTTCTCCAGTTCCACTGGTGCCATGGAGCTGAAAACTGGTGGGAATGTTGAGGAAAGGTAACCAACAAAGTGTTGTTAATTTTTCAATCGTGTCAAAACTTCAATACGGCAGCCAGGGAGGCCATTTTGTAACATGATTGCACAATCATGGTTTTCCTGTGCATCACCTATTTCAAACTTCTTTTCAAGTTTCACTGGTTGGATTGAGCTCCAACTTTACTGTCAAAAATAGGTAACACTTGTTAGTTTCCTACTCCTCGCCAAAACTACCAATTGCATCATGGAAAACAACTTCTTAGTGAGATTTCATTTATACTAGAAAAAATAAGCCTTCTCCCGGCTGAAATTTTTTGTAGTCAGATGATATTTCTTCTATGTTCTATGTTACCATGGAAACATAGTCCAAAAACATAAAATTAGTGTTAACTTTCCTTTCTGGGCTACAACTTCAAAACCATTCATCTCATCTCGACAAAATAGGTTAGTGCCCAAGTTTAATTTTTTTTCTGTTACCATTGAAACAGATAGGACAAATCACAAAGTTCAGGTTTTTCAGACCAGTTCTCTTAAACCGTTCAAGATAATTACCCAGTACTAAAAACAGGCATCAAGCTAGTACTCTTGTAGAAGGTCTCCATTTCAATACTTTGTATGGAACAATTAAAAACAACAAATGGAAATTAAACTTTTTGTAATATTAATGTATATATGTGATTGTGTCTTTCTTTTAAATAGCGGGGTGTGGGGGATAATGTCACGCTTTGCATTATCATGTTTTCTTTTAAAAAACAAGCATTTAATGTTAAATTACATGGTCTGTATATTGAGTGGATGTTCAATTTCATGATGCTTTTATCTTCCATCTTTAAACTGATTAAATTTTATTCTTTTTAGATGTAACATACACACAACCAGAGAGAGGAACATGCATTTCTGCATTTATAGAATGGTTGAATAACAACAAAGTTGATACATTAGCCATAGAAATAGAAAACTTCCAACATGTAGGATATGGGATCAAGGCAACCAAAGATCTCAAAGTATGTATAAAGATTGTAATGACGGGGAACTCTAGAGTGTTCCAAACTCTAACTTCCAAAGCTATGTTAGAACATGCTGAATAGGCAAAACCTTCTCCTCATCAAGATGGCACTGCCACCAGTTAAATGACTGAATCTTGTGATAAGAAATGTATTCTTGTAAGAGCCTTTTTTTCATAAAGTGGCTACCATGATGGGAAAAGTCCATGGAGGGGGTCACAGAATGTGATAAATCTTAAGACAGAGGATCCTGAAGCTTGAATTTATCATGTTTTTGTGACCTCAAAGATGGAATGATACATTCTTTCATACCAAGGACAATTGTTACATAAACTGAGTTAGACATATCAATAGACAATTTCTGACTGACTCAAAGGCTTTCATATAACAATGCCCTGACATCATAATATTGTTGCTGCAAATGATGAAATGGACAGGTATGGATATATATATAGCTTATATGTCTTTTTTTCTGGTTTGGTAGGAAATGGACCCTTTTGTGATTGTTCCTCGGAAGCTAATGCTAACAACTGACACAGCTAGAGCATCAGGATTAGGTAAGAACTGGTTTGCTTCAGGAATTTGGATACTTAAGTTCTTGGCCTTTTATAGAAACTGAAAAGTACATAATTTAATTATGATGTACTTCTTGTGAAGTATTAGTAACAAATAAGTAAAATTGTTATTTAATGTTGACTGAATTGTAAACTGACTAATCAATGCGTCTACATTTTATACTTAATGGTGACTATAAGATGAGTGTAGGCTTGATACTCCAGGGCTTACACTATCAGGTTGCCTAACTGTATGTTGTACTGACTTATAAGTTGGTAGTTGCTCTTTGTGATCTTCAAAGTAGCATATCGGTGTGTGATTGGTCATTTTTTTCTCTTGAAACCTGCTCTTGACCAATCAAATTACTTTGCATGTGCCTTCAATTTTGCCATGAAATGTTCCCAGGGGTGCAGAGAGCAAAAGTGATCCTAACCCCTTGGGTATTAAGGATGAAGCCTTTGTAACTGCAGTGCTTCATGCTGACAATGTATTGTTTGTTTTTGAAAGTAAATAATGATATTTTGATTTGTCCATATTAAAAAGCACTGTCTATTTCTGGCTTCTTTATCCCAGCATTAATTTTTTTTACCATAAAAACTGTCCATTATCACAGAATGCTTTTACTTCACCAAATTTTGCCCTCTGGTCATTCAAATCAAAGTCACTAATTGCTGATTTCTTCTATACACTCTTTTTAAATCATGTTTTGATATAGATGTGGATTATGCTTTCTTGCTAAAATGATTTCCATTATGTAATTTTCAAAAGGAAAACTATGATATGGAGCTGAAACATTTTGGCAGTGTGTCTTAAGGCTTCATTTCGTTGTACATTTGACAGTGAGATTTACTTCCTGTTGACAGATGCCTTGATTGCTGAAGACAAGATCCTACAGGCGATGCCAAGTATTGTATTGGCACTTCACCTTCTGTGTGAGAGAAGGAGTACAGAGTCCTTCTGGAGGCCATACCTTGATATCCTATTATTGAAACCTGTATCTTAGCTGTTTTGTGCTTCCGAGTCATCAATTGTACCTTTCACAGAAAAAAACAAAAATTAGGGTATTTTTGTTTTCTAAAAATATTCATATTGTTTGAAAATTGTTGTGTGCAAATTGAACTTACATTCATGGCATGCAAAAACATAGTTTCAGTATTGTATAACATGTATATTTCAATAGTCAGATTATTGTTGTGTTTTCCTTAACACTGTTTGACATATGCTTCCTAGCCGATATACCACACCTTTGTACTTCTCACCAGAGGAGCTGGCTCTGCTGAAGGGATCCCCAGCCTACAGTAAGTACAAGGATGTTCAGTGTGTAAAACACAGAACTAGGACATTTTAGTTTGGTTGATTACCAGAGTTTTTCTGCATCAAAACTAATATAATATTAACTGTATTATTAAATTTGAAGCACTCGTTGTTATTATATTATATCGTATAGATAGTATCAGAGGATTAGGTAAGTATAGGAAGGTAAGGAATTGACCAATATAGAGGATTAGGTAAGTATAGGAAGGTAAGGAATTGACCAATACAGAGGATTAGGTAAGTATAGGAAGGTAAGGAATTGACCAATATAGAGGATTAGGTAAGTATAGGAAGGTAAGGAATTGACCAATATAGAGGATTAGGTAAGTATAGGAAGGTAAGGAATTGACCAATACAGAGGATTAGGTAAGTATAGGAAGGTAAGGAATTGACCAATATAGAGGATTAGGTAAGTATAGGAAGGTAAGGAATTGACCAATATAGAGGATTAGGTAAGTATAGGAAGGTAAGGAATTGACCAATACAGAGGATTAGGTAAGTATAGGAAGGTAAGGAATTGACCAATATAGAGGATTAGGTAAGTATAGGAAGGTAAGGAATTGACCAATATAGAGGATTAGGTAAGTATAGGAAGGTAAGGAATTGACCAATACAGAGGATTAGGTAAGTATAGGAAGGTAAGGAATTGACCAATATAGAGGATTAGGTAAGTATAGGAAGGTAAGGAATTGACCAATATAGAGGATTAGGTAAGTATAGGAAGGTAAGGAATTGACCAATACAGAGGATTAGGTAAGTATAGGAAGGTAAGGAATTGACCAATATAGAGGATTAGGTAAGTATAGGAAGGTAAGGAATTGACCGATATTTTTAGCTGTAATCCTAGATACACTAAGGTCGTAAATAGTATGACCAGATGGTAAATGTTTTTTGATTCCTTACCATCTCGTACACTACGTATGTCAGTGCTAATATGCTCCACACTGATAATTTTTCTGATGAAGATTACTGTGTAGTCACACTCAAATCTTCTACTGGCTGTTATAAGATTTGCACTATGTTTAAACTGGTTTAAAGCATGTTTCCAGGTTGGTTAAAAATGTCATTGCTTTACTGTTATTATTGTTTAATATCGCCATTATTTGCAACAAAATAAAGAACTTCAGTACAATGTCTGTCAGTGTCTCTTGTTTTATTCTTTTCAGAGGATTGTGTAAACCAATACCGGAATATTGCACGTCAGTATGCTTACTTCTACAGAGTGTTACAGGTGAGTCAGAGTGTTACTGGTTCAGTCAGAGTGTCACAGGTGAGTCAGAGTGTAAGTCAGAGTGTTACAGGTGAGTCAGAGTGTTACAGGTGAGTCAGAGAGTTACTGGTGAGTCAGAGTGTTACAGATGAGTCAGAGTTTGAGTCAGAGTGTTACTGGTGAGTCAGAGTGTTACAGGTGAGTCAGAGTTTGAGTCAGAGTGTTACTGGTGAGTCAGAGTGTTACAGATGAGTCAGAGTTTGAGTCAGAGAGTTACTGGTGAGTCAGAGAGTTACTGGTGAGTCAGAGTGTTACTGGTGAGTCAGAGTGTTACAGGTGAGTTAGAGTTTGAGTCAGAGTGTTACTGGTGAGTCAGAGTGTTACAGATGAGTCAGAGTTTGAGTCAGAGTGTTACTGGTGAGTCAGAGTGTTACAGGTGAGTTAGAGTTTGAGTCAGAGTGTTACAGATGAGTCAGAGTTTGAGTCAGAGAGTTACTGGTGAGTCAGAGTGTTACAGATGAGTCAGAGTTTGAGTCAGAGTGTTACTGGTGAGTCAGAGTGTTACAGGTGAGTTAGAGTGTTACAGGTGACCCAGAATGTCCAAAAGGAGTTGGAGTGTTGTAGGTGAGTCAAAGCATTACTGGTGAATCAGAGTGATGCAGATGAGTCAAAGCATTACAGGTGAATCAGAGTGATGCAGGTGAGTTGGTGTGTTACAGGTGACTCAGAATGTCAAATGAGAGTCTGGGTGTTACTGGTGAGTCAGATTGTTACAGGTGAAATTGAGTGTTACAGGTGAGTAAGAATGTTCCAAGTGCATTAGAATGTTACAGGTGACATAGAATGTCAAAAGGATTAAGAGTGTTACAGTTGAGTCAAAATATCAGAGTTGAGTCAGAATGTTACAGGTAAGTCATATTTCTACAGGTGAGTCAGATTATTACAAGCGAGTCAGCATAGTAAAGATGAGTCAAGAGATGACCATAGTGCAACACTTAATACATGAATCTACTTTTACAGGATGGTACAGATGAGTTGAGAGTTTACAGTTATATCTGTAGTACCAATAGAGTAAACTTATTGATTAATACACCTGTTTAACAGGTAGCTTCAGGTGAACAAGAAATATATTCTATAATAAAAGTACCATATAGAATCATTTCCCATAGTATTATTTTATATGTGTAAGAGGTGGAGAAGAGTTAAGGTTGTCACAGAAACATTGCCCACTATTGTCAGTGTAGTCTGTTTTACATTGTGTAATCTGTGAATTCCTATCTTATACCCATATCATCCTCTTGCCCTTGGAACATGTCGTGGTATAATTGCTTGTTCAATCCTTTAATGTACATCAAATGAATATCATTGTCACATAATGGTTTATTGTACTGACTAAGTTAGGTGTCACACCGTTGTAATCTTCAAAGGAGCCTATAGGTCTGTAATTGGTCTTTTTTTTCTCTTGAACCCACTCTTGATTGAATTTTGCCATGACATGTTCCAGGGGTGCAGACAGCAATGTTGAGCATAACCCTTGGAATATTGAGGGTGTACCCATGTTAGTGATGATTTAGTGTTGTGATGCAGACATGTTTATCTATTATTAACTACTATACATGTTTTTGTAAGATTGTGATGAAAAGAAAAAGTGAACAATAATTTGCTGTTTCAAGGATTTTTGTCTGTTAACAGAATCATCCTGCTGCCTCCAAACTGCCCATAAAGGACTGTTTTACTTATGATGATTACAGGTAAGTATTATATATCAATAGTGATTCCTGTGATGGTTACAGGTAAGTATTATATATCAATAGTGATTCCTGTGATGGTTACAGGTAAGTATGATATATCAATAGTGATTCCTGTGATGATTACAGGTAAGTATGATATATCAATAGTGATTCCTGTGATGATTACAGGTAAGTATGATATATCAATAGTGATTCCTGTGATGATTACAGGTAAGTATGATATATCAATAGTGATTCCTGTGATGGTTACAGGTAAGTATTATATATCAATAGTGATTCCTGTGATGGTTACAGGTAAGTATTATATATCAATAGTGATTCCTGTGATGGTTACAGGTAAGTATTATATATCAATAGTGATTCCTGTGATGGTAACAGGTAAGTATTATATATCAATAGTGATTCCTGTGATAATTACAGGTAAGTATTATATATCAATAGTGATTCCTGTGATGGTTACAGGTAAGTATTATATATCGATAGTGATTCCTGTGATGGTTACAGGTAAGTATTATATATCAATAGTGATTCCTGTGATGGTAACAGGTAAGTATTATATATCAATAGTGATTCCTGTGATAATTACAGGTAAGTATTATATATCAATAGTGATTCCTGTGATGGTTACAGGTAAGTATTATATATCAATAGTGATTCCTACCTTATACAATAACAATATTTCCATTTCATTCTTTAGTAAGAGAAATAATGTTTTCTGGTTTGTCATTTTAAACACACAATTCCAAGCCTTTTCTATTTCTTGTGAAGGAAAAGCCTACCCATGTCCAAGTACATACCTAGGCAGGTGGGGGGAAACTCAATGTAGTCCCCAACCATATCCAGATAATAGATAGTCAGTCCTCCATCTTTGTCTTAATCAGTGGCAGAAACAACTGTCCTTCATGCCACACGTAAAGGGAAATAACTTTCTTCATTTATTTTCCAATAATCTGCCACCATGCAGATCTGTATCTGATCATATTGTTAATGAACGTTATATCAAGGCCTTGAGCTCCAACATAAAGGGAGGATATGTGTAGCTTATTTCATGTATGCTTTGTTATCTCAGTTTTGAGGTTGAAAAGTGATTAGGAAAAACAGGAGAAAAAAAAACAATAATATATGCACATGTAATTGCCAATAAGTTTTTATGGATTTGAAGGTTAACTTGAAGTAAGTTGTACTTTTCTGTACAGATGGGCAGTATCTACAGTAATGACCAGACAGAACCAGGTGCCCACACCAGATGGAGAAAGATTAACCTTTGCCCTCATTCCATTGTGGGATATGTGTAATCACTGTAATGGAACGGTAAGTCACCCACATCCCAGTGTCGAACATTTTAAAATCACAGTAATAGAACAGTAGGTTGCCCTTGTTATGTTGTGGGACATTTGTTATCAATGTAATAGAACAGTAGGTTGCCCTTGTTATGTTGTGGGTCATTTGTTATCAATGTAATAGAACAGTAGGTTGCCCTTGTTATGTTGTGGGACATTTGTTATCAGTGTAATTGAACAGTAGGTTGCCCTTGTTATGTTGTGGGTCATTTGTTATCAATGTAATAGAACAGTAGGTTGCCCTTGTTATGTTGTGGGACATTTGTTATCAATGTAATAGAACAGTAGGTTGCCCTTGTTATGTTGTGGGACATTTGTTATCAGTGTAATTGAACAGTAGGTTGCCCTTGTTATGTTGTGGGACATTTGTTATCAGTGTAATTGAACAGTAGGTTGCCCTTGTTATGTTGTGGGACATTTGTTATCAATGTAATAGAAGTAGGTTGTCCTTGTTATGTTGTGTTCCTTGTGACTAGAACTTTCTGGTGGTATCAAAATTTTTAACCATGAGACCTTGCCAGTGGTCTTTGACCTAAGTTTGAAAAATTTTAACATTGGCAATAAATATTGCACTATAAGAGGTAAGGCTTTCATGCTTGGCATGCATGTTCCTTCAGGAAACTATCACTACTCAATCGTACAATCTTAAAATCTTGAGCAGTTCACTTCATATTTATAAAATAAATGAAAGTCTTGATGATTTATAAATGAAATAAATGTAATTTGGTGTCTACAGATAACAACAGATTACAATGTTGAGGATGACTGCAGTGAGTGCTTTGCTCTCAGAGATTTTGCTAAAGGAGAACAGGTAAAAATCATTAACACAACCTATCACACAGTTAAATACTGAGCAGACATTTCTACAGTAAATATCTGGCCTGTATATATGTATACCCATTCATAGATATGTGGCAAATTGTATACCACTGATGTAGCCCAAGCGGCACAACGAAGAAATGTTAGTGCTACAAAATTAAACGACTACGGAGTATACATTATAATACTATAAACAGAACAGCATGTCAAGTTGGGCATCAGTTGCTATTGGTCATGTAACTGAATGGAGTAAATTTAATCAGAAATAAGCCCAAAAAAGTGACAGGAACGTAGTGTGATTATCACATGACAGGGGTGGTGTTTGGTAGAATTGTGACAGGAATGTAGTGTGATACGATTATGACATGACAGATTGGTGGAAATGTGGAGCCTGGTGTGAACCAATTGACATTTTAATCAATCTGATATTAAATATGAGAGCATTTCTTGTATATTTGGTTTAATAATAGGGTAATGTGCATAAGGAATAATAGACGTTGCTTCAGTGACAATTAAACTGGGTTTTTTTTTCAGATTATGATATTTTACGGTGCCAGATCTAATGCAGAGCTTCTTATACATAGTGGGTTTGTCTACCCAGACAATGAATGGGACAGAATAGCCGTTAAACTAGGTAAGATACTTTGTACCATAAACTAGGTAACATACTTTGTACCATAAACTAGGTAACATACTTTGTACCATAAACTAGGTAACATACTTTGTACCATAAACTAGGTAACATACTTTGTACCATAAACTAAGTAACATACTTTGTACCATAAACTAGGTAACATACTTTGTACCATAAACTAAGTAACATACTTTGTACCATAAACTAGGTAACATACTTTGTACCATAAACTAGGTAAGATACTTTGTACCATAAACTAGGTAAGATACTTTGTACCATAAACTAGGTAACATACTTTGTACCATAAACTAGGTAACATACTTTGTACCATAAACTAGGTAACATACTTTGTACCATAAACTAGGTAACATACTTTGTACCATAAACTAGGTAACATACTTTGTACCATAAACTAGGTAACATACTTTGTACCATAAACTAGGTAACATACTTTGTACCATAAACTAAGTAACATACTTTGTACCATAAACTAGGTAACATACTTTGTACCATAAACTAAGTAACATACTTTGTACCATAAACTAGGTAACATACTTTGTACCATAAACTAGGTAACATACTTTGTACCATAAACTAGGTAAGATACTTTGTACCATAAACTAGGTAACATACTTTGTACCATAAACTAGGTAAGATACTTTGTACCATAAACTAGGTAACATACTTTGTACCATAAACTAGGTAACATACTTTGTACCATAAACTAGGTAACATACTTTGTACCATAAACTAGGTAACATACTTTGTACCATAAACTAAGTAACATACTTTGTACCATAAACTAGGTAACATACTTTGTACCATAAACTAAGTAACATACTTTGTACCATAAACTAGGTAACATACTTTGTACCATAAACTAGGTAAGATACTTTGTACCATAAACTAGGTAACATACTTTGTACCATAAACTAGGTAACATACTTTGTACCATAAACTAGGTAAGATACTTTGTACCATAAACTAGGTAACATACTTTGTACCATAAACTAGGTAACATACTTTGTACCATAAACTAGGTAACATACTTTGTACCATAAACTAGGTAACATACTTTGTACCATAAACTAGGTAACATACTTTGTACCATAAACTAAGTAAGATACTTTGTACCATAAACTAGGTAACATACTTTGTACCATAAACTAGGTAACATACTTTGTACCATAAACTAGGTAAGATACTTTGTACCATAAACTAGGTAACATACTTTGTACCATAAACTAGGTAACATACTTTGTACCATAAACTAGGTAAGATACTTTGTACCATAAACTAGGTAACATACTTTGTACCATAAACTAGGTAACATACTTTGTACCATAAACTAGGTAACATACTTTGTACCATAAACTAGGTAACATACTTTGTACCATAAACTAGGTAACATACTTTGTACCATAAACTAAGTAAGATACTTTGTACCATAAACTAGGTAACATACTTTGTTCCATAAACTAGGTAAGATACTTTGTTCCATAACCTAGGTAAGATACTTTGTACCATAAACTAGGTAAGATACTTTGTACCATAAACTAAGTAACATACTTTGTACCATAAACTAAGTAAGATACTTTGTTCCATAACCTAGGTAAGATACTTTGTACCATAAACTAGGTAAGATACTTTGTACCATAAACTAAGTAACATACTTTGTACCATAAACTAGGTAACATACTTTGTACCATAAACTAGGTAACATACTTTGTACCATAAACTAGGTAAGATACTTTGTACCATAAACTAGGTAAGATACTTTGTACCATAACCTAGGTAACATACTTTGTACCATAAACTAGGTAAGATACTTTGTACCATAAACTAGGTAACATACTTTGTACCATAACCTAGGTAAGATACTTTGTTCCATAACCTAGGTAACATACTTTGTACCATAACCTAGGTAACATACTTTGTACCATAAACTAGGTAACATACTTTGTACCATAAACTAGGTAACATACTTTGTACCATAAACTAGGTAACATACTTTGTACCATAAACTAGGTAACATACTTTGTACCATAAACTAGGTAACATACTTTGTACCATAAACTAGGTAACATACTTTGTACCATAACCTAGGTAAGATACTTTATTCCATAAACTAGGTAAGATACTTTGTACCATAAACTAGGTAAGATACTTTGTTCCATAAACTAGGTAACATACTTTGTACCATAACCTAGGTAAGATACTTTGTTCCATAAACTAGGTAACATACTTTGTACCATAAACTAGGTAAGATACTTTGTACCATGTCAAGGCAATTCCAAAAATTACTACATGGAGTGTCAGAGAAACATCTCCCTCCATTCAAGGCAATTTTATTCGTTTAGACTGACTATGGAAATATTGTCTTTTTTATATAAAGGAAGTCCATCTCATATATACAAGATTTTTAGCCCACCATCACCTTAGGTTTGTCGTCCGTCCGCACAATTTGTTATCACTATTTCTTGCGAATTCCTGGGTGAATTTCTCTCAAATGCAGGTTTCCCTTGGTTCCTAGCTATGCCCATTTGATTTTGAGAATGATCAGAAAAATAAAATGGCTGACAGGCGGCGATATTGGATTTTTCAATTAAGTTTATTATCGCTATTTCTGAGAAGTACTGGATGGATCTCAAATTTCATATATAAGTTCCCCTTGATCCCTAGCTGTTTTTATTTGAGAGTGATCAGAAAAACAAAATAGCCAACAGGTGGCAATTTTGCTTTGGCAGTCAAAGATTATTATTGTTGTTTCTGCAAAGGAATGTTCAAATTTTTTATCATTATGTGTAAAAAAAAGAAAAAAGAAGGGATAAGATCCAACTTTCAAAGAAAAAATAAAAATCAAACAATGGTGGGTGCCAAAATCTCTCTTGGATCTTTGGTTTTGTACTTAAATACATGTATCTGCAATAAAGAGGAAATTTAAGCATATGTCAGTTTCATTTCTATCAATTTGTTGCGAATTGATTTGAAACATGATTTTTTTTCATGTGGAAACATTCATTTCTTTATTATAATGTGCTTGATTTCATCAAATTTGCAAAACAAAAGATTCTGGTTATCTGTTAATTATAACAGCATTTTCATTTGACACTGCAAACATTCCTTTGAATGGATCTTCTTTTGGACTGTTTTTGTGCTAGGCATCAGTAAAGGTGATCCTCTGTTTGACAGCAAATCTGATTTACTGACAAAGTTGGGACTGGAAGTGTAAGTATGGAAGACTTTTCAATAAACTAGTCTCATCAAGTAATGTCAATTGACTATATTGAAGCTTTTGAACTTGTTGGCAATGCTCAGAAAGGAAAGTGAATACCTCCAAGCATAGAAAATATACATTGAGGTAACTTATATTATGACAGATTTGTATACGCAAGTACCCATTAAATGTCTGAATCTTGATAATAAATGCTTTTCTTTTTCTTTAAAATTACATTGTAAGTTACAGATCATTCATGGCAAAAATTAAGGTTTGGCTGGAATTAAAGATTCCCAACTGGCTGCACACAGCAAGATTTGCAAAAAAAAAAAAAACCTGTAATATGGTAGACATTAGTTTTCATTATTTAAAGTTGTGGAGATACAAAATGTTTTTGTTTAACATTTTAGCTCTCGTTCCTTCTTCATACATCGAGGGAGATTTCCACTTGATCCACAAATCCTTGCCTTCCTGAGAATCTTCTGCATGTCTGAGGGTAAATATACAGATACGTCTCACCAAGGAGATCATCCTAGGAACAAATAAATTGAACACTAATTTGAATCAGTGGTACACATGTTCCATATCAAATTTGACTTGTTGATGTTAAGATAAATTGATAGTCGATGTGTATTGTGCTGTATATTTGTTTTTGCAAAAGCTGATGATAATTTAAACTATGCCTCAAGTGTTACAATATCCGTGCTTGAAACCATTAGCAAGCCACAATATTCATTGATACCAGAAGCTATATCACTAACATGTTAGTATTTGGTGAGTCTACATCTTAACCAGGCAACAGTTAAAAAGTCAATAATACTGTAATTACTGTGTCATATCCTCGAAAGAATATCTAATTTCACAAAAAATTACTGTTTTGATTCTGAAGAGAATCTGAAGGAGTTGCAGTCGTCTCCCCTGACGGAAGAGAAGATGGAGAGTCTTGGTGAGGTTTCTACCCCCGTATCAATTGAAAATGATGAGAAGGTGTGGTCATTTCTAGAGACCCGCACAGCTTTGTTACAGAAAGCTTATGACACCACTGCAGAGGTAATTATATAGAATATTAGCTTTCCGTAGCAACTCCAAATTTTCAGCTGATCACCAACAAAACAACTGCTTAACATATATACAAATTGAACTGATGTTGGACAGAAGTCCTTTGAAAATATTCTGCTTAACACTTGGTTAGAAAAGTGAAGAGTTTTCCTGATCTTTCTCTAATAGAGTATAGATAGGATGGAATGATGAATAAGGATAAATCCTAAAGAAGTTTTGTGATTTATTCACTTAACACATGATTCACTTGTTATTCAATGAATGTAATAATTTGATGCTTTAAAAAAATCTCTCAGATTGCATTGTGATGTAACAATGGAGGCCATAGATACAGATTTAAAATTACTTCAGATTTTAAATGAAAAGGTTCATTTTCTGCAATATTTGCCTAAGTAATCCATTTTGTGATAAAAAAATCTAAAATACGTTTTGTATGATATATCTGATTTATGGAAAAAGTCTAAGAATTTCTATTTTAGAAAGTCATTAGCTAGCTTAAATGAAAAAATTGTTGACTTACATGAAAAGTATTGCAGACATTTGTATGTCAAACTTTCAGTAACTTTGCCTTTATGTCTAGGTCATTATTATTGGAACTCATTTTACCAGTAAATTGATTGTCAAACATTGTCTCCAGATTTCTCCTAGCAATTATTACAAAGAAATCAGAAATTACTATTAAAGGAAAGTGCTGTCATTTTTCTGTTTCTTTTTTCCTTCAGGAAGATGAGGAGCTTATAAAGTCATCAGATTACAATGAAAACCAAAAACTGTTGATTTGTCTACGTAGGTGTGAAAAAAGAATCTTGTTATCAACACAAACATATGCCAAAACAATGAAAGAAACATTGATTTCAAAACAGAACAAAGATTGACTGTTGTTACGTCACTAGAAACAAAGCATGGAAGACATTGTGGAATTGCAGCTGCTGAAACAGATATCATCTCTGTTCGAATCTTGAAATTTCAGGGTTTTTAAATTATACTGTTCAGGTATTGCAACAGCACTGTGAATAGACCTACATTTGATTTCTATTCCTCTATAAAGAAACAGATAAGCATATTTCTTCATTAGGTATACATGTAGTATATATTTGTAGTGTGCATTAACTGATAAAACATTGATAAACATAACTTCCTGTGTAAAGGTCTCAAGCTAGATCGCTTTTAAAATACAAGATTAGAACAGCTATAATTGTGATAAATTGGGTTTGATTAACCAGGCAGTGATACATTTGTGTGTGTAGGATATCTGAACATAGTGCTACCAGTTTCCTTATTTCTATACTTAATTGCTGTATGAGTTCATGTCGAAAGCATCATTATAATTGGAGATTCACGTTGATATGACTGGAGTAATTGATGATGTTGGCATTTTACACATATAAACTCTTAATATTAATACATCATTGAAAGAAGTGAAAAACACGTCATGCTAAATCTGCATGAATTAAATTATGAATGAATGAATTTGAAATTGTTTGTCTTTGGTCGCTTTTACATAACTGGTTGAAACAGTTGGATGGGTTAAACATGCAAGAAAATTGCCAGATACAGATCTGTACCAAGGCAATACAATAGAATAGTCGGCAGATTGAAGGGCTCAGTTGTAATTGTCAAAAACGAACTTGCTGGATGACATTAGTTTTCATAATTTCAGCATAAAGCAGGATTGGTACATGTACAATAATTGTACATATTTCCATGCTGATAAGTACATGTTAAATGGATGGCATCATATTTGTTTAGTTTATGCTTGACAGGAAATTCATTAATGGGAAATCTTAAACTTTATATCAAACATTCAGTACATGTGCATTCATTTATTTTTTAATAATTCCAGACCACTTGAATTGTTTCAACTAGTTTATGCAAAAGTGGCATTAATGTATGATGTGCACCAGGTTTGATTTGTTGTTATAACTTAATATTTATATCAGAACAAACTGCTTCTGATAAAAGATCACAAGATGTTCACATCTTCCAGATAGGATCTAATGTGTCGTTACTTTCATTGTAAAAATCTTCAAACTTAAGCTGTTGCAAAGATGCAAAAACCAGTAAACAAAATTTCATAACATTTTGTACGATGTTGGTTGTGTATAACATAAACCTGCATCACTATGTATTATTGTATCTATTCACCTATCCACCTGATTTCAGTTTTATATCATGTAATTGTTGATCTTTTATAATTAATGTTTCAAAAGTCGCAATCCAATCTATGTGTAAGAAAATCCATCTTCTATAATTAGCCTACAGGTGTCAACAAAATGTGGTGTTAAACTGAGGCAAATTCCGGCAAGACAGGTTTTCATCACAAATCACATAACCTAGACTTAATTAAAATAGAACAAGGAATTTCCCTGACATCAGGTTATTATTACAAATTGACAACCTTGATTAAAAATAAACTTATCTTAGTCATAATAGGGACATCTTAAATGTGGTATCATATGAGGATTTTCAGTCTTGAAAAGGTGATATTTCCAAAGTCAATATCACCTTGTGGAGATTGACAAATCCTCATATCATGTTTAAACAAGAGACATTAATTGACATAAGTTGTGTAACATTAATTGGTGACTGAACAAGTTTCATCTACCTGTTAAGAATTTAAAACAGTAAACCTTGTCATGGTGAAAGTTGATCAAGGTTGTGCAGTTGAACTAACTTAGAAGCTATCTTATCATATGCACATCGACTAGATAGTATAGTATAAAGGTTTCAATTGTAATGTTATGGACCATTAATTATTTGAAGTTTTCATAAGGAAGACTGGATGGAGTACAGGGCCAGTCCTCGCTATGAATAAATATATACCAGGCATCTGTATATTATAAGGTGGAAATTTGGCTAGATTGAGAAAATCACTTGTATAAGAAGACAAAATTTTAAATGTTGTAAACAAGGATATAGTCATTGAGAACCCCTGCCAAGGGAGAACTGCCAAGGGAGGTTTAATTTCATGGTTTGTTTCCCATGACAATGAAGAAATATCAGAAATGGAAACCCTAATAGCAAGTGACAGGCATTTGATTGTTGTTTCTACGATAAGTGTTTTCAAGTTATGGTCAGGAAACAGTGATGTACATTGAAGCATTTTACAAAATAAAAAATCTACCAATTTTTTTTTAAATATTTATACAAAACAAATTTCCCTTCACCTGAGCATGCCTGGGACTAAATTTGGACAATATCCTGCAATTTCTCAAGAGGCGTGATGATAGATTTTAAAGAAATTGATAGATTTTCCCTATTTGTCCTCACCCCTCTGGCCTCAGGGAGACGAGGCCCATCTTTTGTACAAAACTGATTTTTCTTCACCCAAGCATGCTTCAATTCCTGAAGAACATGCATAGTTTTAATGGTTTCTAAGTTTGAAGGCTGAATTTTCAATTAGACCAAACTGATAACACTGTCTGTTGTTGTAGTTTATCATATTTGACCCCTGTGAATGAAGGTCAAGGTCATTCATTCAAACAAACTTGGTAGCCCTTCATCCCAGCATGCTACTGGCACAATATCATGACACAGGGTCATTGTGTTATTGTGAAGAAGTCATTTCCACACATTTGACCCCATGTGACCTTGAAAGTATGTCAAGGTCATTCATCTGAACATAGAAGATAGCCCTTTATCCCAGCATGCTACTGGCCAAATATCATGACCCTGGACCATTTGGGTACTTTGAACAAATATGACAGTCCTTCATCCTTGCATGCTACTGGCCAAATATACTGGCCTTGGCTTTTTGGTTATTGTGAGGAAATTGTTTAAAGATTTCTAATACATTTGACTCCTGTAACCAAGGTCATTCATTTGACCCAATTATGTAGTCCTTCATATAACCCTGATAAATACTAGATGCAATATACCGCTCAGCTAGAGAGAGCTTCTATTTAGCTCGATCGGTTGAGCATCAGACTAGTAAGCCAGGGTTTCTTGGTTAAAATTCCTAGCAGAGGCATTGAAATATAGAATGACCTCTGTTACATTATGCTTCTGGGCTAGTATCGTGACCTTGCACCAATTGTTTATTTGGAAGAAGTCATTTAAAGATGTTAACACATTTGACCCCTGTGACATTCAAAATAGGTCCTCATTCATTTGAACACACTTAAAAGCCCTTCATCCTGGCATGCTACTAGCCCAATACCTTGACCCTGGGCCTTTTGTTTTTTGAGAAGTCGTAAATTGTTTATATCTGCTGATGTACAACGCCGGAAAAAAGACACTCAGTCATTCATGAATTGTTACAATATATACCAATAGTTGACAGATGATGACGGATGCTGCAGGATCTCTATGAATTAATAAATATTTGTTGTGATAAAACAGAAAAGCTGTATTTACTGACATGTACAGTAATTTGCTTGCTTAGGAACTAGCATTGGTAGGTCATCAGGTGCAGATATAGGTTTCCATTTGATACTTCAATAAGCATATTTAGAATATTGTGTCTAATTTAGAGTAATGTGTCAAAATGTTTTTACCAGTGTCTGTTATGATCCTATATACCTTTTTCGTATTTACACAGAAAATGCAACCTCACAAATGTAAATGTCTAGACATTCAAATAACCAACCAAGTTTGAACTTTCTTGCAATCATGACAACTAAAACACATACAGAATAAACATGTTGAAAAATTAATTTTATATTTCTACTTCATGCAGTTTATGTCTATCTGACGAACAGCATGATCACTGTCTATATCATTATTTGAAAAATACAAGTGCAGCTATAATCATTACAAGAGAAATAATTAAAAACTGGAAGAAACAACTTAAATCAAATCTTCTGAAAATTAACATGTTTTTTCAAACTGAGTTATTTACCCCGACATTCGAAGACAGATATTCAATAATGCTTGTAATTGCATTAAGAACACTTCCTCTATTGATCAGAACTTACAAAATGTGTATAAAATAAATTTTCATTTAATGTTTCATGAGTTAAATTGTTTATAAACACAAAGTAATGGGATTTTTTTCAAATAATTCAAATTTTTGTTGCCATGGTAACTTTAAAATGCAAAAAGAAATTAATTTGCTCTGAAATTCTAATAAAAAAGCTATTTCAGATTCCAATTATAATATATTCTGGTAGTTGACTAAACTACTTAATTTTGTTATATAAACCTTTTCTTGTGTAATGAAATTTGGACAGACAGAAATAGAATTTGCTAATTTTGACAGTATGTTATATTTGAAAAATGTGCTGGTAACCATGGCAACAACCATAAATGAGTGAATTTCTGGCCTAAACATATCCTTAGGTTCCTACTGCAGTAGTTCACAATACTATGGAGTTTGGAAATATTTTTTATATTCACTTCCATCATCGAAAACATTTGCTAATGATCGGAAATTAATATGTTTTCAAATATTCAAAATGCTGGTTGCTATGGTAACATCATAAATAGATAACATGATTTTTGTCAGAAGATTTAAAAAGCTTGTATTCTTATGTTTCTAAATATACAGGAGTTGTTTACCAAAAGATGACTGGAAAAGGGTGAAAAAAGCAAAATGACAGATTTTCCTTGGAGTCGTTAAAAATTCCTTGGAGTTAAGGGGTTAATAAATCTCATCAGTGTACCTGTAGTTTCACCCACCTAATAATTTCTTTAACAACTTTCACAGACTGATCATTTTTGTGAAACATTTATGCATTAAACAGTACTGTTTATGTAATCCTCAAGTTCACCTTCATTTAAATATTGCTTTATTTTAAACAATAAAAGTATTAGAAAATGAAATGTCCGTATCTGCATATTTGTACTTGTAATTCTTGACTTATAGCTGATATTGCATAATTGCTTATTTTCAACTACAAAAATCTTTCAGGTAATTAACTTTTAAGCAAATCATCCACTATTAATATAGCTTAACTGAATTTAAACTTCATATCCATATCTGGGTCTGGAGAAGAAGATTTTTAGGTCGCCTGAGCCAAAGGCTCATGGTGACCTATTGCCATCATGATTTGTCTGTCGTCGTGCGTCGTTAACTTTTCACATATTCAACTTCTTCTCAAGAACCACTGAATGCATTTTGAGCAAACTTGGCACAAAGCATCCCCATGGGAAGCCGCTTCAAGTTTGCGAAGAAAAAGGGTGTGGTCCCAATAGGGGCCGCAGGAGGGTGAAAAAGGGGGTAAAATTAGGTAAATCTTTAAAAAATCTGCTTCTCATGAGCCAACGGTCAGATTAAATTCATATTTGATATTTAGGGTCCTTATGGCAAGGTCTACAATGTTTGCGAGTGAAAAAAAAAATCGGGTCAAAAACGGCCCCACTAGGGGGCGCTCAAAAGGGTAAAAAATTAAACTTTGACCGATTTCAACCAAATTTGGTAGAAAGCATCCCTTAGTGAAGGACATATGGAATTATGTTGAAAAAAGTGATTATGTCCCCTTTGGGGCCCATAAGGGGTGTAAAAGGGGCCATATCTAAAAACCTTCATTAAATGACTACTTCTCAAGAACCAGTGGATGGATTTTGACCAAACTTGGCACAAAGCATCCTCATGGAAAGCTGCTTCAAGTTTGTGAAGAAAAAGGGTGTGGCCCCAATAGGGGGGAAAAGGGGAAACTTGATACGAATGCTCTACACAAGGTCCTGGCAAGTGTTTTAACTTTTTGGGGCGATTCAAAATCAAAGATGGCCACCCTGGCCTCTGTTTGGCTAAGACATTATGGACTTCCTCTCGAGAACCATTGGGTGGGCCATGTTCAAAATTGGTACAGATGTTTTACACATGGTCCTACACAAGTGTTGTTACATTTTTGCAACATTTTAAAATCCCCAGATTATTGACATATATTCCTCAGGTGACCGTTAAGGCCCCTTAGGCCTCTTGTTAAATTTAAGTCAATTTGACCCATTTTGGCTCTGCCCCTGGGGGTCAGTCAGGATCAAAATGGGGATACCATCAAGCTGTCATCCTTCACTCATAATTCTAACCAAGTTTGAAATATTTCCAATGGAAATTAAACAAATTATGCTAAAAAATCTAGTTTTCCTATATAAATTATAGTAAACTTTACCCCCTCCCACAGGGATTTGTGAAACCCTGGGGCCATGAAATTCACAATTTTGGTAAAGCACCTCAAGATGCTTCCATTCATAAAGAGTATTTGATTCTACCATATCTGGGTCTTGAGAAGATTTTTGAAATCTGAGTCAATTAGACCCCTTTTGGCCCAGCCCCTCAGGCCCCTGAGTGGTGGGGACTGTATAATTCACAATTTTGTTTCATCTTATGCAAGTGAAGGTTTCTGCGAAATTTCATTGAAATTGGATCTGGGGTTTTTGATAAGTCAAAAGTGTTAAATTGTTTACGGATGACGATGCCGAATGAATGGTATTAGAATAGGTCATCATGAGACTTTGTCTCAAGTGACCTAAAAAATATACTGAAAGGATAAAGAAATGCAGGGTAATATTTATTCCGATATTTTGAAAACACGTTCTCCAAATAATGTGAAACTTTGTGGATTGAGTAATTAGGTCATATTACACCTTGTCATGTATCGAAAATTTAGTCATGGTACAGTGCGCAGCTCTGGTAAATGGAGGAGGGAAAAAACAAGAATCTCGTGCACCGTGTTGTTCTAGTCTCATGCAGCGTTGGTCAAGTCACACTTCGTTAAGTCTTCATACAGACCAACTGCTTCCCTAAAATTAATTGAGAATTTGATTCGTTTTAAGAATGGCACAACTCACAGAAGTTCAGAGGGGTCAGGCCATTCAGATGCTGATGCAAGGACAGCTGCAAAATCGCATTGCTAGGCACTTTGGTGTTAATGTTTCCACCATAGAACGTCTTGTATGGCGATTGGCCGATCGACCTAGGTCAGGACGTCTGCGCGTAACGTCACAACGTCAGGATCGCTATATCGTCGTCTCTTATGTGCGTAATCGGCACCTTACTGCCGTTGAGAGTGCACTTAATGTTCGTGGAAATCATGGGTGTCCTATAAGTTCAAAAACAATTACGAGAAGTTGGTGTAAGAGCACGTCGCCCCTACGTAGGTCCACACCTTACCCCTGCTCGACGTCAGCATCATATGGCCTGCTCCATAAGGTTTCCACTGAGGCAGTGGAGACAAGTTTTCTTCATGGATGAGTCTCGATTCTGTCTTTATCGATCTGATGGCCGTCAACGTGTCTACCGACATCGTGGTGAACGTTTTACGGATGCTTGCGTTGTAGAGAGGGATAGGTTTGGGGGCGGTTCAGTAATGGTGTGGGGAGGAATCTCACACGGGTTAAAATCACAATTGGTTGTTATTGGTGGCAATTTAACAGCAGCTAAGTATAGAGATGAGATCCTCCGACCCCATGTTATCCCTTTCTTACAGCAGCATAATCTAACCCTCCAGCAGGATAATGCTAGGCCCCACGTAGCAAGGATTTGCCAAGTCTTTCTGGCCAACAACAACATTCAACCACTAGATTGGTCGCCATATAGCCCTGAACTCTATGACCAGAAGAATAAGGGCCGTGACCACAGCAATTTCAAAATCCTATGGGTCTATTCAATTTAATTGTTAGTACCTCTAAACCAATTGTCAGATGCAAAATACGAACTTTGGAAATTTTAAGCTTTAATTTATCTGTAAGTATACAATATTTCGTTCTTTATCCTTTTAGTATACATACCAATATATTCTCAAGTGAACTTTCCATTTAAAACTAGACATCAATTGTGTTACATTACTGTTGATCAATTATTATTTTCATTTACCACCCTAATGATTTAATGTAAAAGTCTGTTGTATTTGTTTCTGGACTGCACAAACTTTGACCTCTTGAATGTGTGCAAATGTCACCATGGTCAAGGTCATTCATTTGACAAACTTGGTAGCCCAGTATCCAAGCATGCTACAGGTCCAATATCAATTCCCTGAACCTTCGAGTTATTTAGAAGTTGTTAAAAAGATTTTCTTATAATTGACCCCTTTGACCTTGAAAGTGGGTCAAAGTCATTCATTTGAACAAACTCTGTAGTACTTCATCCTAGCATGCCACAGGTCCAATATCAGTACCCTGGGCCTTTCAGTTAATGGGAAGAAGTTGTTAGATTTTCATACATTTGACCCATGCAAACTTGAAAGTGGGTCAAGGAAATTCATTTAAACAAACTTGGTAGTCCTTGTTGATAAGACACAAATGGCTTACTATGAATACAAATGTTTCACCTTTTGTGATGTACACCTATGATGGAACAAAATAACAATAATGCTGCTATCAAAATACAATTTTAATGATTTAACATTGCATCATCACTATATATATCTTTCCATTTGACAGTTTTTATCACATAACAATGATGTTGAATAAAACATCTACACATGTTAACAGAAATATAGAAAATATCCAGATTTACAGGAGCTTCTCGGCTTTGCCTTGCTCACTATAAATCTAACTGACATTCCAGTATTTCTTAAGACCAAAGGTAATTGATCCAGAAAATGAGTTTTCACACAGAAAGCATCAAAATTCCCACATTTAAATCAAATTTATTCTGATTCAACAGTCACAAATTTAAATTAACTTGTAACCTAACTGAAGGGTAGGACATACATTTAATGTTTTAGAGCTGACTAATTGCAAAGTCTTACGTTCATGATTAACCTGACTGAAAAATTCACATGTTTAAATGAAACAAGGCTGAATCCGGCTTTCCTGAGCTAATTTTCATGTAGATGTAGGTTAACCTATTATTACTTGTGACAAATTACAGCATAAGTTACAATAGGTTACATTGAAACAGGACACCAAATAAAGAGTGTATTCAAAACAAAGATTATCTTAGTGAAGCTAGTACATGGAGTCCATATAAATAAAAAATCACTTTATTTTTGCCAGAACAGCAGCCCTTCTTTCTGTGTTCTGGAATAAGGCCCTTATAAGCTGTTTCATCTCATTTGGGGTAAATTCCATTGCCAGAGGTCCTTTTCCCTCTGCCCACCTATCACAAATCTCCAATAAGCTGGCATTTAATACTGTTATTAGTTCTTTAAAACGAAGCCACTTCAAGACATTTTTCTGGAGTTCAAAGGTCAGGTTGACTTTGTCATCCGAAGGTGTTTGCAGTAAAGGTCCAGCTTTATCCATTATGATGGTAAGGAGTGTAGCAAGCTGACGAGCATCATCTGAGGATATATCCTCCAGTACTACGATGGAAGCTGTGATGTCCACCAGCACAGAGTTCAGCAGTGTACCTGTTAAGTGGAATCATGAAACAATTAGAACAAACAGGCGTTGGGAAGGATGCAACTTTCATTATAATCACACATAATACTATATTAGTAAACCATTGATTCAAAACATGCCATGAATGGGAAATCCCCCCCATCCTAATAACAAATCCCTATATCCAAGAACATCCCAGTTTGTCAATAATCACTAGATAACTGATATCAGCACCTAGAGTTACCTCCTACCTCCCAGTAACCATTAGATAACTGATATCAGCACCTAGAGTTATCTCCTACCTCCCAGTAACCATTAGATAACTGATATCACCACCTAGAGTTATCTCCTACCTCCCAGTAACCATTAGATAACTGATATCAGCACCTAGAGTTACCTCCTACCTCCCAGTAACCATTAGATAACTGATATCAGCACCTAGAGTTACCTCCTACCTCCCAGTAACCATTAGATAACTGATATCAGCACCTAGAGTTACCTCCTACCTCCCAGTAACCATTAGATAATTGATATCAGCACCTAGAGTTACCTCCTACCTCCCAGTAACCATTAGATAATTGATATCAGCACCTAGATATATCTCCTACCTCACAGAAACCATTAGATGGCAGCTTCTAGAGTTACCTCCTACCTCCCAGTAACCATTAGATAACTGATATCAGCACCTAGATCTCCTACCTCAAAGAAACCATTAGATGGCAGCTTCTAGAGTTACCTCCTACCTCACAGAAACCATTAGATAACTGATATCAGCACCTAGATATATCTCCTACCTCACAGAAACCATTAAATGGCAGCTTCTAGAGTTATCTCCTACCTCCCAGTAACCATTAGATAACTGATATCAGCACCTAGAGTTACCTCCTACCTCCCAGTAACCATTAGATAATTGATATCAGCACCTAGATATATCTCCTACCTCACAGAAACCATTAGATGGCAGCTTCTAGAGTTACCTCCTACCTCCCAGTAACCATTAGATAACTGATATCAGCACCTAGATCTCCTACCTCAAAGAAACCATTAGATGGCAGCTTCTAGAGTTACCTCCTACCTCACAGAAACCATTAGATAACTGATATCAGCACCTAGATATATCTCCTACCTCACAGAAACCATTAAATGGCAGCTTCTAGAGTTACCTCCTACCTCCCAGTAACCATTAGAGGGCAGCTTCTAGAGTTACCTCCTACCTCCCAGTAACCATTAGATAACTGATATCAGCACCTAGAGTTATCTCCTACCTCACAGAAACCATTAGATGGCAGCTTCTAGAGTTACCTCCTACCTCCCAGTAACCATTAGATAACTGATATCAGCACCTAGATATATCTCCTACCTCACAGAAACCATTAGATGGCAGCTTCTAGAGTTATCTCCTACCTCCCAGTAACCATTAGATAACTGATATCACCACCTAGAGTTATCTCCTACCTCCCAGTAACCATTAGAGGGCAGCTTCTAGAGTTATCTCCTACCTCCCAGTAACCATTAGATAACTGATATCACCACCTAGATATATCTCCTACCTCAAAGAAACCATTAGATGGCAGCTTCTAGAGTTACCTCCTACCTCCCAGTAACCATTAGATAACTGATATCAGCACCTAGATATATCTCCTACCTCACAGAAACCATTAGATGGCAGCTTCTAGAGTTATCTCCTACCTCCCAGTAACCATTAGATAACTGATATCACCACCTAGAGTTATCTCCTACCTCCCAGTAACCATTAGAGGGCAGCTTCTAGAGTTATCTCCTACCTCCCAGTAACCATTAGAGGGCAGCTTCTAGAGTTATCTCCTACCTCCCAGTAACCATTAGATAACTGATATCACCACCTAGATATATCTCCTACCTCAAAGAAACCATTAGATGGCAGCTTCTAGAGTTACCTCCTACCTCCCAGTAACCATTAGATAACTGATATCAGCACCTAGATATATCTCCTACCTCACAGAAACCATTAGAGGGCAGCTTCTAGAGTTATCTCCTACCTCCCAGTAACCATTAGATAACTGATATCAGCACCTAGATATATCTCCTACCTCACAGAAACCATTAGATGGCAGCTTCTAGAGTTACCTCCTACCTCCCAGTAACCATTAGATAACTGATATCAGCACCTAGATATATCTCCTACCTCCCAGTAACCATTAGAGGGCAGCTTCTAGAGTTATCTCCTACCTCCCAGTAACCACTAGATGGCAATACCCTAGATTTACCTACTACCTCCCAGTAACCACTATATATCAATACCTTAGATTTACCTACTACCTCCCAGTAACCACTAGATAGCAATACCCTAGATGTACCTACTACCTCCCAGTAACCACTAGATAGCAATACCCTAGATTTATCTACTACCTTCCAGTAACAACTAGATGGCAGCACCTTGATTTACCTACTACCTCCCAGTAACCACTCGATGGCAGTACCCTAGATTTACCTACTACCTCCCAGTAACAACTAGATAGCAATACCCTAGATTTACCTACTACCTCCCAGTAACCACTATATAACAATACCCTAGATTTACCTACTACCTCCCAGTAACCACTAGATTGTAATTCCCTAGACTTACCTACTACCTCCCAGTAACAACTAGATAGCAATACCCTAGACTTACCTACTACCTCCCAGTAACAACTAGATAGCAATACCCTAGACTTACCTACTACCTCCCAGTAACAACTAGATAGCAATACCCTAGACTTACCTACTACCTCCCAGTAACCACTAGATAGCAATACCCTAGACTTACCTACTACCTCCCAGTAACAACTAGATAGCAATATCCTTAATTTACCTACAACATTGCATGTGATTCGTGACTCCAGGTAGAAAGCGTTTTGCATAGATTGTTCTCATGCATAAAATGTTGAGGGGTTGCTGTCAACAAAGTAAGGACATTTTTCAGTTTTTCGTAAATCAGTACATGTTTTCATGAAGACACAATCTTGACAAATATTAATGAATGAACTTGAAATATATTCCTTTTCTGTTCTTTATTCAGATCTGGGGCAGATTGCTGAAACAATCTTTCATTTGGGGTTACCAGCCCCAGTTGACAGGACTTTCAGTGTGCATTTTGCAAACTGTTGTCTGGCCCCATATGCAGGCAGCTTGGAAGGCAGATCGTTTCACATGCTGAACGAGGGATGCACTTGTCGGTGAAATGGCATCATCTGTTGATTGGCTGCATGAAGAGCATGTTTAAAGATTCTGGAGTCAGCTTCTTCGTGGTTGCAAGGACTTGAGCCTTCAAGGCTGATGGGTTTGTTTGAAAGAGCCTGTTCTCCTTTGGTCACAACTATGTTATTGTTGGGACATGGGATCACCATCTTGTCAGCTAGAAACCCGAAGAGCGACTGGACCAATGTCTTTTTCAAATGCCAGAAGTATATCTCACCCTTTCTTGTAGGCTGCAAGTCCTGGTATCTCTGCCAAAAGCCTCCCTTTTAATCGGGTCGAGTTCACGTCAGGTATGTCTTTCCCAAACTGCTCAAATCTCTCCCTGTAAAGACTAACCAATTCTGCAAGTCGGAACACAGCGTGCTCATTACTGTTGTTTTTTGTCTCATTGACATAGGTCAGAAGTTCAAAGAACACCAAAGGAAAGGCTTCCTTTTCTTGAGACAACTGGAGATTTTCTTTGTTCTCTGATGCAATGTGTGTCCTCTCTCTGTTATACAGGGCTGTTAAACAAGAGCAGCGGTATTTAAGTTCCAGGGACACCACATCTCCACCACTCATTAAAACTAGAAGCTTACCATCATTAAGTTTACGAGCGCATTCACTGAGTCTCTCATTTAGCTGCATGGTCATGGATTGTCGCAGCTCTGATGTTGGTTCCATTTTTTCACATAAGAAACACCACTGCACTTCAATGCTAGTCCTTCACATTTTTGAGTGTCCTTGAGCAGGATCATTCTGAATTTCTGAATTGGCACGCTCGAGTTTGCAGTTGCTAAAAATTTGGCGACAATTTTAGTGATACTTTGCACTGTTTCACCTCAATGTATCTAATCTGATGGGCAACAGGTTAATTGCCTGAAATTGTGGTATGTTTTTGGCTATCATGGAATAGCCATCAGAACTACACTCATAACAGGTAGGGGGATACTTCAACTCCTCTTTCATATCCGCAACACTTCCTCCAGTCAGTTTCAATTGTGCAGCTCAATGGATTGTTGGCGGACATCTAGTGTTATAAAGTTAAATGCCGAGAGTTTATCCTTTTACCACCCAACCATACAAAACATCAAAGCACATTAAAATATGGGATACAACTAGGTTCAAGCATCAGTGCCCTACACCTAGCCCCTTATCCTTGGCTCGGCTCTCCCACGCTGGCACATCCTCTCAATTCAGGTGTGGCTATCTAAGTACAATACTACAACTAACTAAACCTCCAGTTGAGGTATATACAGGGGCTTATTAGATAGCATCTGGGCCACCAAAGTGTAGAACAAACCACAGTGAGTACACCACTTCAACAGTTTACAGCTAGTAAACTACAAGCCGACACTGAACCCCATGCTGAGTCTCACAGCAGTGATGTTACCAGTGTGCCCTGGTTGTGCTTTGACATCACTCTTATAAAATAATACAAACCAATAGAGCCTGACCGCAGCATTTTAAAGAATGAACATGGATGTTGCCCTTCGTGATCAGACATCTTATGAAAACGCTAATTTTGAATCATGTAATAGCTGCCATCTTGAAAATGGGTGGTCATATTGGAATTCAATTGACAACATTGAGTTTTTCAAGTCAGAATACTTTCATTTTGATGTTTGGGTCATTGACACATTTCTGTTCATTCAAGTTTTACTTCAAAAACCATTTTATTGCATTTGACGAGGCGGCCATCTTGAAAACTGGTGGCCATCTTGTATTTTCAGCTGGATAACATACTTTTCTTAAAAAAGTACATCCTAAACATCATTTGTGCCGAACTTGGTGCTTGTATCACAAAATGAATGAGTCTTATGGAATATTGTCTTAATCTGCCCCACTAATCCATGAAGAAATCAGGCAAGGTCATGTCAAAGATTATGTATCATTTTCAGCGAACTTTTGTGAAGAAATTATTATTAAAATTTCTTTCAAGATGACACAAATGTAGTTTGAATATATGGTAATTTGGATATCAACATACCCTTACAAAACAAGTGCTTTGCTCTTAATGTAAACAATTTTTTTTTGTTGAAATTTACATGTTATTAATCTATAAAGTATGTGTAGGTGATAATAAGATAACCATTCCAGTTTTGCCATCATGAAATTAATCCCTTGTATTGTTTCTTTTCATGAGGATCAATTCATTTGCCATTAATATTATTTATTATAACAAACAACATAACACTTTGCTATGAACATAGAGTTGTAAATTTTGCTGGCATAAAATCTTAACATTGCTGATAGAAATATTGCCAGTTGCCATAATTTGCTAGCATTTCAATTTGTTAATTTTGACCCTTGTTAATTACCTATTGCCTTCCTATAAACACTAGATGGCAGCACCTCTTGCCAGACCTTCTGGAGATGATGAAACTGATGAATGGTCTGTTTTATAGCACGTTCTGCATCAAAGTACATGTTCTCCTCTGCAACACTGGCAAATCCTGTCAATAGAAAGTCATACACAGGCAATATGTAAATGTAACAAACATTCAGGTGAACAGGAACATTATTCATTCTATTTGATAAAATGGAGAAAAAGATACCAGTGGCATGTAGTCTAAAATACTTATCAGATTTACAATATCACTAAAAAAAATGTTTTGTAAACATTAATTTACAACTCCCGCTTTCTAATCAATAGCCAAATATTTATGATGGAGGTTACAATAAACTTTGTACCTTTTGCTCCTCCAAGGCACTCTGCCATCACACCTTTCTGTCGCGACATCTGCTGTAGGAATGTGTCTATCCCAAGTCTACGTATTTTCTGTACGAGGTCAACAAATGTTGCATTGATCGATGGAGGCAACTTTTTCCGGAACTGATGGCCCATTGTCATCAGGTGGTGGGCAATGAACATACAGTTGTTGTGGAAAAGAGCTGCATTAAAGAAAATGAACCATGACGGTTAATGTCCCACAACAAACACTACTGACTGAATCTCACAAAATCATTTAACACTCTGATCCTCACAAACCCCTGTAAATGTAGTCCTTCATATTAATTACGCAATGCAGGTTTTAGATAGCTAAAATTCATATCTTTATTCCAAATCAACTTCTGTTTGACCATTCAAACAACATTCCGTCTCCTAAAAACTGGATCTCATTCCTGAATTCAAGACATGACTATCAAAGTCTTTATGATAATAATTTTGATACTCCATATTTGGAGTGAACCACAATTTCATTGTCTGCTGTCAGCTGGGTTCAAATGGAAGCCTTGCATATTTAATAGAAGTTCATGTAATACAATCCATGCAGCTTATCCACAGAATCATGTGAAAAACACACATTCTCAATTTAAAACTTTCATTCAGATTCATATGCAATGTATACTAGCTTATTTCTTTTCCTAGAAGTCAAAGACTTAAAGACATAATTTACTTCACAATACTTTGCTAACTCACCACTTAACTGTGGGAAGTTGACCAGACTTTCTTTGTGGTAAGTGGGGAAAACACAATAAAACAACTCCAGCATATTCCTGACAGCATAAAACAGCTGTACTGCACACTGTGGTGAACTCTCACCAGCTTCATGTAGAGTTTCATAAGCAAGAGTCAGTAGCTGCTGAATACAGACACTGAAACAAATAAACTCAAATTTCTTACAATACTGATTTCAAAACACACTGAAACAAGATTGTGAGAAAGTTTCATACACAATGTATAAAGAACTAAATAAAATATTTACAATGTTTAGCAACAAATTATATCAAAATCTTGTTTTTTCTTCTCACATCTAACATTCATTACGGAATCTTGGTAATATATCTGTATATAAACTAAGGATACATGTTCACTTCTTTTCATTGGATACTTACCTGACGTGACAGGTTGGTAACTTGAAGGTATTATCACTGAGTTTGCATTCTCCCGCCAAGTCTAATTTCCTATTTTTCTTGCTTGAAGGTGCATCATGACCTGTTTCAAGGGCAGGTAACTCCCCAAGGGGTTTTTCATCAGACACTGGCACAGAATTATGCATTTCAGATGTCATCAAATTGCGGGCTTTCTCCAAAATCTCCTGACTTTTCTTGTTTGCAAAAAGAACATTAACATTTTGTACAAAATCTGTTAAAGTAGTTTCATTTGGTGGTATAAAATTCATTTCAGAAAGTTTCTGGTTGAAGATATCTGTAGCCGCTATGTCATTCTGAAAGCCTTCCATTCGTTTATTACTGGTTGGGATAGCATATGTTAGACATTGCTTTACAATGAGATCCAACACCTGGTGAGCAATCATGCCACCCAATCTCTTCATCAACACCTGGTCTTGACCATTCCCTTCTTCATCAATCACAATGTGAAGGAAACAGTCATTTAACCATTTAAATATTTGTGTTATTTTTGAAAACACTTCTACAGGTGAGGGTGGTTTATCTAGGGTTTCTTCACCATATTTCACCAACAACGTCTTGGACTGACCTGTAATGCTTTCCTTCACAACTGTTTTGCTATGTGTAATGCAAGGTTCAGCAATGTGAAGGACTAACCTCTCCCCAAAACTTTTCATTTTTGAATCCAAAATGTCTAACTTCTCCATCACCACTACAATGTCTTTTAAAATGGCCAAATTTTCTGTTCCTGTCATAATCTTGAGTTCACATTTTTGTTGATTTGGCATTGTCCAAAATACAAGCTCTTTCCATTTGTCACCTATATCATACAGAAACTTTTCTTTCTGTACCCAGTATTCTGTTTGTAGAGCCAGGAGTATATGGACATCTTTGTTACCTTCCACCAGACTGGATAGTAGCTCATGAATATTCAGTATGGCTTCAGCTGCCTTGGAAAAGTTACAAGTCTTGTTGGCTCCAGATATACACTGAAGGCCCTCATGTATTTGAACCAATCTCTCCAAAACTAGCATAACGTCACTAACTTCAAGCAGCTGACGCTTCAGAGATTCCACAACTTCTGTTGACATATTCAATTGGCTCTTTATCTGAAACATAAATGGTGCAGCTAGAGCAGTGAGGCTACTTTAGAGTGTTTTAACTGTACAACACATAGTGGCAATGTGGTATGTATCAGAGCTAAGGATTCATATAAAGTAGTACAGTATTGTAAGTTTTCTAATAGCTTATTGAATTTTGTTTCCCACACAAATCATTGCAATTGAACGTATGGGCATTCCTGCATTTCTTTTCTAGTTTTACTCAGTAAAATGCTGGTGGTAATGACTTGCAACTGTCCATTAATTTGGCTTTAGAACTTTCATTTCTTCGGGTTGCAATGTTCTATCAAAGGTATTTAAAGACAAATAATACAGGGTTTTCCATAATTTTGTTAGTAGTAGGCTGTGTAGTGAAAGTAGGAGGCTGGCCTGCTGTGTACATGTAGTCATATACGGAACATTATCACGGAACTGGATTGGTGTTGGCGGCCAAATAATCAAAGTAGCCAGTCAAATTGGCCGGCGACCGGCTCTTATGGAAAACCCTGTAATACATTATAGATTACATACAAAAAAGGATGTGGTCAAAAATACCTCATTTTCTATCCTATCAGAAACATCTGACATTTCCTTTGAAATTCGTTCCACATTTTCTGCCAGCTCTTCTGATGTGCTCATTGTGGAATTGAAATCAATGTACTTATTGTTTGTCACTTCAAATACTTGCATCTTCAGAGAGTCAATCTGTTTCGTCAGGGCATCTAGCTTCCCTTGTACCTCCTGGGTCTCCAATTTGCCTATAAATACAATAAAAATACATTGATCTGATATAATATGAAACTTGTATATGTATTAATAGTAAAGTACTTTTTCCTATTGAACATGTTGCTTTCTTTCAAATCTTATTTTCTTTAATATAACTATAATATCAACAAGAGGCCCAGAGGGCCTGTATCGCTAACCTGGATCTTTATGACCAACTGTACAATATCTGTGCATCTGTTCCACAGTTGATGCTTAAAGCAATATGACAAATTACTCCATATGGGTTCTGTCCCTTAGTAGTCCAAAATAAGTCATTTGTATATAAGCCTTTAATGGCCAAATATGATGGGTTTTTGGTTAACCAGAAGAAGTTGATTAACTATTTTACCAAATCTAACCCCAATGACCTTAATTATCATTATGGGTCTAGCTATTTTTTCACACACTATGTGGGCACCATTAAGGGAACCTTTTGGACAAATATTATGATCCTAAGCCTTTAGCTTAATCAGAAGTTGTTCAAAGGTTTAACACATTTGACTGTTGTGACCTTGACTATGGGTCAAGGTCATTTCTTTTTGCAAACTTTGTTGGGCTTTATCAAAGGAACCTTCAAGCCAAATATTATGAGTCCAGGCCTTCCGGAATTTTGGAAGAAGTCGTTTAAATGTTTTAACACATTTGACCTCTGTGGCCTTGAATATGGGGCAAGGTCATTTCTTTTTGCAAACTTTGTTGGGCTTTTTAAAAGGAACCTTCAGAAGAAGTTGTTTATATGAAAAGTTGGGCCAGGTGACCTAAAAATTACAACTGAAAATCGTTGATATATGACCGTGGTGCATTCTTGTATATCACTTGATAATGGATTTTTAATGCTTATAATGATCAGGTATTTATTTGACTAGAGGTTGGCGACAGTGTAACATTACCCGAATAACAGACCTTTCAGCAGGAATCGGACATTTAACAGTATGTGTGAAATAATACCAAATTCCTTTTACTTTTGTCACATAATGAAAATACAATTGGTCTACATTATATATACATACTTCTGTGGCATTGCTACATGTGCTGTGTTCCCCATAAATGTCAGCTATGTATTACCATCTATGAACTGCCATCGGAATATTGCATATAATGTTTAGAAATTGAGGTTACCTACCATTACAGTTGAAAATAAGTTTAAATATGCTTTAAGATGGCACATCTGTGCATGATGTTATAATTGAAAGAAAACAAATTAATCGTAACGTGCTAATGCACTTCATTGAATTTCCTATTAATCAGACGGCTTAATATAACCATGAATGCCACATGCAGTTCAATTAAAAATATGATGCCTGTGGCCTAGCCTCCATCATTCCATTGACACTATTAATATTACCCGCCGATGTCAAGACTTCTGTCACAAAGGACGCCATTTCGAAAAATTCCCTGCTAGGCTTCTGTGCTTATTTGTTTTGGCTAATTGACTATACACTGCAATGACATTCACTCCTCAGGTGTTCTGTCATTTTAAAAACCGCCGTCACAGGATATGGCGCGTGGAATTCAAGGGAGGTAATAAGAAGTCGCAAGTTTGAAATGAAATATGGATTATCTTATTACAATTAGCTCTTTTCATATAGCTTTATTTGTTTTCGTTCAAGTCACGAACGACGACGGTTAGCTTTTTAAACGCACACAAACTCGTTAATAATTTATATGTAAGATTTTTGTTGACGTAAATAATGTTTTTGTCGAGAAACATCGGCTATTTCCGGTACCAAAGTGAAAGTACTGAAATAATACTTCATGTATTTCGTTGGTTTGATATTCTGAAAAGGAATTTAAATATTTTCGGCAGATGTGGCATATGAGAGAATGATAACTATAATTAGAACACCATTCATTGTTCACTGTAACAGAGATCATGGTTGATGTAATTCATTTTATATGCAATCTTTTTACCATCTTTAGATATGAAGCATCGGTGGTTCAGTGGTAGAATTCTCGCCTGCCACGCGGGGGGCCCGGGTTCGATTCCCGGCCGATGCACTTTTTACTGTTTTCGGAATCAATTATCTGTAGAAACAACCACTTATATTACAAAATTGGTAGCATATCATAAACTATATAAAATGAAATAAATTAAAACATTCACTAAATCACTGAATTTGTTATTGATGTCTGCTACTTCATGTGATTGCTTTCCATAACGTAGAGACTTGAACATATTATTGTAACCATGGTAAAATACTAGCCACAATGCTCGGCTAGATAAAACTTCTCTTTACCTCGATTTGCTGAGCGTAAGACTATAAAGCCAGGGGTCCCGCATCCGATTCCTAGGCCCATTCCCCGAACACCAATTCTACCAACTTGAAAGGAAGGTGTTTATATAGGGAATCCTTTGAAGCTAAAGTTATAGTCTTTTTCAACTACGAATGTCAACTTATTTTGTAAATAGGATACTTACATATCAGTAATGAAATAGATAAAGTTTCTAATTGTTTTACATAACTGTAACACAATTTTTAGCATATAAAAGTATTATGAAATGTTATTATTAAATATTAATATCATTATTCATTATTTAATTATTATCGTTGTCTCGGAGTTGGTTGAGCTCACCCTCAAAGATGGACGCAATTGGTTGGATAGATTCTACGCATTTATTGGTGATCTGGTTCATGATCTGTTTGGCTACAACACTGGCTGGGTCTGAGGTGTGGCTGTGTGGATTTCTTCCAAAGTTAGCTGGTATGTTGTCTACTGTTGAGAGGGATGCTGAACATCTCCAGAATGCCCTGGTGCCGTTCCTTCGAATCTGTCTATAGATGAATCCATTATGCGAACGGTTCTGTCCTCCTCTTCTGATGGTGATGGACTTTACGCTGATCTGAGCCTTAGCCATTCTTTACTTGTATCAAACCACGCAGATAATAATATCACTCGAATCAAACACACTTTACTCTACGCTGAAAAAAGTACAATATTAACATATGTGACAAAAGTCAAGTAACAAATCAAGCAATGAGAAATTGATGCTTCAAAGTGCAGATTGAAATATGATAATTCTCCAAAATGTACTGGGCTTTTATACATTTCCTATTAAACAGCTTGGGATTGGAACAGTTTTATATTTGAATCCTTTATTCTACAGTTATTAACAGTTTTCTGAATAGTTATCATTACTTGATTATCTGATTTCATTTCAGTAATAATTACCATAACTTTAGTATGCAAATACAGTACCTACACCCATCTTTGTATCCCAACAACAAAAGATTCGAAACAATCCCGCCCTCCCTACGATCCATAAGCCATCACGGCAGGTACGCAGAGTGATCTCCTTTCCTCTTACCTTTAAGGCTGCCGACGAGTGCGGAGGTGTCTGAGCTAAGTGCTTTTCTTACTCCTTACACTTGTCTCGTCGCTCGGATTTTCGTGAAGATGGAATTTGTTTTCTTGCTGCGTTGTCGGCCGTTTTGTACGACCGTTTTTCTTTTTTGCAGTGCAGTCTTGCTGCGTACGGTAGGCTTTATTCTCCCGTTCGTAGTTTTTTGATTGTTAGAAAACTTTGTTGTCCTTGTTTTCATTGTTACGATTTTTTATTGTTTCGATGATGGATAATAGTGTCGTGTTTACGTCGGGGGTCAGCACAGGGGTGTTCCCATTTCTATGGAAAACGGGACCCCCATGATGCCTTTCCCGTTTGCCGACCTTGCAGTCATACCTCGCCGTGTGAACTTTGTTTGCACATGGGGTCTGCAGCATAGGCTCCCATGCCTGTCTGGCGAACTTCCCGCTGGAAGAGGGATTCGTCCTCTTCTTACGGTAAGGGAAGTTAGCTTTTTAAGTCCTCCTCCTCAGGTTCTGAACCAGTAGGTGTTTTGGGCGTTCCAGCTGGGGGTGCTCTCGTTCCGCCGAGCTCCGCCCTTGAGCAGGGGGTGGCTCCCCCTGTCCAGCTACGTACTGGAGTAGGGGGGGCAGCCCGACCCTGACTCGGCGAGGTCTAGGGTCGAATTGACCGGTAGCTCTCGATAGCCGGCGGTGTTACCGTCGTACAGGGACTTCCGGTCCAGGTCTCTGATTCCTTCAGGGACCTCGGCGCGCCAGGTGGCGTCGTTGGTGGGGGCCGCTTTGATTCCGGACCTGTACCTTCAGGTATAGGGTCAGGGGCCACAGACTTTTTGTCAGCATTGTCTGTGGCTACGGGGATTGGTGACACTGAGTTCACTAATCCTAGCGTCAGCGTGGTGCCTGTTTTCCCACCCTCACAGGCTTCTGGCTCTGGGACTTGCCGCTCCAGTCCAGATTTCCCGGTGCAGGGTTTCCCCCAAGGGTTTGAGGATTCAGGCAAGGCGTCCGGTTTCCGGTCTCCGTTTCCCCCGGGCTCGGGGTGACTGCGGGCACTTATTCCTGGGCCGCCAAGGCCAACCTGCGGATGGTTCTGGGTACCAACAGTTACCCAGCATGTCTGGGTTTCCACCCGGTGGGAGTGGCGGTTCATCCTGGTCCTTTGGACAGGATGTCCAGCCCCAGGCTTAGGCGGGCCATCTTGGCCAGTACTGGGGTCACTCCCAGCCCACGGGACTATTCCCATTCCCTCAGGGGTTTGGGTTTTACCCCATGGGTCTTCCTTCTTGGAAACCATGGGGGTTGGTCTCTCCCCCTAGGAGATGTTATAGCTGTGCGGAATCCCCCCAACGTTCTGTTACGTCAGGGGCCTTGTTGGCCGGTCCTAAAAGGTTCGCCGGACCTTTAGGACTTCCGCCTCCCGCGCGGACCCGTCGGTCTCCTGACGCTTTACGTCTAAATGCCGTATAGTGGAGTCCCCCTCTCCGGAGATGGCTCCTCTGGCGGCCTCAGTTCCTTCCAAGGGGACTTCGGTCCCTATTGAGGAGGAGATGGATGTCGAGGGCGCGGGCTCGGCAGAGGAAGACGATGTAATTTTTCTCTTGGTTGCTCGGAGATTGATCCATTCGAGTCATCTGATGATGACCCTTCCGGCCAGGAGGGTTCCCAGGGGGAGATGGCCCTGGGACTGCTGTAGCCGAGGCTCAGCATGTGCTTTCGGGGATGCGGGCCCTCCGGACCGACATCTCCCGGATTCTCGGGGTGGAGGTTTGCCCACCGCCTTCTGCATCGTCGGTGCCCGAATCCACCACACTTCTGGGTTCTCTGGTGGCTCCTCGGGCTTCCGTTCACTCAAATCGGTCTCTGCCAGAAGGCACTCTCGTGTCTTCGGCTCTGACCACAGCCCCGGCTTTGGTTTTAGAGGAGGACTCCTCCTCTACCCGCGCTCCATGGTTTGCCGGTCTGCAGCTTGGTGTTGGTGATTTGTCGGAGGCTTTGGCCTTTCGACTATGCCACACACGGCAGGCAGCTGGTCTCTCAACCAGCACAGCTTGAGTTGAGAGAGCTGGCTGCCGGGCCCGGCAAATCAGTGGACCAGGCGGTGCTCGATCCCAAAGAGCACCACAGGATGGAGAGGAGGTTGCGCCTCTCCATCCAAGTTCTGTCATACAAAGACTTCCTGACAATTTGTCTATACAGGGTATCCTATTTGCCTGAGGGTCGGTTATCCAAGACAGAACAGGCCGACATACAGGACAGACTCACCACTGCCCTGAACGCGGCGTTGAGAGCATCGGCGGCCTTGCAGGTCTCCCTGCTCGTCAATGTCGTGTTGGCTAGGTGGTTTTCAGTTCTGAAAACCTGCCCAGTCGAGTAACCCTACCATTCCCGTTTGTTGACTGCCCCTTCTAGACTCTACCCTGTTCGGGGGAGCACTTCCTTGGGTTCAGAAGGATATGAAGGAGGACTCAGTCGCCTCAGCACTTCTGGTGAAGAGGTTTCAGGCTGAGAAGGCCAGTGCCTCGCAGGGGTCAGCGCCTCCTAAAGTCGCAGCCTCACTTCGAGGGCAACAAGGGGAAGGGTAGGAACGGTAAGAAACCTCCTGGGGGCAAGAAGAAGGGTTCTTGACTCTTTCTGCTCCTTGGCTGCGACAGACTAATGGCATGGCCGGGTGGACGTCGGTCCTCCCGTTCCAGGATATTGTCCTTCTCCTGCAGCTTCAGACTCTGGGTGGGCAGACGATTCGCTGGTCTGGCAGGGTCTCGATCTGCCCCATCCGGAACTCCCTGAGGGCGGACGTCTCTCCGCTTTCCTTCCACAATGGCAGGAAATCACGGAGGACGCTTGGGCTTTGTCGGTGGCAAGGAGGGTCTAGGTATTCCCCTTCTTCAGGATCTGCCCCTCGCTGCCCGGCCGATTTTCTTTCCACCTCCGGGGGATTTGGAAAAGAGCTCCGGCGCTCCAGGAAGAAGTAGGGACCATGTTGGCCAAGGGTGCCATGCCCTTCGGGCTCACGACAGCTCCTTTGCTGCAGGTGGTCGTGGGATTCCTTCGCTCACGCGGAATAGACGTCCACATCTATTTCGATGACTCCCTTATGCTTAGTTGGTCAGGGAAGCGCTAGTGAAGGACACTCGTCTGGTCCTGAAAATCTTACTCAGAGTCGGCTTCATTCCTTCCAAAGAGAAGTCAGAGGTTTCCCCATCTCAGGACTTCGTCTTCCTGAGGAACCGGTGAAGTTTGAGCAGGCCAGGGCTCTGGCTCTGACCTTCATCGCTTGGTCGCTTGTCCAGGTACGTTGGTTCCTTAGTTTTCTGGAGTATCTCTACTCCCTGGCTGATGTGGTCCCCCTAGGGAGGCGTCACATCAGACCTCTTCAGATGTTCCTCCTGTCTGACTTGGTTCCGTCATCCAGGAGTGGGAGTCCTGGATTCCGCTTACCCAGTCGGTCAGGGAATTCGCTCGCTGGTGGACCATTCAGGAGTACGTTTTCCGCGGGGTGCCTCTGACCTATCCTTTCCCCTCTGTGACCCTGTCATCCATGACAGGATTGGGAGCTTATCTCGAGGGCCAATGCCGCTCTGGAGAGTGGTCTGGTGAACAGCTCTCGGAGCACATCAATGTACTCGAGATGAGGGCTGTTCTTTTGGCTCTGCAGTCCTTTCGGGGGATCCTGCAGTCCAAAGTGATCTGTGTGGCTACCGACAACTCTACAATTGTCGAGTATCTGGAGAGGCAGGGGGCATCAGGTCTCACGACCTGTGTGACACCATCCGCATACTCTGCCAGGACAAGCAGTTGACCATAGCGGTCAAGCATCTTCCTGGCAGGCTGAATGTGTAGGCGGACGCTCTCTCCAGGCGCCGCCAGACGGAATTGATGGTATGGCAGCTGGGCCCCTTGATTTTCAAGGGGATTTGTTAGGTGTGGGACAGATCTATTATAGACCGGTTTGCCACTTCCCTGAACAACCAGCTGCCAACCTTCGTCTCCCCGGTCCCAGACCGAAAGGCTTGGGCTGTGGACGCCCTTTCTCTGGACTGGGATGGGATTATGTATATGCATTCAATCCCTTCAATCTGGTGGGCAGGATGCTACAGAAGGTCCGGGAGCATCACTGCTCCTTACTTCTGATAGCCCCCCTGTGGCCGAGGCAACCTTGGTTTCCGGAGCTCTTGTATTTCTGGTGGATCAACCCTTGGCTCTCCCCACCAGACTGAATCTGCTACTCCAGCCTCGGTCCAGAACGACACACTCTTTACCATAGATCCCCCACCTTCATGCGTGGGGGCTATCTCTGGAAGCCTTGCCAAGGTAGGCTTTTCTCGAGAGGTGTCAGATCTCTGGGCAGCTGATTGCGGATTTCCTACTCTCTCTGTTTAGGGACCGCAATCTGGCACCTGACACTACTGCTGACTATCGTACAGCTATTGCCAGTGTCCGCCTGTTATGGCAGGAATGAGATAGGTTCATCCTCCTCTCTTTCTGCCCTAATCAGAGGCTTCGCTCTGGATAAACCCAGAGTTCGGCAGCTGGCCCCATAGTGGAATCTGACCCTGGTGCTAGATTCCCTTACTGGGGGTCCTTATGAGCCTCTGGAGTCTGCATCGTTAAAGTTTGTAACTTTCAAGGCAGTCTTCCTTTTGGCTTTGGCCTCTGAACGTAGGAGGAGTGAGGTCAACGCCTTGTCGTCGTCCCCCTTTTGTCTACGTTGGTCCAGAGGCCACGCTGCCGTAACTCCTAACTGATCCTTCCTTTTTAGCGAAGAATCAGGTTCCGGGGATCCCGGCTTTGACTAGCTCGGAGGAGCGAGATAGGCTGCTTTGTCCTTGTCGGGCTCTTAGGTTTTATCTTGATAAAACTAGGGGGCGGGGCTCTCGATCCCGCCTGTTTTTGCCCATCAAACAGGGACAATGAGATATCCCCCCCAATTGGTTTCCAGGTGGGTTTGCCAGGTGATTTAGTATGCCTACGAGCATTTTGATAATCAAGCTTGGGCGAGAGTGAAATTGCGGGCTCATGAGGTCAGGGCCCTCGCTGCGAACTGGGCCCTTCTCAATGGGTCCTCCTTTCAGGAGGTCATGTCTGCAGCATTTTGGCAGGGCAGGGATACCTTCACAGATTTTTTTATCTGCGATCCCTAGCTTCCCGCTCAGAGGGCCTGTATTCGTTGGGACCTTTGGTGGTAGCATAGTCAGTGGCTGGGCCTCCTCGTTAGCCCCGGGGCATGTCTTTCCGTACGGCGGCATGTGGGTACACCTGCTCTTTGGAGAGGTCCCTTCCTTCTCTTTGGCACTCTGTTCTCCCTCTCCACTACTTTGTCTGTGCTGAAGGGGCTGCCTGGCTTCTAGTCACCACTACGGTAAGACGAATTCGCATACTTAAGTTATGGTAATTATTACTGAAATAAAATTGAGGTTTTTTCATGTAAAAAATTTTCATGATGTAATACTTACCATAACTTTATGGAGTCCCACCCTATCCTCCCTTTTGCTTACATCATGAAAATTGGTTTTACATGAAAAAACCTCAATTTACCTGTACAAGTTATCTTTACAACAATTCTGCACCAGACTATAACTCACTGTCATCACAACTGTTTGTGTTCAGGGAAGACCTCGATTCCAAGCTGAGTCAATGTCAGTATGTCATTAACTGGATATAATGAATAGTGTGTTAGAAACATTCACTAAATTGCTAAAAAAAAAGGGTCTGTTAATAAAAGTGTTTGCTTCCTTCACGTAGAGAGTGATATTTATCCGACAACTGGCGCTGCCATTGTCGGAATACGCACATATATTTTGCTGTGACAGAAACAGCTTTATTTTGGCACGTGCGTGAATTCGATGGAATAAATCTATGAATTAACTTCAAAATTACTTTTAACAATATAAAAATCTGTTGAAATAAGCGATTTTATATGGAGTAATGAACAAGTTGATTTTCGTATATTCATAAAATCGCTGTTAAATCCGATGAAGATTGGAACTATGTTTCCGCGCGGAGCAATTATTTTGGCCTACGCAATCGAGCAAAATTCAGCGTAAACGTCAACGTTAGGTAAACAAAGGTTAAATAAAATACTGAGGAAGTTTTGATTGTCTGCTTTGCAGTCAATGTTGCAGGATAAATATAATCCAAAAATTCATCTGATATTTTAAGACACTGACCATGTATTCTCTATATATCGGTTTCTGATTTCGTCTCTCTTTCGAAGTGGTAACTTTATACATAAATAGATATATTAGAAAGTCAGAGCAGAACTACGTTTGTCGGTTGATAAATATGATTACTTTCAGTACATTACAGTCTTGCGGCACAGTCCAATTCTATTATACTTAAAAATTGCAATTAAGTATTATGTTCAGTCTCCTTATTAACATTAGGCAGTGGTAACCTGTGTATCGATCTACTGCAGAGTGAGTGCCTATGGCATTCTTTCATCTTCTACTGTTCAAAGTCATATTTCATCATTAATTTCCATCTGCTTCAGCCAGCAACATTCGACAGAGTCGGGTCTTCTCTCTGGAACGTCACGATCGGACTTTGACAATATCTTGGGATTCGCATGAAAACAATGCTGTGTGTCTAACTTATTTTAAAGCAGTAAAAAATCAAGCGAAATACCATAACTTTATTATCAATACTGTATTCACTTATTACAGTAAAATATCTGTGGACTATTATCCATGAACCTGCTCCGTGACAAGGATACATACTTTAATCAAAGTTGATCCAAGTAATTGGTAATTGACAATAATCATCATTGATTCTTCCACGACGTAACACTTTGGAAATTGTCTTTTCGGGCAAACTCTCATCAGAGAAAGTGTAACGGATTAGTGTGATTGGTTAACGTTATCTGTATAATGTACAACAAAAACAGGTTTTATATATAGCAAAATCTCTCCTGGCACACAATGAAAATAATCGTGACAACTTGCCAGATAATATTCGACTATTTATTTGCGCTTGCAGCCAAGATGGATCCGTTTTCGTCTTCGCGATACCAATGCAAGCCCGAGAGCTTGGAGTATCCGTACGAACGACAATATAAATATCAAAAGAACTGGTTGCATATATTGCGAGAACTCTATACGGACAGTATGGACATTCATACGGACGCCAAACTTCTTTTTGATGCCATTAGGAGGGGAAAACACCGCCTGGCCAAATTTATACTGGATGCATCCTCCAGCGACTTGGTCAACTCCACAGACATCAAGGGCAAGACTCCTCTCACTGTGTGTTGTCAAATTAAGGTAACACGTTGATTTTACTCAGTGTTGTAGATAAGTTACATCCACTAACACGGTAATGATAAAATTGTGTCACTCACTGGACGTAACCTCGCACGTTTAGAATACAAATGAAAATTATATCATTTTCGAAGGCTATCAGACAACGGGATGCTTGCGAGGAGATCAGAGGTTTGGAAATTATTGCGAGTTTATCAGATAATCAGATATCATAGGGAGGATGGCATGCGATTGGGCGTGGTTGCAAGGATATCATAGAGTATGATATGTTTGCGAGGGTATGAGAAAATCTGATGTGTTTGTGAGAACATCTTACAGCAGAATGTGTTTTCGAGGGTATTAGATAATTTGGTGTGTTTGTGAGAACATCTTACAGTAGGATGTGTTTTCGAGGGTATTAGATAATCTGGCGTGTTTGTGAGAACATCATACAGCAGAATGTGTTTTCGAGGGTATTAGATAATCGGACACTTTGAAATGATATTGTACAGTGGGAAATGCTTGCAGGAGTATCAGAACATGGAATATGTTAGGGAGGAAATAAGATAATCGGCACATTTGAAACGCAAATGAATTCTGCGGAGGACATCTGACATTCGGATACGGTTGTAAGGACAACTGACTAAAAACATGTCACCCAAAACATCAGACGACATGTTTGTGAGGACGTCAGACAGCCGGATATCTTTGCTTATTTTGTAGCTAGATACAACGAAGATGTCATGCGACTCTATAACTTCGCTAGGGCATATTAAGATAAAAGGACATGTATTCGAGGACATCAGACGATCGGACATGTTTGTGAGGAGATCAGACAAGTTGACATGTTTGCGAGGACATCAGACGATCGGACATGTTTGTGAGGAGATCAGACAAGTTGACATGTTTGCGAGGACATCAGACAATTGGACATGTTTGCGAGGACATCAGACAAGCTGACATGTCTGCGAGGACATCAGACGATCGGACATGTTCGCGAGGACATCAAACAAGCGGAGATGTTCGCGAGGACATCAGACAATTGGACATGTTTGCGAGGACATCAGACAAGCGGACATGTCTGCGAGGACATCAGACGATCGGACATGTTCGCGAGGACATCAGACAAGCGGAGATGTTCGCGAGGACATCAGACAAGTGGACCTGTCTGCGAGGACATCAGACAAGTGTGAGTGAGTGTGGTGGTGGTTGTGGTGTGTGTGTGGTGATATATGTATGTGTATGTGTGTGTGTGTGGTGATGTGGTGGTTGTGGTGTATGTGTGTGGTGGTGGTGGTGGTGTGTGTGTGTGTGTGTGTGTGTGTGTGTGTGTGTGTGGTGTGGTGATGTGGAGGTGGTTGTGGTGTGTGTGTGTGGTGTGTGTGGGGGTGGTGGTGGTGGTGGTGTGTGTGTGTGTGTGTGTGTGTGTGTGTGTGTGTGTGTGTGTGTGTGTGTGGTTGTGGTGTGTGTGTGTGTGTGTGGTGTGTGTGTGTGGTGGCGATGGTGGTGGTGTGTGGTGATGGTGGTGTGTGTGTGTGTGTGTGTGTGTGTGTGGTGTGTGTGTGTGTGTGTGTGTGTGGTGGTGGTGGTGGTTGTGGTGTGTGTGTGTGTGTGTGTGTGTGTGTGTGTGTGTGTGTGTGTGTGTGTGTGTGTGTGTTGTGTGGTGGTGGTGGTGTGTGTGTGTGTGTGTGTGTGTGTGTGTGTGTGTGTGTGTGTGTGTTATTACAATGAAAGGTGGGGTCAACATTTGACTCCCACATTGATTTCTTTTACTTTTTCGCCATATGTAGATACATGAACATAACCTACAACCTTGTATAACACCAGGTTGAGTGACAAAGGCAACCTAACATAATGAAAAATACTTGCTACATGAAAATTTTAAATGAAAATATTTATATACCAGCCTAAAGTACATAAAATGTCCGTTATTTTGATACCACGTATGTTATATTGGCATAAAGAAATGTAAGCATATTGATAACTTTGATTTAAAAAAAAATGCAAAATTTTCACAAAATGGAGAATATATCAATGTTTGTCAAGTTCATTTTGTATAGTTGCAATTTCAGTCTGTATTTCATACGTCTACGTATACATGCTGTCTATTGAATAAATTTTAAGTGATTTTAAAACCGGTAAAATGCATTTTTAGCAATTTAAACATGCTTATTGCATAATTTGCCATAATCATGAAGATGGTTATCAGTATTACTGATAACGTGTTATCGTCATTCCACTTTTCTTCGTATATCATTAAACATAACAATAATAGATATAAGTTAGTTAGATATTAATGATTAATAAATGAGGCCATAAGTTATAACCTTGACATCTGAATGTGCAAGTATGTTTATTTCCTGAAACATATAAAGGCAATAAAGTATTCAAACCATTTTTGCCAAGTATCTATAGACAATTACATAGACAAAGTTACACTTATGTCAGACGTTCTGTATTAAATTCAAATTACTGCAAATCTCCCTTCAAATTTACTAATAATCATGTCAGACATGTGCATAGGTCGTGGTTGCAAAACCAGGTTGAAAGATTTATCTCAAGGAGCCCGAGCTCAAGTAAGACATGTATATTTACCCCAGTATAACCGGCTGTACCAGCTGCTGACTGCTGAGATCATTAGCATAAGAGAAGAAAGCATATTATGTGTAAAGTGCTACAAGCGGTACCCCAAGCAAAGGCCATTGCAGTCTGAATTGTATGAACCTTCTGGTATGAGCACTCCAGATGACCTGGTGAATGATGCAGATGATGCTTACACTGATTTCATGTCATCAAACCAACTACCACTAATCTCTGATGAGAAATTATATTGTGGTGGCAATTCACATAAAAGATGTGGCATATGTGGAAAAGAGGGCACTGGGCTATGCACTATACCCCAGCGTGCCAGGACAAATTTGATAATTTCCCATTTGCTATGGTGTTCCCCGATGCTCGTGTTTGTAATGACCATGTAATTGGTGACTTTCTGAATCCTTCTTTGCCACTAGATCTGCAAACAAGGGAACCGTTAGCTCTTCATCAAGAAAGAGCTAATCATGTTATCGATGACCTCCTTGAACTAAGCCATTCCTTTCTGCTGGTACTCCAACCAACACATGCATAAATGTAGACCATCTCAGAAATGAAAAATTCAAAGCATGGACTGGTAACACACTTGAAAAAATGCAGCAAATCCATAGCATTTGCGCCTCACACATCAATAGAGGATCATGTTCCTCTACACTCAATGCTTTGTTTCTTTTCTGGGTTAAACTGAAGACCAATATTTCATGATCTCAACTTGGTGTCTTGTGTGGTCTTACACATTTCATAGTGTCTTAAAAGCCTTGAGCCAGACCATTGTGCCCCGTTTCCTTGGTCCAAGACATTACCCGCGAGGATGCTAATTGCCACAGCATTGCCTTTACAAGATATTTCTACGGGGACAAAGTAACTGTAATCCTTGATGGTACCTATATTTATGTCCAAAAAAGTGCTGATCACCCCTTCAAAGATCCTCATACTGTGGGCAAAAGAAGCGCAACTATGTTAACTTCATGAGCATTGTCTTTCCAGATGGTTATGTACTAGACACTATTGGGCCTTTTTATGGCAATGAAAATGATGCAAATATCTTGACAAAAATTCTTGGAACCGTTGAGAACCTAACCATGTAGCTCAGTGAAGATGACAATATGATTGTTGACCGGGGGTTTAGGGATGTGCTGGAGCTGCTGCGAGGTTCAGGGTTTTCTGTGTACATGGATTCCTATCTTCTGTCAGGTCAGACACAGCATGATACACTTACTGCCAAAGAGGACCGCCAGTGTACCAAGTCAAGATGGGTTGTGGAGAGCTACCATGGTCGACTGAAACAGTGGAAACTGTTTATAGAACAACTCAGCTCAAACTATTTCCTTGGTGTCATAGAGGAACTGGTTAAAGTAGCTACTGCTTCCTTGAATGCTGTACGTGGACCAATTTATGTGTCCACACCAGAGAGGGACTTGAGGGACCGCCGCCTTGCTGACCGAATGCGATCCCGTTTGGCTCTGCCCAACACCTTGGCCTGAAGGGTTGCAGATGAACCTGGTCTTTCTAGGCGCGACAAGGCCAACTAGGTGAAACTTGATGCCTGTTCAATAGAGTTTCCAGTACTCGATATGGAATATTTAGAAACAGTAACCTGCGGATCATACCAGCTGAAAGTAGCAGATATATTGCTGAGCATCTGACTCCTGCCGAAGATTTTGAAATTTGGGTCTATCAGCATGATGAAAATCTTCTCCGAGGCCAAATCCATTCAGTCAAAATACAATGTTTGGATTGCGTTTGACAGAAATAATCAAAATGACCCTGTCAAAGATTACTACTGTGTCTGTCCAGCGGGCAAGCGAACCGTTGGAATGTGCGCGTTTATTTTGTATTTCTTGGGCCATGTTCAGCATCAAGATCAAACTAACCCAGTTCATGCAACACTCAAGTTCAAACAAGCAATCACTTGAGCAGTTCTGCTATACTAAAGCGCGGTGTAATGTGCTGCAAACTGCAACTGTTCTATCTCTTATTAGCTTCTCAAAGTGCCACAAATTATGGATCAGAACTGACAAAGGCCAAACCCGTCATTGTTACTGTACATAATCTATCTAATATGGTCACTTTTTTCAAATTTCATTTGTGTAACCTTAAACATTGGTCAGTTCAGCAATGTTAACCAAACTGATACAAATTGACATGAACATCCACCTTGTCAAATAGCAAGTCCTATAGACTTTTGGTTATTAAGCTGTCACTATTTGACGAAAATGAAAAAAAAATCAGTGTTTCTTGGGTTTTTTTTTATAAGAATACAAATTTACCGGTTTTCATTTTTTCCAAGAACCCTCCTTTTGAAAGATATCATCTGTGGCCAACTTTTAAGCAAGTATGAAAATAGACTGGTTTCGGAAGTGTCCAAAACAGTACTTTTCTCAAAAGTTGTGGCTTTTTATATGATTTTTGGCTGCATTTTTCAATATAAAAGAAACGTTTCTGCTGAAATAGTGTGATATGTGGTATCAAAATGTTGGTTGGTGCAATGTGCACACATCAATGACATAATTTTATTGAAATTGCCTCATAATAATGCACTAGAAGGAATTACATAACAACTACTTTAACACCCACCAAGGTGTTAGTCAAGGAGCTCCCATTTTATCAATCAATTCAATTCCGAGACTAACTTTTCCGTATTTAAGCTTCTGATACCCATATCTGTTTATGGTTATCATATTTTGAAATTCCAAGTTGGGGTCGATGCTAATGTTAAATTTCTGTATATATTAAACGTTTAATGTTGACGCCTTATGTCGTTTTGATGTTTTGAACGTGTGCTGTAACGATAAATTGGAAAAAGTACAAACTGTAAGAACATTCTCTTGGAAATAAAGTGTATATTTCTATATTTCACTTTTCAAACATCAAAACGATATAAGAAGTTAACGAGAACTCTGATAGATATGCACAAAACTAGCCTCAACAACTTTCTCGGACTTTCTCCAAATTGAAATACTCTTTCAGCAAAGCGCCATCTTAAAAAGAAAGTTTTTTTTTTAAATTCTGTGTCTTGCTCTTGTTTAGGAACAGATGCGCAGGGGTGACATGTTCTTTCTGCTTCTGGAGAAGGGAGCCGATGTTAACGTACAAGATGACCACGGACGTACCACAATGAGCTATGCGTGCGAGACGAAATGTAATGATCTTGTCGATATGCTAATTAGAGTTAACGACGTTGATCCTGATCTGGAAGACCACAAAGGTAAAGTATCAAGTTCTTTTCCAGAAATTTTATAGCCAACAAGTGACACCACTAACATTGTTTACACTATTTATTTTGCTGTTTAAGAAGATCTATACATGTGACTTGTATTATTCGGCGGAAAGAGCATTCAAGTACCTGTCTATAAGGGCCCTGCTATATCTATATTTGTACTTGTTTACAGATCCCCGTATTATTTAAACTTGTACCTGTATGACCCTGTTATCAATGTACTCGTACCTGTCTATAAGATCCGATATAGCTGTACTTGTACCTGTCTATTAGATCCTATTATAACTGTAGTTGTACCTGTCTATAAGACACTGTTATAACTGTACTTGTACCTGTCTATAAGACCCAGTGATAACTGTACTTGAACCTGTCTGATAGACCATGTTATAACTGTATTTGTACCTGTCTATAAGACCCTGTTATAACTGTCCTTGTACCTGTCTATAAGGCCCTGTTATAACTGTACTTGTACCTGTCTATTAGACCCTATTATAACTGTAGTTGTACCTATATATAAGACCCAGTGATAACTGTACTTGTACTTGTCTATATGACCCTGTTATAACTGTACTTGTACCTGTCTATAAGACCTTGTTATAACTGTACTTGTACCTGTCTAATAAGCTATGTTTGGTCTAAGCTCGTACCTGTCTACAGAGCTCTATGTTGTCTAAACTTGTACCTGTCTATAAGACCCTGTTATCAATGTACTTGTACCTGTCTATAAGATCCGATATAACTGTACTTGTACCTGTCAATAAGGCCCTGTTATAACTGTACTTGTACCTGTCTATAAGACCCTATTATAACTGTAGTTGTACCTGTCTATAAGACACTGTTATAACTGTACTTGTACCTGTCTATAAGACACTGTTATAACTGTACTTGTACCTGTCTATAAGACCCAGTGATAACTGTACTTGAACCTGTCTATAAGACACTGTTGTAACTTTACTTGTACCTGTGTATAAGACCTTGTTATAACTGTACTTGTACCTGTCTAATAAGCTATGTTTGGTATAAGCTCGTACCTGTCTACAGAGCTCTATGTTGTCTAAACTTGTACCTGTCTATAAGACCCTGTTATCAATGTACTTGTACCTGTCTATAAGACCCTGTTATCAATGTACTTGTACCTGTCTTTAAGACCTTGTTATAACTGTACTTGTACCTGTCTAATAAGCTATGTTTGGTCTAAGCTCGTACCTGTCTACAGAGCTCTATGTTGTCTAAACTTGTACCTGTCTATATGACCCTGTTATAACTGTACTTGTACCTGTCTATAAAACCCTGTTTTCAATGTACTTGTACCTGTCTATAAGACCCTGTTATAACTGTACTTGTACCTGTCTATAAGACCCTGTTATAACTGTACTTGTACCTGTCTATATGACCCTGTTATAACTGTGCTTGTACCTGTCTATAAGACCCTGTTATCAATGTACTTGTACCTGTCTATAAGATCCTGTTATAACTGTATTTGTACCTGTCTATAAGACCCTGTTATAACTGTATTTGTACCTGTCTATAAGACCCTGTTATAACTGTACTTGTACCTGTCTATAAGACCCTGTTATAACTGTCCTTGTACCTGTCTATAAGACCCTGTTATAACTGTGCTTGTACCTGTCTATAAGACCCTGTTATAACTGTGCTTGTACCTGTCTATAAGACCCTGTTATAACTGTACTTGTACCTGTCTATAAGCCCCTGTTATAACTGTACTTGTACCTGTCTAATAGACTATGTTTGTTCTTAACTCGTACCTGTCTTGTCTATAATTGTAATTGTCTACAAAATCATATGTTCCTTAACTTCCACCAGTCCACGGAATCTTCTGTTTTACTCAAATTCGGTGCCCTGCATTGTCTAAACTTACTGTTTATATTTAGGGTTCAACGTCATCTAGATTTGTACCGGTATACAAAGCCATGAGTTGTTTATATATACACCTGTCTATAGGACCCTGTGAGTGTCTATATGTTTCTTTGTTACCAATACTTGCACCAGTCTACAGAGCCCAGTGCTGTCTATATTTTTAACTGTATACAGAGCCCAGTGTTGGCTGTATTTGTACTTTTCTACACAGCCAAGTGTTGTCTGTTTTTATACCTGTCTACAGAGCCCAGCGGTGTCTATATTTGTACCTGTCTACAGACCCAGTGTTTTCTGTATTCGTACCTGTATACAGAACCCAGTGTTGGCTGTATTTGTACTTTTCTACACAGCCAAGTGTTGTCTGTATTTGTACTTGTCTACAGAGCCCAGTGTTGTCTGTATCTGTACCTGTCTACAGATATGTCTTACATTTCACATGTCTATAGTACCTTGTTATATATACTTGCCCTGCGTTGTCTATTCTAGTATCTGTATAAGGAGCCTTTTGTTGTCTCTACTTGTATCTTGCAATAGAATTCTTCGTTGTGTATACCCGTCTATATGATTTAGCGTCGTCTATACCTGTCTACAGAGCCCTATCTTGCCCATACTTTTACAGAGACCGTTGCCGTCTTTTGACTTATCTCGCTATAAGGCCCTGTGCTGTCTACACTTGTTCCTTTCTACAGAGACCGGTCTGTTTACTTGACTATAGGGCCATGTGTTGTTTTATATTAGGTAATTAGCTGACTAACAATAACAGTGGCAGATATCCTGTTGACCAGACAGAGGTAGCAGGTGTTCTTCTGAACTAATGATTGGATGGGCTCCACGTGATGACTATAAATAACCACTCAGCTGAATATCAAATTGATGGCGGTTGTTGCCAATTCAATTAAATCGCACCTTGCTTTTTACGTACTGTGTGACTGTGAACAATACCACTATGTCGCTGAGGACTTTTTGAGTGAGAATCGTATATGTTTAACCGACTATAATACTAACTTTTTGTATTTAGTAAGAGACGTACATTTTTTATCGACAATGATATTGATTTTTGTATGAATGTTTTACCGACAATACAATTGATTTTTGTATTGAGTGAGACACGTACATATTTAGCCGACAATGATATTAATTTTTGTATTAAGTGAGACACGGACATGTTTTACCGACAATAATAGTTTGACCAATTACTGACGGCCTTGACTGACTGATCTGTGTATGTATTTTACTGACGGCCTTGACTGACTGATCTGTGTATGTGTTTTACTGACGGCCTTGACTGATTGATCTGTGTATGTGTTTTACTGACGGCCTTGACTGACTGATCTGTGTATGTGTTTTACTGACGGCCTTGAATGACTGATCTGTGTATGTGTTTTACTGACGGCCTTGACTGACTGATCTGTGTATGTGTTTTACTGACGGCCTTGACTGATCTGTGTATGTGTTTTACTGACGGCCTTGACTGACTGATCTGTGTATGTGTTTTACTGACGGCCTTGACTGATTAACCTGTGTATGTGTTTTACTGACGGCCTTGACTGACTGACCTGTGTATGTGTTTTACTGACGGCCTTGACTGACTGATCTGTGTATGTGTTTTACTGACGGCTTGACTGATTGACCTGTGTATGTGTTTTCCTGATGGCCTTGACTGACTGACCTGTGTATGTGTTTTACTGACGGCCTTGACTGACTGATCTGTGTATGTGTTTTACTGACGGCCTTGACTGACTGATCTGTGTATGTGTTTTACTGACGGCCTTGACTGACTGATCTGTGTATGTGTTTTACTGACGGCCTTGACTGACTGATCTGTGTATGTGTTTTACTGACGGCCTTGACTGATTAACCTGTGTATGTGTTTTACTGACGGCCTTGACTGATTTACCTGTGTATGTGTTTTACTGACGGCCTTGACTGACTGATCTGTGTATGTGTTTTACTGACGGCCTTGACTGACTGATCTGTGTATGTGTTTTACTGACGGCCTTGACTGACTGATCTGTGTATGTGTTTTACTGACGGCCTTGACTGATCTGTAATGCGTTTTACTGGCGGCCTTGACTGATTTACCTGTGATGCGTTTTACTGACGCCATTGACTGACTGATCTGTGTATGTGTTTAAACTGACGGCCTTGACTGACTGATCTGTGTATGTGTTTTACTGACGGCCTTGACTGATCTGTAATGCGTTTTACTGGCGGCCTTGACTGATTTACCTGTGATGCATTCTACTAACGGCCTTGACTGATCTGTGAAATGTTTTACTGACGGCCTTGACTGATTTACCTGTGATGCGTTTTACCGACGGCCTTGACTGATTTACCTGTGTATGTGTTTTACTGACGGCCTTGACTGACTGATCTGTGTATGTGTTTTACTGACGGCCTTGACTGATTTACCTGTGATGCGTTTTACTGACGGCCTTGACTGACTGATCTGTGTATGTGTTTTACTGACGACCTTGACTGACTGATCTGTGTATGTGTTTTACTAACGGCCTTGACTGACTGACCTGTGTATGTGTTGTACTGACGGCCTTGACTAATTTATCTGTGTATGTGTTTTACTGACGGCCTTGACTGACTGATCTGTGTATGTGTTTTACTGACGGCCTTGACTGACTGATCTGTGTATGTGTTTTACTGACGGCCTTGACTGACTGATCTGTGTATGTGTTTTACTGACGGCCTTGACTGATTGACCTGTGTATGTGTTGTACTGACGGCCTTGACTGACTAACCTGTGTATGTGTTTTACTGACGGCCTTGACTGATTAACCTGTGTATGTGTTTTACTGATGACCTTGACTGACTGATCTGTGTATGTGTTTTACTGCCGGCCTTGACTGATTGATCTGTGTATGTGTTTTACTGACAGCCCTGACTGAATAACCTCTGTATGTGTTTTACTGACGGCCTTGACTGATTTACCTGTGTATGTGTTTTACTGATGGCCTTGACTGACTGATCTGTGTATGTGTTTTACTGCCGGCCTTGACTGATTGATCTGTGTATGTGTTTTACTGACGGCCCTGACTGACTGACCTGTGTATGTGTTTTACTGACGGCCTTGACTGATTTACCTGTGTGTTTTACTGACGACCTTGACTGATCTGTGTATGTGTTTTACTGACGGCCTTGACTGACTGATCTGTGTATGTGTTTTACTGACGGCCTTGACTGACTGATCTGTGTATGTGTTTTACTGACGGCCTTGACTGACTGATCTGTGTATGTGTTTTACTGACGGCCTTGACTGATCTGTAATGCGTTTTACTGACGGCCTTGACTGATTGACCTGTGTATGCGTTTTACTGACGCCTTGACTGATTTACCTGTGATGCATTTTACTGACGGCCTTGACTGATTTACCTGTGATGCATTTTACTGACGGGCTTGACTGATCTGTGAAATGTTTTACTGACGGCCTTGACTGATTTCCCTGTGATGCATTTTACTGACGGCCTTGACTGACTGACCTGTGTATGTGTTTTACTGACGGTCTTGACTAATTTACCTGTGTATGTGTTTTACTGATGGCCGTGACTGACTGATCTGTGTATGTGTTTTACTGACGGCCTTGACTGATCTGTGTATGTGTTTTACTGACGGCCTTGACTGACTGATCTGTGTATGTGTTTTACTGACGGCCTTGACTGACTGATCTGTGTATGTGTTTTACTGACGGCCTTGACTGACTGACCTGTGTATGTGTTTTACTGACGGCCTTGACTGATCTGTGAAATGTTTTACTGACGGCCTTGACTGATTTCCCTGTGATGCATTTTACTGACGGCCTTGACTGACTGATCTGTGTATGTGTTTTACTGACGGCCTTGACTGACTGATCTGTGTATGTGTTTTACTGACGGCCTTGACTGACTGATCTGTGTATGTGTTTTACTGACGGCCTTGACTGACTGATCTGTGTATGTGTTTTACTGACGGCCTTGACTGACTGATCTGTGTATGTGTTTTACTGACGGCCTTGACTGACTGATCTGTGTATGTGTTTTACTGACGGCCTTGACTGACTGATCTGTGTATGTGTTTTACTGACGGCCTTGACTGATCTGTAATGCGTTTTACTGACGGCCTTGACTGATTGACCTGTGTATGCGTTTTACTGACGCCTTGACTGATTTACCTGTGATGCATTTTACTGACGGCCTTGACTGATTTACCTGTGATGCATTTTAATGACGGGCTTGACTGATCTGTGAAATGTTTTACTGACGGCCTTGACTGATTTCCCTGTGATGCATTTTACTGACGGCCTTGACTGAGTGACCTGTGTATGTGTTTTACTGACGGTCTTGACTAATTTACCTGTGTATGTGTTTTACTGATGGCCGTGACTGACTGATCTGTGTATGTGTTTTACTGACGGCCTTGACTGATCTGTGTATGTGTTTTACTGACGGCCTTGACTGACTGATCTGTGTATGTGTTTTACTGCCGGCCTTGACTGATTGATCTGTGTATGTGTTTTACTGACAGCCCTGACTGAATAACCTCTGTATGTGTTTTACTGACGGCCTTGACTGATTTACCTGTGTATGTGTTTTACTGATGGCCTTGACTGACTGATCTGTGTATGTGTTTTACTGCCGGCCTTGACTGATTGATCTGTGTATGTGTTTTACTGACGGCCCTGACTGACTGACCTGTGTATGTGTTTTACTGACGGCCTTGACTGATTTACCTGTGTGTTTTACTGACGACCTTGACTGATCTGTGTATGTGTTTTACTGACGGCCTTGACTGACTGATCTGTGTATGTGTTTTACTGACGGCCTTGACTGACTGATCTGTGTATGTGTTTTACTGACGGCCTTGACTGACTGATCTGTGTATGTGTTTTACTGACGGCCTTGACTGACTGATCTGTGTATGTGTTTTACTGACCGCCTTGACTGACTGATCTGTGTATGTGTTTTACTGACGGCCTTGACTGATCTGTAATGCGTTTTACTGACGGCCTTGACTGATTGACCTGTGTATGCGTTTTACTGACGCCTTGACTGATTTACCTGTGATGCATTTTACTGACGGCCTTGACTGATTTACCTGTGATGCATTTTACTGACGGGCTTGACTGATCTGTGAAATGTTTTACTGACGGCCTTGACTGATTTCCCTGTGATGCATTTTACTGACGGCCTTGACTGACTGACCTGTGTATGTGTTTTACTGACGGTCTTGACTAATTTACCTGTGTATGTGTTTTACTGATGGCCGTGACTGACTGATCTGTGTATGTGTTTTACTGACGGCCTTGACTGATCTGTGTATGTGTTTTACTGACGGCCTTGACTGACTGATCTGTGTATGTGTTTTACTGACGGCCTTGACTGACTGATCTGTGTATGTGTTTTACTGACGGCCTTGACTGACTGACCTGTGTATGTGTTTTACTGACGGCCTTGACTGATCTGTGAAATGTTTTACTGACGGCCTTGACTGATTTCCCTGTGATGCATTTTACTGACGGCCTTGACTGACTGATCTGTGTATGTGTTTTACTGACGGCCTTGACTGACTGATCTGTGTATGTGTTTTACTGACGGCCTTGACTGACTGATCTGTGTATGTGTTTTACTGACGGCCTTGACTGACTGATCTGTGTATGTGTTTTACTGACGGCCTTGACTGACTGATCTGTGTATGTGTTTTACTGACGGCCTTGACTGACTGATCTGTGTATGTGTTTTACTGACGGCCTTGACTGATCTGTAATGCGTTTTACTGACGGCCTTGACTGATTGACCTGTGTATGCGTTTTACTGACGCCTTGACTGATTTACCTGTGATGCATTTTACTGACGGCCTTGACTGATTTACCTGTGATGCATTTTACTGACGGGCTTGACTGATCTGTGAAATGTTTTACTGACGGCCTTGACTGATTTCCCTGTGATGCATTTTACTGACGGCCTTGACTGACTGACCTGTGTATGTGTTTTACTGACGGTCTTGACTAATTTACCTGTGTATGTGTTTTACTGATGGCCGTGACTGACTGATCTGTGTATGTGTTTTACTGACGGCCTTGACTGATCTGTGTATGTGTTTTACTGACGGCCTTGACTGACTGATCTGTGTATGTGTTTTACTGACGGCCTTGACTGACTGACCTGTGTATGTGTTTTACTGACGGCCTTGACTGATCTGTGAAATGTTTTACTGACGGCCTTGACTGATTTACCTGTGATGCATTTTACTGACGGCCTTGACTGACTGATCTGTGTATGTGTTTTACTGACGGCCTTGACTGACTGATCTGTGTATGTGTTTTACTGACGGCCTTGACTGATCTGTGTATGTGTTTTACTGACGGCCTTGACTGACTGATCTGTGTATGTGTTTTACTGACGGCCTTGACTGACTGATCTGTGTATGTGTTTTACTGACGGCCTTGACTGACTGACCTGTGTATGTGTTTTACTGACGGCCTTGACTGATCTGTGAAATGTTTTACTGACGGCCTTGACTGATTTCCCTGTGATGCATTTTACTGACGGTCTTGTCTGATTTACCTGTGTATGTGTTTTACTGACTCCCTTGACTGACTGATCTGTGTATGTGTTTTACTGGCGGCCTTATATGATTTACCTGTGATGCGTTTTACTAACGGCCTTGACTGATTTACCTGTGATGCGTTTTACTGACGGCCTTGACTGATTTACCTGTGTATGTGTTTTACTGACGGCCTTGACTGACCTGTGTATGTGTTTTACTGACGGCCTTGACTGACTGACCTGTGTATGTGTTTTACTGACGGCCTTGACTGACTGATCTGTGTATGTGTTTTACTGACGGCCTTGACTGATTTACCTGTGATGCGTTTTACTGACGTCCTTGACTGACTGATCTGTGTATGTGTATTACTGATGGCCTTTACTGACTGATCTGTGTATGTGTGTTACTGACGGCCTTGACTGACTGACCTGTGTATGTGTTGTACTGACGGCCTTGACTAATTTACCTGTGTATGTGTTTTACTGATGGCCTTGACTGACTGATCTGTGTATGTGTTTTACTGACGACCTTAACTGACCTGTGTATGTGTTTTACTGACGGCCTTGACTGAGTGATCTGTGTATGTGTTTTACTGACGGCCTTGACTGACTGATCTGTGTATGTGTTTTACTGACGGCCATGACTGATCTGTAATGCGTTTTACTGACGGCCTTGACTGATTGATCTGTGTATGTGTTTTACTGACGGCCTTGACTGATCTGTAATGCGTTTTACTGATGGCCTTGACTGACTGATCTGTGTATGTGTTTTACTGACGGCCTTGACTGACTGATCTGTGTATGTGTTTTACTGACGGCCTTGACTGATTTACCTGTGTATGTGTTTTACTGATGACCTTGTCTGACTGATCTGTGTATGTGTTTTACTGACGGCCTTGACTGATCTGTAATGTGTTTTACTGACGGCCTTGACTGATTTACCTGTGATGCGTTTTACTGACGGCCTTGACTGACTGATCTGTGTATGTGTTTTACTGACGCCTTGACTGACTGACCTGTGTATGTGTTTTACTGACGGCCTTGACTAATTTACCTGTGTATGTGTTTTACTGACGGCCTTGACTGACTGATCTGTGAAATGTTTTACTGACGGCCTTGACTGATTTCCCTGTGATGCATTTTACTGACGGCCTTGACTGACTGACCTGTGTATGTGTTTTACTGACGGCCTTGACTGACTGACCTGTGATGCGTTTTACTGGCGGCCTTGACTGATTTACCTGTGATGCGTTTTACTGACGCCTTGACTGATTTACCTGTGTATGTGTTTTAATGACGGCCTTGACTGACTGATCTGTGTATGTGTTTTACTGACGGCCTTGACTGATTTACCTGTGATGCGTTTTACTGACGGCCTTGACTGACTGATCTGTGTATGTGTTTTACTGACGACCTTGACTGACTGATCTGTGTATGTGTTTTACTGACGGCCTTGACTGATTGTTCACCTTTATATGGACGTATACATCTATCGTTTTCATCATTGACTAACTTACTATTGGTAAACTGTTCAATATTTCATTGTTACAGGAAACACACCCCTTATCTACAGTTCTATAGTCGGGAATGATATTGCCACCGATTTGTTAACGCGCAACTTTCGGCGACTAGGTTTGGAGATTGATCATACCAACAAAAACGGTTTCACAGCCCTCCTGACTGCGGCCAAGCACGGGAACATTTCGTGTGCCAGAATTCTTGCTCAGCAAGGTCACGCTTCGTTGCAAGTCAGAGATAAAGTACACGGCTACTCTGTTCAGGAATGGCTTAAACTGGGTGGATATACACTTGAAGATATAGTTTCAGGTAAAAAACTCAACAAAACGAAGTCAAAATACATCAGTATCACTCGACTGTCCATTCCTAATGATTCATCGAAGAAAAGTTACCACACTGACGATGATACCAGTGATAACGAGGACACCTATCATCACGACTCAGATCGCAATTTTAGCTATAGAGAAGACAAGAGAATCATACATCGACAATCTAGCGCTATAGACGAAAGGTGTAATCGGAGGGAGAAGTTGGAACGAAGAAATAGTTACTGGGAAGATAGACGAGACAGTCCACGTGACGACAGACGAGGTAGTCTTCGCGACGAACGTCGAGGAAGTCCACGACAGGAGAGACGAAGCAGTCAGCGGGAAGACAGACGGTCGAGTGTAAGAGAAGAGCGACGAGAGAGCTTAAGAAGAATGAAGAAGCAACAGGATGCCGAAAAAGAACGGAAGGAAAGATTAAGTCGGGAGATTGCCGACCTGATAGAAGCGAATGAATTATCTGGAGAGAGCACAGTGATAATTGATCCAAACATGCCTGTTGCAAATACTATGCTGAGAAGAAAAAGTCTGAAGACGTCGATCGACCCAACCGTACTGAAAAACGTCATTGTTCTGCCCCCGATCAATAAGCTGGCAGTCGATGATTCTGATCCAAGCGACACTGATGCCAATAACACCGAAATCGACGATTACGAACATGGCGGTCTGCGACGAAAGGATTTCATCTGCGAGATTAACAATCTTGTGCCTAATGAAATGGATGATGACGACGCTGATTCCGTATACACTAGTAAAGATTAGTGGGACCCATATTTTCGAAAACCTCTTCCAAATACGGTTTATATATATGTATAATATATTATCCTTACTCTCGCGATTACGGAGACAACCTACACCAAACCGTCAGTCTTGAGTTATGCGGGTTTTTTCCCACCAAACACTTACTTAGGATTAATAAACGCATGCTCTGAAGTCGCCGATCCTGCGTGAAAAAAACGCATCGGGCACATTTTTCATTCATGGTAGTTACTGATTTCACTCTGATTTTCTCTGCAACATTATGCACGTGGTGTAATATAACCCAAATGGCGCACAATGGACGATATAACTGTATCTCGGTCCCCACATATGGGTATTAAAATAAGTTGTATGGAGTAAGGATCTTCTCTATTTAAACTGTTTAATGTTTTTAACTCAGATGCACAATTTGTACAAAATCACAACACATTATCTTCATAATGACACGTGGTCAATTGGGAAAATAGAAATTTAAGAAAAGAAAGTTCAATACTGTGTTGTCCACCATTCCCATCGATGTTACTAGTCCACCGCAGCAGGAGAGTTTTGTTCTTGGCGCAGTCAACGTTCCATTTCAACAAGGTAACGTTCTGCTGCCGTGAATATGTCCCGACAATCCGAACAGTATAGGTCGTGCGTAGTCCTACTGCAAAACAGTGTTACGCTGGCTATCACGGATAAATGGAAGAATGTGATGACGTTTAATTTTGTCATCGCAACGTACACCGATCAAGTTCCCTTCCACTGTAACCAGCGGGATTCATCCCTACGTTGTTATGTCACCCAAGCTCATAACGCTCCCTCCGCTGAAGCGACGACTCTGAATTGTACAAACGTTACTGTAATGTTCTCTCGGTCGACAGTGCACCCGAACACGACCGTCTCTGTAACGTGCTCTCGGCCGACAGTGCACCCGAACACGACCGTCACTGTAACGTTGTCACGGTCGACAGTGCATCCGAACACGACCGTCACTGTAACGTTGTCACGGTCGACAGTGCACCCGAACACGACCGTCACTGTACCATTGTCCCGGTCGACAGTGTACCCGAACACGACAGTCACTGTAACGTTGTCCCGGTCGGTAATCAACCAAACACAACAATCACAGTAACGATCTCTCGGTCGACGGTACACCTGAATATGACCGTCACTGTAATGTTGTCACGGTCAACAGTGTACCCGAACACGACCGTCACTGTAACGTTGTCACGGTCGACAGTGCACCCGAACACGACCGTCACTGTAACGTTGTCACGGTCGACAGTGTACCCGAACACGACAGTCACTGTAACGTTGTCCCGGTCGACTGTGTACCCGAACACGACCGTCACTGTAACGTTGTCCCGGTCGACAGTGTACCCGAACACGACCGTCACTGAAACGTTGTCCCGGTCGACTGTGTACACGAACACGACAATCACTGTAACGTTGTCCCGGTCGACAGTGTACCCGAACACGACAGTCACTGTAACGTTGTCACGGTCGACAGTGTACCCGAACACGACAGTCACTGTAACGTTGTCCCGGTCGACGGTACACCTGAACACGACCGTCACTGTAACGTTGTCCCGGTCGACAGTGTACCCGAACACGACCGTCACTGAAACGTTGTCACGGTCGACAGTGTACCCGAACACGACAGTCACTGTAACGTTGTCACGGTCGACAGTGTACCCGAACACGACCGTCACTGTGAGGTTCTCTCGGTTGACAGTGCATCCGAACACGACAGTCACTGTAACGTTGTCACGGTCGACAGTGTACCCGAACACGACCGTCACTGTAACGTTGTCACGGTCGACAGTGTACCCGAACACGACAGTCACTGTAACGTTGTCACGGTCGACAGTGTACCCGAACACGACAGTCACTGTAACGTTGTCACGGTCGACAGTGTACCCGAACACGACCGTCACTGTGAGGTTCTCTCGGTTGACAGTGCATCCGAACACGACAGTCACTGTAACGTTGTCCCGATCGACAGTGTACCCGAACACGACAGTCACTGTAACGTTGTCCCGGTCGACAGTGCACCCGAACACGACAGTCACTGAAACGTTATTCCGGTCGAGAGTGTACCCGAACACGACAGTCACTGTAACGTTGTCCCGGTCGACAGTGTACCCGAACACGACCGTCATTGTAACGTTGTCCCGGTCGACAGTGTACCCGAACACGACCATCACTGTAATGTTGTCACGGTCGACGGTACACCTGAATATGACCGTCACTGTAACGTAGTCCCGGTCGACAGTGTACCCAAACACGACCGTCACTGTAACGTTGTCACGGTCGACAGTGTACCCGAACACGACCGTCACTGTAACGTTTTCACTGTCGACAGTGCACCCGAACACGACCGTCACTGTAACGTTGTCCCGGTCGACAGTGCACCCGAACACGACCGACACTGAAACGTTGTTCCGGTCGACAGTGTACCCGAACACGACCGTCACTGTAATGTTGTCACGGTCGACAGTGCACCCGAACACGACCGTCACTGTAACGTTGTCCCGGTCGACAGTGCACCCGAACACGACAGTCATTGTAACGTTGTCACGGTCGATAGTGTACCCGAACACGACCGTCACTGTTACGTTGTCACGGTCGACGGTACACCTGAATATGACCGAATTGCCATGAGCTTCTTTTATCCGACAAGGGATTGTTGGGTTGGCTTTAGCCAGTAACATCGTTAACTATAGTTAGGAACATCGTATTTCGACAAGTGGCTGTTACGAGAGGGCGAGAGTGTGGTTAATCAGATAGATTTGTTATCGTATAAGATATAGGCGAGTGTGTTATTAATCCGACAAGTGTACATCGTGTGAGATATAGGCGAGGGTGTTGTTAATCCGACAAGTGTACATCTTGTGAGATATAGGCGAGTGTTTTGTTAATCCGACAAGTGTACATCTTGTGAGATATAGGCGAGTGTTTTGTTAATCCGACAAGTGTACATCTTGTGAGATATAGGCGAGGGTGTTGTTAATCCGACAAGTGTACATCTTGTGAGATATAGGCGAGTGTTTTGTTAATCCGACAAGTGTACATCTTGTGAGATATAGGCGAGGGTGTTGTTAATCCGACAAGTGTACATCTTGTGAGATATAGGCGAGTGTTTTGTTAATCCGACAAGTGTACATCTTGTGAGATATAGGCGAGGGTGTTGTTAATCCGACAAGTGTACATCGTGTGAGATATAGGCGAGGGTGTTATTAATCCGACAAGTGTACATCTTGTGAGATATAGGCGAGGGTGTTGTTAATCCGACAAGTGTACATCGTGTGAGATATAGGCGAGGGTGTTGTTAATCCGACATGTGTACATCTTGTGAGATATAGGCGAGGGTGTTGTTAATCCGACAAGTGTACATCGTGTGAGATATAGGCGAGGGTGTTATTAATCCGACAAGTGTACATCTTGTGAGATATAGGCGAGGGTGTTGTTAATCCGACAAGTGTACATCGTGTGAGATATAGGCGAGGGTGTTGTTAATCCGACATGTGTACATCGTGTGAGATATAGGCGAGGGTGTTGTTAATCCGACAAGTGTACATCGTGTGAGATATAGGCGAGGGTGTTGTTAATCCGACAAGTGTACATCGTGTGAGGTAAAGGCGAGGGTGTTGTTAATCCGACAAGTGTACATCGTGTGAGATATAGGCGAGTGTTTTGTTAATCCGACAAGTGTACATCTTGTGAGATATAGGAGAGAGTGCTGTTAATCCGACAAGTGTACATCGTGAGAGGTAAAGGCGAGGGTGTTATTAATCCGACAAGTGTACATCGTGTGAGATATAGGCGAGGGTGTTGTTAATCCGACATGTGTACATCTTGTGAGATATAGGCGAGGGTGTTGTTAATCCGACAAGTGTACATCGTGTGAGGTAAAGGCGAGGGTGTTATTAATCCGACAAGTGTACATCTTGTGAGATATAGGCGAGGGTGTTGTTAATCCGACAAGTGTACATCTTGTATGGTAAAGGCGAGGGTATTGTTAATCCGACAAGTGTACATCTTGTGAGATATAGGGGAGGGTGTTGTTAATCCGACAAGTGTACATCTTGTGAGATATAGGCGAGGGTGTTGTTAATCCGACAAGTGTACATCTTGTGAGGTTAAGGCGAGAGTGTTGTTAATCCGACAAGTGTACATCGTGTGAGATATAGGCGAGGGTGTTGTTAATCCGACAAGTGTACATCGTGTGAGGTATAGGAGAGAGTGTTGTTAATCCGACAAGTGTACATCTTGTGAGGTTAAGGCGAGAGTGTTGTTAATCCGACAAGTGTACATCGTGTGATATATAGGCGAGGGTGTTGTTAATCCGACAAGTGTACATCTTGTCAGGTATAGGAGAGAGTGTTGTTAATCCGACAAGTGTACATCGTGTGAGGTAAAGGAGAGAGTGTTGTTAATCCGACAAGTGTACGTCTTGTGGGGTATAGACGAGGGTGTTGTTAATCCGACAAGTGTACGTCTTGTGAGATATAGGCGAGGGTGTTGTTAATCCGACAAGTGTACATCTTGTGAGATATAGGCGAGGATGTTGTTAATCCGACAAGCTTACATCGTGTGAGGTATAAGCGAGGGTGTTGTTAATCCGACATGTGATACATCATACACATTAGTAGTAGGAGAACTACAGAATGCTGGTAGAATAACAGGATCTTTCCCTTAGTTTGAGGGTAGGACAGAAAAATCGCTACGGACTGAGTAGAATACATAGACTGTTAAGACTATCGGGAATCTCCTGTGTGGGCAGATATTTCTCTGTCCTACCCTCAAACTAGGCGAAAGACTTTTTTCTATCCCGTATCTCCAACATACTAAAAATACAATAACAAAGCATATATCTATATGCTGACAACTATGGAAACAAAATCAGGCAATCTACGCTGTACCAACACAACGCATCTAAAATTTGTTTGTATAAACAAAAATGATGAGAGACTATCTTACAATCATGTCAAATTTATCTTAAACTGTCAATATCAACCAGTCACTTCTCTCACGTCTCAAATTAACAACTTCCGGTTTATCATACCCTCACCGGAATTGTAGACATTTCTGTCCGATCGGGTAGAAAACACGCCATTTGCTTGCGTGAATATGAAAATATCGTCATACAACTTAACGACTCTGTGCTTGTTTGTTTTATTAGCTGGTGTTAACGTCAATATGTATTGAGATCCGGGGCTCTTCAGTTATACCTGCGATCGTTATACACAGGTGACGGATGTATGGTATTGTATGGTGTGTTGTGTTAGTATCGTGTAACGACATTGGTAACGCTACCAGTTTTCACAATTTCCTCTAAATTACTATCATTAGCAATATGTGAAGGGTATAATAGTACAGTATTATCCTATGCCATCACTACGCTGTTCCCTCTATAAGACCAAATTGCAGTTTTCGCTCCATTTCTTCCTCGACCTAAACACGACGGCGAGGATTTCGCCCCTCCACTGTAGTATACCCCCTCCTTCGTGTTAAGGTCAATGAGGCGAGAATACTACACTGCTTCGGCTTCCTTGCTCTCGTATTGTAAAAACGCTCTCTCCTCCATATTTAGGCTGAAGAAACGAGAGAACAATCCTGCGGGTTTCGGTCGAAGGAGAGGAGATTGACATGCGATCTCCGCGGAATAGCCTACATCGATAAAACTTGTTCTCGCCAGTCGGTAACAGGCAGGGGAGGTAATCTAGCCGATGAAAGTTTTAATTCATTGTCTATATAATTAGACGTTTCATCAATGATCTAAGAAGTCCGAATTATTGTGATGTTCTATCCCTTATTGGTCTGTGGTCGACGATCGTCTTTAATACCAGACATAGTTAGGACTATGATATTAGACAAAATAAATTAATGTTAACATTTTGAAAAGTTTTTCATAGGTGAAACTACAACATGCATGATTGTAGAATTTAAAATATATAACATCGGCTGCTTTCGCGTAACCCGGTTAAACGGTTCAGACGGCAAGGAATTATTCCACGATCGCACACGCAACATAAAGCTCGAAATGAATAGTTTTGGAATTTCTGTCAAACTTAAATGAACGTACCACTGATAAAATGTATTCCACGTGAGCCCGTACTTATTAGAACATTTCATGATACGTGTGCGTTCGCCAACATTGTTTTATCACGAAAACTAATGATATTCAGCTAGGAAAGGCCCCCTCAAACCAATCGGTGCCTGTTTTAAGCCGGCCCATCCGTTTCAATCGCCTACGTGAAAGCGACCTAAGAAATCGTTTGATATCTCACTCACTAAACTGAGGAAAAAACACTACACTTCGTCCTAAAACGTATTGTTTATTGTCAATTGTTTATCATGTTATACCTATATATTGTTTATGTAAAACGAACAGATATTCTTAATGGATTGGCATCAATATTGTACAATAAAAAATACTACTCAGAGAAATGGCTTCTTTATGATTGTCTCCTTATCTAGCCAACAATCTATTTCTGTCGACACCGCCTGAAGTCATAGCAACGTACTTAAAAGTTATATTGTATATGTAAATCGTTAACAGACATACAACGTTATATCCTTATACACTTGCAATGGTATCACGCGGGAAATGCATTGTGGTCTTGATACGCCCTTAGATTCTTTAGATGTCTCACGTATTAAAATTCTTGAAACACACACTTTGCTAAACATTAGAAACTGTGTAGCAGCAGAAATGGAAGCTGGACGTTCAGTTTCTGACCTGGCATACGTGATTACATCCAATGAGTATTGATTATACGGTACAGTGTACGTTACTAAGGAGTTAATTATAACACTTCGAAGATGGTTTGAGTGAATGAATTTCTTTTCTTTGTAGATCTCGTTAAAAAAAATCGTTTTTCGCGATTGTTTGAAGTTCTTTTACATAACCATAAGCGCAACGCAGGAAACGTTTTTTTAATTTGTTTGTTTTTTTGTTTTGTTTTTAACACAGGTCATAACCGCTCATTACTATGTGTAGTCTCCAATATAAACGACATTACCATAACTTCTTTATCTGAGTATTTATTTCAGTGCTAAAAACATGGCCGTTCAGATAATATGGTCTCTCACATTATGTCATATCGAATACTCATTTATTTGATCAGTCTTTGTATATATACAAATGTACAAATTTAGAAAACTGCACGAACAGATACATAAAACCGGATAGATAGTAATATATAGGGTAACTTTTGTTCAGTGACAACACGTCCTTGACCGCATTCTTCTTGGTCTCTAACTGAAAGGGACGTGTCTTCCTCATCTGATATCTGCAATATACAAAGCGATGGTAAATAGGATATTTCTCAATCTCAATATTGGGGAGGGGTCAGGGAATGGGGGGTGGGGGTGGGGGGATAGTAGGACACAGAAAGGAGTGTGGATGAGTAGCTTGGATTTGAGGATAGGACAGAGAAACTAGGGTATAGATGCTTAGCTGAGATTGGGGGTAGAACAATTACACTAGGATTACTTAAACAAAAGGATACCAACAACGAAACAGCAATCAATGACAAAGATTTTGATTGTTTATAAAGAGTCACGAGAAATAGTGTAAATGCATTTCATTGCCCAATCGAAAAAACAAAATGGAACAGTTGTATGAGCGTGAGAATACGTGTATGTAAGAATTAATATGGATCAGGGAAAACCTAACGTAGCCTTTGCTTTTGTTTATCGACTCGTGGACATCCACAGTCATTTTGAGGACGGTTCTCCTTGTAGCTGAATAACATACGGGAGATCCGTCGCATGGCGTCTAGAGCAAAAAGGTTACAGTGTCTTTTCAAGGACAGAGCAGTACAGATCGTTTCGTTCCTAAGCTTCCTGTCAGACGACAACCGCCACGAGTTCGGAGCGTTAAACTGCCCACCTGCTAACCTACTGAGCTATTGCAACTAATTGCCTGTATACACTCTGTACCAACGTACTTAATCCTCTGGTATCTACAAAGCCAAAGTATACAACATATACTCATCACATTGTTTTCAATATACTATCAAACAGAAATTCGATCTAAGATAGTTGGACGACAGGTCGGCGTTCATTGAAGATTTACTTTAAGGGAAATAACTCTAACAAAACTATTACAATGAAGAGATTCTGTTCTATTTATAGATTTATGTATCATTCCATTTCAGCTAACTTCCATTGTCATTTTTAGGAAGGTTCTCCTTCTACGTGGTGACTCACTGAATAACACACGGGAGGCCTGTCACATGCCATTAGGCACAAAACGCGTAGTTTTTTTTTCAAAACTAACGTTCTTATTATTTTTTTTTCTTAGTACAAACTGTGATTAAAAACTACTAATGAAATACCAATTTCCAGATCTTTTAGACGTATCTGTATCTGTTTATGGAAAGGGAGGTCATTCACTTCAGTCGCTGCCAAGTACGCTCTCATTTAGCTTAAACTTGTTTCAACATTGCGTTGTGTGGTGGTAATGGTTTATTTTAACGACCCGACATGCCCTAACCCCCTCACGTTACCTGTTTGTCTAGATACAACGGACTTGCTGCTACTGGACACAGCGTCATCATTAACAGGATCTGAAAAAAAATCCGATATATCAGTTAACATTACGTTCACAAAGTCACAACGGAGACCTACTTAGTCGTGACACTGTGCTAGTTACTGTGGTGATCTACAAACTTAACGTGTAAAACAGTTGCATTTGTAGTCTGAGTGTAATCCCTTGATCAAGTTATCATTTCCATGTGGATTTACCATCAACACCGTACACAGTTATACCGTTACCATGGAGATATATATTCAATCTCGTAAACATGACAATATCGTCACCAAGAGGACCATAGGGATTCCCAGAGTTGGTTTCATCCTTGACGGAAGAGCCAACCAAGACCTCACTGATATCGAGTTAGGTATCTCCCTTGGTTTGTTTCGCTCTTGAAGGAAGAGAAAACACGAGACCTCACTGATGCTGATTGATTTGTTCACTGGAGTGAACTTAATGGATCTCCTTGCATTACCTTAGCTATGAGTAAATGTATATAACAGTATATCTCTAAGTAAGTAACGTGAGAGCAGAGACTTACAATATTTACTTAGCCTTTTTAAAAAGAATTTCAAACTTGATTGGGAATTCACTCTTTAGAGATACCTTCTTCCTTGAGAGCACCGAGGAAGACTGGCCACCAGAGGTCCTTATCAGACTGGGTGTCAATACAGACGATATCTTCGAGAGATGGCGGGAGTTCACAATCGTTTAACAGAATTGGAATCGGGCGTTTACCTCTCATCCGTCCATCGTAATACTTTTTCCATTCTAAGCCTAGAAAATTTTGTGACAAAACCAAAACGATTTTTACGGATCGTTTGATAGCATGATCAACATTTTCAATGATCGGTGAACCCGGTTTGAAGTCTCTGCCTGGATAACAACAGATCAATCCCACGCTTGGAGATTCCAAAGTCTTTACAATCTTTGACACCCATGCTGTGTCAGCCATATTATGTGCAAACAGGACATGGTATCTTTTTCGTGGTGGTAGTGTTGGCGCCGAGCCTCTGAGAGTATCTACTAGGTGGCACCACCATGTCTCCTTGGCGCCTGTCGCATTAATGTACTGAAAGTATTTCAAAAATGGCGGAATACCACATGGTTCTATCAGAATGGGGACAAAACTGATTTTTTCCGCTCCGTGTGCCATTGATTCGAGTTCCATCTGACGCCATTCATTATCAATGTAAGATGACGACAATACGACAATTGTCCTGATAGACCTTTCCAGCGCATTCTTTACGTTGGCAGATATTGAAATCCCCGGTTCAAAATCTCTTTCGAAAACACAGCACTTATAGCCAAGATATTCCAGTTCTCTTGACACAACTTTGACCCAGTCTTTGTCCGGAAGTCCAAGATGAAAACAGAAGAACACATGGTAGTCCTTTCCGCGCGGTAATGGTGGTGCTTTAGACGACCGCTTCAGTTCACGCACCACACTCATCGTATGCGCACGCTCAAGACTGGCCCTAGTGTTTCTGTGGGTTAAAATATTAAGAAGAAAAAAAAAACAAGATAAACAATTATACCAGATAAAACATTTCTTACTTACTGTTAAACACTGTCACTACCGAGATTCATTTTCGGGAATTCCAGGCGATATTCTACCAGTAGTAGCTAGTAGTAACTAGAGGTAGTTGTTCGCGATATAAGTGGATGTTATTCACGATATTGATGGTAGTTATTCCCGATATTGATGGTAATTATTCCCGATATTGATAGTAGTTATTCCCGATATTGATAGTAGTTATTCCCGATATTGATGGTAATTATTCCCGATATTGATGGTAGTTATTCACGATATTGATGGTGATTATTCCCGATATTGATGGTGATTATTCCCGATATTGATGGTAATTATTCCCGATATTGATGGTGATTATTCACGATATTGATGGGGATTATTCCCGATATTGATGGTAATTATTCCCGATATTGATGGTAATTATTCCCGATATTGATGGTGATTATTCACGATATTGATGGGGATTATTCCCGATATTGATGGTAATTATTCCCGATATTGATGGTGATTATTCACGATATTGATGGGGATTATTCCCGATATTGATGGTAATTATTCCCGATATTGATGGTAGTTATTCCCGATATTGATGGTAGTTATTCACGATATTGATGGGGATTATTCCCGATATTGATGGGGATTATTCCCGATATTGATGGTAATTATTCCCGATATTGATGGTAGTTATTCCCGATATTGATGGTAATTATTCCCGATATTGATGGTGATTATTCACGATATTGATGGTAGTTATTCACGATATTGATGGTGATTATTCCCGATATTGATGGTAATTATTCCCGATATTGATGGTAGTTATTCACGATATTGATGGTAGTTATTCACGATATTGATGGTGATTATTCCCGATATTGATGGGGATTATTCCCGATATTGATGGGGATTATTCACGATATTGATGGTAGTTATTCCCGATATTGATGGGGATTATTCACGATATTGATGGTAATTATTCCCGATATTGATGGTGATTATTCACGATATTGATGGGGATTATTCCCGATATTGATGGTAGTTATTCCCGATATTGATGGTAGTTATTCACGATATTGATGGTAGTTATTCACGATACTGATGGTAATTATTCCCGATATTGATGGTAGTTATTCCCGATATTGATGGTAGTTATTCACGATATTGATGGTAATTATTCCCGATATTGATGGTAGTTATTCACGATATTGACGGTGATTATTCACGATATTGATGGTAGTTATTCCCGATATTGATGGTAGTTATTCCCGATATTGATGGTGATTATTCCCGATATTGATGGTAGTTATTCACGATATTGATGGTAGTTATTCACGATATTGATGGTAGTTATTCACGATATTGACGGTGATTATTCACGATATTGATGGTAGTTATTCACGATATTGATGGTAGTTATTCACGATATTGATGGGGATTATTCACGATATTGATGGGGATTATTCCCGATATTGATGGTAGTTATTCCCGATATTGATGGTGATTATTCCCGATATTGATGGTAGTTATTCCCGATATTGATGGTGATTATTCCCGATATTGATGGTAGTTATTCTCGATATTGATGGTGAGTATTCCCGATATTGATGGTAGTTATTCACGATATTGATGGGGATTATTCACGATATTGATGGTGATTATTCCCGATATTGATGGTGATTATTCCCGATATTGATGGTGATTATTCCCGATATTGATGGTAGTTATTCCCGATATTGATGGTAGTTATTCACGATATTGATGGTAGTTATTCACGATATTGATGGGGATTATTCACGATATTGATGGTGATTATTCCCGATATTGATGGTAGTTATTCCCGATATTGATGGTGATTATTCCCGATATTGATGGTAGTTATTCCCGATATTGATGGTAGTTATTCACGATATTGATGGTAGTTATTCACGATATTGATGGTAGTTATTCCCGATATTGATGGTAGTTATTCCCGATATTGATGGGGATTATTCACGATATTGATGGTGATTATTCCTGATATTGATGGTAGTTATTCCCGATATTGATGGTGATTATTCCCGATATTGATGGTAGTTATTCACGATATTGATGGTAGTTATTCACGATATTGATGGTAGTTATTCCCGATATTGATGGTGATTATTCCCGATATTGATGGTAGTTATTCCCGATATTGATGGTGATTATTCCCGATATTGATGGTAGTTATTCCCGATATTGATGGTGATTATTCCCGATATTGATGGTAGTTATTCCCGATATTGATGGTGATTATTCCCGATATTGATGGTAGTTATTCCCGATATTGATGGTAATTATTCCCGATATTGATGGTAGTTATTCCCGATATTGATGGTAATTATTCCCGATATTGATGGTAATTATTCCCGATATTGATGGTAGTTATTCCCGATATTGATGGTGATTATTCACGATATTGATGGTGATTATTCCCGATATTGATAGTAGTTATTCACGATATAAGTGGATGTTATTCACGATATTGATGGTGATTATTCCCGATATTGATGGTAGTTATTCCCGATATTGATGGTGATTATTCCCGATATTGATGGTAGTTATTCCCGATATTGATGGTAGTTATTCACGATATTGATGGTGATTATTCCCGATATTGATGGTAGTTATTCCCGATATTGATGGTAGTTATTCCCGATATTGATAGTAGTTATTCCCGATATTGATGGTAATTATTCCCGATATTGATGGTGATTATTCCCGATATTGATGGTAGTTATTCACGATATTGATGGTAATTATTCCCGATATTGATAGTAGTTATTCCCGATATTGATGGTAATTATTCACGATATTGATGGTAATTATTCCCGATATTGATGGTGATTATTCCCGATATTGATGGTAATTATTCACGATATTGATGGTGATTATTCCCGATATTGATGGGGATTATTCCCGATATTGATGGTAATTATTCCCGATATTGATGGGGATTATTCCCGATATTGATAGTAGTTATTCCCGATATTGATGGTAATTATTCCCGATATTGATGGGGATTATTCCCGATATTGATGGTAGTTATTCCCGATATTGATGGTAATTATTCCCGATATTGATAGTAGTTATTCCCGATATTGATGGGGATTATTCCCGATATTGATGGGGATTATTCACGATATTGATGGTAATTATTCCCGATATTGATGGTAGTTTTATCACGATATTGATGGTGATTATTCCCGATATTGATGGGGATTATTCCCGATATTGATGGGGATTATTCCCGATATTGATGGGGATTATTCCCGATATTGATGGGGATTATTCCCGATATTGATGGTAGTTATTCACGATATTGATGGTGATTATTCCCGATATTGATGGTGATTATTTCCGATATTGATGGTAGTTATTCCCGATATTGATGGGGATTATTCCCGATATTGATGGTAATTATTCCCGATATTGATGGTAGTTATTCCCGATATTGATGGGGATTATTCCCGATATTGATGGGAATTATTCCCGATATTGATGGTAATTATTCCCGATATTGATGGGGATTATTCCCGATATTGATGGTAGTTATTCCCGATATTGATGGTGATATTGATGGTAATTATTCACGACTTTGATAGTAGTTATTCACGCGTCGCTTTCATCGAAGGAATTGAACTTATTTCCTTTAATGCCAATGGTATTCTTGGTGTCATGTAGGGATATTGGTTGGCAGACCTCGTCCATAAGTCGTGCTAACTGATGCGGAATTACTGTATGTGTAGGTAGATTACTGTAATCCTGGCAATTCCATGGCCAGACTTGGACATGTGCCTTGTCTATACTTACATCCCAAATATAGTGACAGTAGTAACTGCCTCGTGTAACATTAGAGCATTCTCAAGAAAAAAACAATATAGGAAGAAAAAAGGGTAAAAATGACATAATATGTAATTTTTTGTTATCATGGACATAAATTTACGAGTATGTGTATAAAAATCTAACACTTTTAGGAAGTATGATGGCAAACGTGCGTCGATCGTATGTGACGGTTATAGTTTAAACCTGTTTTATTGTGTAAATAACAAGGAGATCAGACAAAAGTTATTACAACTTAAGAAACGCCCTCTCTCTACTGACATAAAACAATTCAACATTCATTAAACCTAGAGAGTAACAATTAGTTAAACTTGCGTTAAATCTGTATTGTTTTTACTAGACTTGATATAAAGATGCCCGTGCCTGCAAATACTAGTATTAACATTATCTACATACAGTTGATTACCGTGTAATAATATCGTTAATATCATACCAAAGAAAAGCTCAGGGATTAAAACACATGTACCTACATATTATAATTAACTTGTCTGTATTCAAAGTTTCGAAGTCAGGATGTCCCACAAAAACTAGAATACGAGAACTGAGTAGTGTTTTATTGAAACAAGCCCATGTGAGGATTAGCCACAAACAACTAGTTTCAGAAGAACTGTGTAATATTTAATTGAAACAAGCCCATGTGGGGATTTCCCCACAAACAATTAGAGTAACAGGAGAACTGTGTTGTATTTTATTGAAACAAGCCCATGTGAGGATTTCCCCACAAACAACTAGAATACGAGAACTGTGTAGTATTTCATTGTAACGATTCACCATAGTTTTGTTCTTTAACAGTGATAATACTTCTACACGTGCCTCTTAAGATGTCACATGAAACACAGGAAAAATAATGACAAGGCGGTTCTGTGACGTTTTATATATACTTACATACTGGCTGCACTCCCCTCCCGTCGGGACTGACCGATAAACTGCAAAACATGAATATGTACATATAAATAGTACGTATACAGACTAATCCCGTGTTGTATAGGAACTACCTCCGTGCTGTATAGGGACTACCTCCGTGCTGTATAGGAACTACCTCCGTGCTGTATACAGACAACAGCAGACTACTCCCGTGCTGTATACAGACTACGCCCGTGCTTTATACAGACTACTCTGTGGCACAGCTAAAGACAGGTACACGGATCAAGTAGAATGCATTCACATTGAAATAGAATATATGTAAAGGTCACAGCCGAAAATCCAACAGATTATCTTGGCTGCGGTGTAGTTCTCAATAGAAATTCATTTAATTGGCATTAGGATTAACACAGTAAATCTCGTAGTCGGTTTTGTTTGCTTCAGTTATAAATAACACACAAAACTCTAATTATTCGTGACATCGATAACTGCATATGTTAACATGTCCAGATATGTGGTGTCTGAAACTGACGCATGTTTTAAACATTATAAGTCTTTTGAAAAAATAACAAACTGACAGTGCTGTCTGTTTGTACACTAAGTGTAATCTAGCATACAGGTGTGTGTCACTGGTAGGATTAAATATTTATTATAAACGGCCAATGCCCAACATTTGTTATTCCTGTTCATTGATCTAGGTATTATAGGTACCCCTAGACCAACCGCGAAGAAAGAATACGTCTGCTGATATAACGATAACATCAATGTCTGTAAGCTATATAGAAGCTTGTACAATTTTCGTAGTACATGTTAGAACTGCTTGGTCGGGTCTCAGTACAAAGACGGGAAGTGTAACTTAACACCAAGTGTTATAGTTCGATACACAGGCGGACGTACGTTGGTCTTTTTACAGTATCAGAACAATACCACACAAACTGAACGATAAAAATGTCAAATAATAGCGTTTATTTTACTGAATCCATTCTATATATACCAGATAGCTGTCCTAATTATCAAAAGTGGAAAGGCATACACTCATATACATTGTAAATCAAACGTCACAGAAAATAAAGGTCCCCACGTATCGCCAAACATATCACTTATTTGTTACATTGCACTACGGACTAATTGTAGTTATCCTATATTGCAGATAACTTTCAACCTAGCAGTTATTTCCGAATTGTCACCAAGTAACTAAAAGCCTTGTAGAACAAATAAATCAATATCCCCAACCTCTGACCCAAATTATCCCCAACCTCTGACCCAAATTATCCCCAACCTCTGACCCAAATTATCACCAACCTCTGACCCAAATTATCCCCAACCTCTGACCCAAATTATCACCAACCTCTGACCCAAATTATCACCAACCTCTGACCCAAATAGGGACATACGAAACTGGGAAATTGTGACAAGCTTGGCAAGCGAATCAAAGGGAAATGGGTCATGCTTTTCTATTAAAGGTTCGGGACGCCATTTCAACTGTACCATCCTAAGATGCATTTATATTCAAACTTGGTCGTATCTTGGTAAATATGTCGGTATATGTAATATGTTCAAGATCATGTCTTGCACTTTGTAAGAGGCATAAGGACCTTCTTAAATATGTGACAAATTTTCCTCGATTGAATCGACGGAGCCGATTGCATACAAGGCCAAGTTCACGATTCGTAAAGAAAATTTGCGGATCTCCAGATGTAGAACAAATAAGGTTATATACTGTATAAATGATAAAAACCATGATAAAAGCCGAATGAGTGGATCGTGACGTAATCACGAGTTATAACGAAATGGTCTCAGACACCATAAGAAGACTCTCATCTAACAAGAAACAGTAATGGGACAATCTATTGAAAAAGGATTTTTTAAAACAATGTCACCAACTACTTAAACAGGTCTAGTCCAATGTACGGTCACCTAGTATAGCATTAATGATTAAATTCACATCGTAATTTGGATAAGTATTCAACTTTAACTTGAAATGTTGCATTATTTTCTCTCCTTTTTTTTTAACTTTCTGGGGAGAGATCATTTATACCGACATCAAATCAAGATGCAAGTTACTATGAGGTGCAAGTCGGTAATAAATTCATAGCAAAATATTCTACGTTGCCTGAATTAAGTAGATATCAGAAGCGATGTCCCGGAACGACAGATTTTTATATATAAAATCTCACAAACTCAAGTGACAAAGATTGAGAATTTCAATTGTTTTACATAAATACATAAGCTAATGTGTAAAGCGGATATATTTGCTATTCCTTATTAAAATGTCCAGTTATAAAATGCAGTAGATTTGTATTTATCATTAGGAGCTGTCATTAATCCAGATACTCACACTGTAGGCCATACTGAAGTGGAAGTTGTCCATGGCTTAGTAACAGAATGATCACGCTGCTTAATCCGATCACTTAGAAATCATTTTACTTAATAAACAGCACAGTGTAAACTCTTACATATCAAGGTTTGTGTAAACGATGAGATACGTTGATCAGACAGGCCCCAGTGTAGTTTTAAATATCGCCGTGTACAGGTTACTATTGTCTGATATAGAATATCAATATGCAAATCAAACAAGAAATGAGTAGCCTATGGAACAGACCACAAACCATATCCGAGCGATTTGAGCTCATTATCATTACAGTATTGAGGTTGAATAAGATATGTGGGAGACACGAGATTCCCTACCGATATCGACAATATCGTTAAATCCTGAAGTCTTTATATCACCTGTCATAGGCTGTCATTAATTACTGAACAATACCGCAGTATAATTACTTAATTAACTATCGTCCATTGTCTTTATGTCAGTACACAGTTATACATAGCGTTAGATACTTAACGTTAATTCGACACTGTAATTACTCATTCTTTCATAACAATCAAAATGAAAAATTGCACATTCCGAAATTCAGACAAAACATGAAAATAGTTGTTCTTCGTTGAAGAAATAAGATGTTGCTACATTTCTCTATACAACTTCATCGCGATATCGTGAATGTAACCCTAACCCTTGACTGAAGACCAAACGAAATGTTTACCGTTTGTCCCCAGAGATATAACTCCATACTACTATCTTCCTTTTACCGTAACAATAAGTAGAATAGTCTTTTCGTGTTCAGCGATCACCTATAATGTTACAGGGCGGAGTAATGTCCATAGAAGGAGGCTTGATGGGCTTCCATAAAGGGCAGAACAAGAGGGGCCCTCACAGTCGCATGATCATTCAGCATCTTGAATATGTGAAAATCTAAATTGTAAACACACAAACCAAGCATGATATGATCTCTCTTGCAAAGCATACTTTTGTAGTCCATTGAATAGCAGCATTTTTTTTAATAAATACTGCTAAGTTAATTGCAATTCAGCATTTGTTTTATACCTTTTACATGCACATACATTTTGCACACTAGTTGTTATTTTAATGCCGGTGTAATACCTGCTGAAGAAACATCATTTTAGGATGATCCTTTAGACGTGTCACAACACTCCAGGATGATCCTTTAGATGTGTCACAACACTCTAGGATGATCCTTTAGATGTGTCACACTACTTCGTGATGATCCTTTAGAAGTGTCACAACACTCCAGGATGATCCTTTAGACGTGTCACACTACTTCGGGATGATCCTTTAGAAGTGTCACAACACTCCAGGATGATCCTTTAGATGTGTCGCACCACTCTATGATGATCCTTTAGACGTGTCCCACCACTTTGGGATGATCCTTTAGACGTGTCCCACCACTTTGGGATGATCCTTTAGACGTGTCACACTACTTTGGGATGATCCTTTAGACGTGTCACACCACTTTGCGATGACCTGTTGGATGTAGACTTGGCTGGAGTCTTTACTGGTTCTTCAGAACATTTCTTCCTCTGAACTGTAGTCACAGCTGTTGATCTTTACAGATCTTTTGGACCGCCTCTTCCTCTGAACTGTAGTCACAGCTGTTGATCTTTACAGATTCTTTGGACCGTCTCTTCCCCTGAACTGTAGTCACAGCTGTTGATCTTTACAGATTCTTTGGACCGTCTCTTCCCCTGAACTGTAGTCACAGCTGTTGATCTTTACAGATCCTTTGGACCGTCTCTTCCCCTGAACTGTAGTCACAGCTGTTGATCTTTACAGATTCTTTGGACCGCCTCTTCCCCTGAACTGTAGTCACAGCTGTTGATCTTTACAGATCCTTTGGACCGCCTCTTCCCCTGAACTGTAGTCACAGCTGTTGATCTTTACAGATTCTTTGGACCGCCTCTTCCCCTGAACTGTAGTCACAGCTGTTGATCTTTACAGATTCTTTGGACCGCCTCTTCCCCTGAACTGTAGTCACAGCTGTTGATCTTTACAGATTCTTTGGACCGTCTCTTCCCCTGAACTGTAGTCACAGCTGTTGATCTTTACAGATTCTTTGGACCGCCTCTTCCCCTGAACTGTAGTCACAGCTGTTGATCTTTACAGATCCTTTGGACCGTCTCTTCCCCTCAACTGTAGTCACAGCTGTTGATCTTTACAGATTCTTTGGACCGCCTCTTCCCCTGAACTGTAGTCACAGCTGTTGATCTTTACAGATTCTTTGGACCGCCTCTTCCCCTGAACTGTAGTCACAGCTGTTGATCTTCACAGATTCTTTGGACCGTCTCTTCCCCTGATCTGCAGACACAACTGCTTATCTTTACTGATTCTTTGGGCTGTCTCTTCTGCTGAACCGCAGTAAGAACTGGTTCTTTTACTTCAGTATCTTTCAAAGATATCCAAACTTCAAACACAGGTTTGATTCTGTGACCTTTGAATTAAAAAAATTCTTCATGGTAGTACCTACAAGTTTTAAGTGCATATATATAAAAAAGGTGGCAAATTTAGAGAAAATTAGTTGTATTAATAAGTCTAAGTGCAAATTACCTTACATAATATTACAATAATAGTCCTCATAACTTTCAAATGCATATACCGATACAAATTAATGAGGGGTCTTTGGTTAATTGGCCTTTTCACACTTTCAGTAACCTTGAAGGTGGGTCAAGGTCAATCATCTTAATAAATTTGGTAACCCTTCACCCAATTATCAATAGCTTGGACCTTTTGGTTATCTAGAAGAAGTCGTTTGAAGGTTTTTACATGTTAGACCTCTATGACCTTGAGAGTAGGTCAAGGTCATTCATATGGACAAGTTTTAATGAAATACTATAGCCATTGGTTGTCCTGACACATTGGAGCAGATTACCTGAAAAGTAAGTGCATGACACACAGGACAGATGAATCAGAATTGCAACTGGTCACCATGAGTAAAAATTCATAAGAAATAATCAAACAAAATGGTACATGTAAAGCCAAAAAAACATATTTTTACTGACAGAGGTAGATATGTTTAATACAATATCGCATTTAGAATTTCAGTGATAAGACATTCTTTTGATTCCTCAGTCTTAGAAACAACACAATTTCACAACAAAATACTGAATTTTGTGACCTTGACCACTGACGTGGTGAGCCTGACTTTTTGCTACGTCTTCAAAATATCCTACCGATGAAGTGAAACAAAAGTTTGATCTCTGTAACCTTGACCTCTTGACCCTTGATTATGTAGTCAATTGACTTATAGCTTGATTCTGACCAACATTACTGTTTTATAAAATCTGTTATAAACCCTTTTTGATATTTTTATTTATTTATATACAGACAGGCAGATTGAAGGACAGGTGGTGAAAAAGTCATAAGGACATCTTGGCCTTGAAATGCTATGTATCAAATTTGGTCAAAATCAGTTCTCTCCTATTATTGGAATACCATTTAAATATCTCTATCAGCCCACCTGAGAAAAAAAACATTTTATCTAAACAGTCAAAATCTCTTACCATTCTGGACTTGAAGTCTATTTCAAAGAACAAGAAAGTTAAGTAAAGATAATAGTTGTTTGTCCTTGTTTTATCATTTCATCATGACTAAACAATTAAGCATGTACAATGTAGAGAAAGTACGGTAAATTAAATGTAGAGTGAATGCTAAACTTTAACATGGCACAATGAATTAACAAAGTCCAATTAAGAGTACACAGTAGGTGAAATTCAGAGTCTGAAATATGTCTTTTGATGATCATACATAGATACTAGTATATTCCAGGTTCGGTTTAGACAGCTTAATTATGTATATACTTTGAGAGATGGCAAACTCAAGCATGGTCCAGTTAAGAGTAAATCAGGTGAATTTGTAATGCATGTCAGTCACATATAGGTACAAACATATTCCACGTCTAGTTATGACAACTCAAGTACTTTGAGAGAAATAATGCTAAACTGCAAGCCAAACAATTAATCAACATAGGCCAATGAACCGTTAACTGCAAGGGAACAATCTGAAAAGTATGTTTGGATAGCATAAATAGAAATTAAGCTCAGTGTCAAGCTAAACACAGAAATTTTACAAGGAACTCTTAACAAAAAATAATCCATTTAATAGTATATGTTGAAATATTGATTGATAACATGTACTAAAATACTCTTATATAACTATCAAATAAGTTTGGTGATGATAGCACTTGTAATTCTATTGAACAATTTGGAGATTTTAACATCAATGTTGTCGCCTCCGCTGGAAAAGTAACCTATATGTCTGTTTAGCATGATACAAAAAATGACCATTAGATGACACAATGCTAATATGTAGCATGATCTCAATTCCTCATTCTAATAATATCTATATCAATTTCCTGATGTCACCTGATATTACCTTGATCACATTCAAAATGGGAACCTCTCTTATCAATGTTGACAACCAATTTAAGTGTCACATATAGCTGAAATACTAGTTCTACAGCATAATCACATCTTCTTTCAACAGAGGATCTTATATGTCATTGCAATAAGGGATCCATCCTAAATAATTAGACATTTATTTCAAAGCAATGTTTTATCAAAATGAATACAAATATGGAAATTGTAATAACTAATAAAAACATAATGGGGAATGAGTGCTGTATGTTTTAATATGCATACAAAGTTGCAACTGAGAAAAGAAATCTCTGGACAAGATTAAATGCTGACAAGTACAAAGGGCAGTAACTCTTTAAAATATTGTTGTAATAAAATGCTGTTAATAAAAACACAACCCTCTCTGATGGTTATGAAGCCTAGCAAGTTACAAAAAATTGTTTAAATGTTGAGGGAAGAAATGTTCAGACAAGATTAAAAATGGCAGTAGCTTTTGAAGACGTTGTTGAATAAATTTGCAGTTCATGAAAAAACAATTTCCTGTCTGAGTTATATGTTTTAAAGAAAATCAGTTGAAATAAATTGGTTAAAAACTGATAGAGAAAACCTCTCGACAAGATTAATAGTATGAAAGAAACGAAGGGCATTAACTCTTCCAAATACGGTTGATCAAACTGCTTTTCTGGAAAACATAACATCAGATCAAGGTGATTGATCCTACTAAGTTTGAACAGAATAAATTGAAAACTGTAAGGAGATCTCCAGACAATAAAAGTTTACAAAGGACAGACAACAAAATACCACAATGCATTCAGTTAAAATTTATGTAGCATAGCTGAATCGACTACAGTACATAGTTATCATCTTGTGAAATTTTTGGTCTTTAATCTGTTTACCATCTTGTAACAATATTTTCAACCTTTGTGTACATAAAATTATAGTATAGTTGAAAAAATTGGTACACTACCAATGTCAGTGCTAGTATGCTCCACACTGGTATTTTGTCTGATGAAAATGACTTGTGTATTCATTGAAATGTTGATGTCACACACTAATTTATAACTGGTTGTGTTATCAGAACTTCTATTCAGCTGTAAAAGTGAATATTTTTCACTAGACGTAATTATCAATGTTTAAGACAATTGGAACATCTTGCAGGACTGTTTGATTTTTCACCCTATTGGTGTGCAGAAATAAGATGTATAACAGAACAGGGTATATGATTCCACATTGTCTAGTGAATTTTTTTTTCTACAGGTTAGTAAAAATCATATTTTTTAAAGTTACTTTTTTCAGTTTTCAATTAAATTGGTACATTTCATTTTCCTTACTTCCCAGAAACGCTCCATCAAACAATACTTTGTTGGAGCTTAAAATCTATTAATACGATAAATACATTCTGTTGACATCATGAATACATAATTTTCACTAGAACTATATTTTGTGGTTGAAATACAATCGTAGAAAATTGCTTAAATCAGAACCATGCTAAAATATCAAGTTAACAGTAAAAGTGATGAAAGCTCTCTGCAAACAAATTTAATGGACACAAAGTTTCATCAAAGGGAAAGAACTCTATAATTAAGGAATTTCAGGCCCTAAATTGATACATTGTACATCTTTTTAGAATGGCCAATGTATACAACCGACAATTTCCATCATCCTAGTTTAAATGAAAGCCAAGTCATACTCTGGACTAGAAAATCTGGACAATCACATTGTAATTGCAGGGAAGAGGGCCCTGAATTTGGTACACTGCATATTAGTTTAGTATGACCAGTCTATACACCATATTTCATGATCCTTGCTCTAACTGTAGGCAAATTTATGCTCCAAGTAAGAAAGGACAGATGGAAAGAAGGACGGACAGATTGACAAAGTGGCAACCTTATAATCGCCTGAAAATTATCAGGAAACACAATATTATATCAATTTATCACTTCATATATGAGTGAGCAAAGTCATATTGCTATGTAGTCAATGTCTACATCAAAGAGATGTATAACCAGGTTATATAATTGCGACAGTAATAGGCCATATGACTTGTAAACATTGTATTTATTATATTGGAGTGATATGATGTTTAGATTTTACAAAATGACAGGTCTGACCTTGTTTCTTCTGAACTAATGCATGGATTGTTGCTGTGCCATTTTAAACTTTTCTCCAAATTCTCTATTTTCAGGATTTTGGAGAACACTTTGATAAAACTGAGCTGCTTCACATTTTAAATCTTCAATTTCTTTCTGTAATTTTCTATTCCTTTGTATAAGTTCTGCAGTTTTCAGTGTAATGTCCATTAAACCAGAGCCCTGAAGTGCATCTGCAGTCTTTTTATACCGTTTACGTCTCAGATTTGATGACTTTGAATTTGTGGAAGGCAGTGCAAATTCTTTGAAACCAGGGATATTGGTACTGACAGCTGTGGAGGATCCCAGCTTCTGCACTTTCTCTGGCCTACAGTAAAATTCTGAAACTGCCATGTCACTTTGAGTTTTGCCTTGTAAATTGTTATCACTAAACATGATCCCTGATGTGCCTGGTATTTCGTCTACTGGTCCTGTTTTTAACATTCTCTGCAAGTGTCCATCTCCACTGGCTAGAAATGCATTTGAACAGGCATTATCTTCTGGTGCAGCCTCTAGGCCACTGGTGTCTGGGATCAGGAGGTCAGCCAGATTGGTACCAGTGTACTCCCAGCATGAGGTACCATTGTTTTCTGTTATACTGTTATCTGGGTTAGGTCCAACGTCAATCTAAAACAGGAGAAAATTGTTGATAAATAACGATAATTTCAAATCATTAGTAATTAATGCATTTCAGCATATTATATGTCTGCGATGTTAAAAGTAAGTCCTGGTCATTCACTGTTACAAACTAAGCAGCCATTCATCACAGCATGCAAAACAATCAACATCAGTATCCGAAAACCTGAGAAGTCTTTTGAAGATTTTTCTACATTTGACCCTTGTGACCATCAAAATGGGTCAAGGTCAAACTTGGTAGCTCTTCATCCCAGTATTCTAAAGGCCCGATTTGCCTATAAGTTATTTAGGAGAAGCTGTTTGAAGTGAAAAGTTGATGCCAGAGGACAAATGGATGATGGATGCCTAGCTATGACACAGAGAAGAATAATTTAGAGGGATAAGAAATAAGGTCAAAAGGACACTGTTTTGTCTTTAGCTTTTGTAACTGTCCACTGAGTCATGAAGTCATTGGCCCCTTCTCCATCACAGTTATCTACTTCTTATGTACCTGTACCCTTTCTGTGACTGACCACAGCCACTTTGTCAGACAGTGAGAAATCAATCTCATTTTCATAACAACATTTATAATGATAATTACAGGCATGTTTCCCAAAACTTATGTGGGTCAATTGGAAAATCATTTAGCTTTTTTTGCCATCTATTTAAAGATGATTTTTTTCAGATTTTGGGCTGAATATTCAGCTGTGAATGACTTAAACATGCATCATTGTTATACAAATATCAAAAGTTAACAAATTATTTGTCAAAAATGTTATGTCTATTTGAAAATTACTAAGATTTCTACAACTTTTTAATTTGAAAAAGAAAAGGTTATGCACTTTTGGAGAAAAATGGTTTTTAAACTCAACAAAGCTAGTTAATGCAAATGTCTTTGCTATAGCATTACAAAGAGATATACAGAAGGCTGTTTCTTATCACTCTATTTTATTGTTCCTTACACGACATGAGCTAAAAACATATGACAGACGATTGACAGACAATGGATGCTGGACAATGGACATCCATTATTCCTTTCATTTTTAACTGATTCATCCCAAAATATCAAAGAACATATGCATTCCTTATGACAGGCTATTACTATAGAACACTGTTACTCTGGACAGGTATGTTTTGACTTTTTACTGGTGTGATGTTTCCTTGTCTCACAATACTGATGACAGGTGGATTCCCCTCTCTAGCCAATTATATTACAAAAACAATTCACTGAAGTCATGTCAACAATTCAATCACTTCAACGATTCTAAGCACTGGGTCAACAAAAACACATACTAGTACCTAATAAAACCAGCAGTGTAAGAGAAAAATTATCATTCCACCCCTTGTTGATGAGATAATCCGCAGGAAAGATGATCAAAGTTGCGAGAAATCAGCAAGCCTCTTGATTGACATCTTTATCATCTTTCCGTCTATTTCACCTCCAAAGACGTGAAAGTGGTGAAAGATTTTATTATTCTCAATCAGATTGCCCTAAATGTCTCATTTGTAGAAATAAAAAGTTGATTAATTAATTAAAATGTTCTTAAAGAAACCAATTAAAACAATATGGTCCTAAAAACTTCAGTAAGTTCAGTTTAAGTATGTACATGAGCAGGTGCTTCTACACACCTAACAAACTAGTTTACAAGCACACTAGCTACAGTATATGTTGGAATAATCAATAACATAGAGGGTGTCAGAGAAAAACACATACTGCTTCTGGTCATCAGCTCAACAACCAGAGCTACAAAATCTCGTACCTGTGTGGGTGGTGTTGTTGCAGACTTGACTGACACTGTGGGAGTGGATGAGCCTGCAAATAACAAAGCATATTGACTTTAATTGATGACTTGGTTGTTGAGAAGGAAATGATGCTTTATAAAGTGCCTTTTAATTCCTAAATGGTTCATCAAATTGACAATGAAATATAAATATAGATCCTGTGGCAGTGAGTTGAGACAGATAGCACTCCTTTCAACAGAACTGAATTGTCAATACATCACAGAGCTACTGTATACCACACACAAATGTATGTGTCAATCTACATTTTTTCATTCTACTTAAACTGAGAGTAGACTGTTTTAAATTACAGTATAACCAATTTAAAGTCATGATAAATATGACTTTATCCCTTTCTAATACAGCTTTATCACTCTTGAGGTAAAACCCATCAACTTTGATTCTAATACAGATTTTATCATTATAGAGTTTACCAGAAATCCATCAACTTCCTTTTTATACAGATTTTATCATTATAGAGTTTACCAGAAATCCATCAACTTCCTTTTTATACAGATTTTATCATTATAGAGTTTACCAGAAATCCATCAACTTCCTTTCTATACAGATTTTATCATTATAGAGTTTACCAGAAATCCATCAACTTCCTTTTTATACAGATTTTATCATTATAGAGTTTACCAGAAATCCATCAACTTCCTTTCTATACAGATTTTATCATTATAGAGTTTACCAGAAATCCATCAACTTCCTTTTTATACAGATTTTATCATTATAGAGTTTACCAGAAATCCATCAACTTCCTTTTTATACAGATTTTATCATTATAGAGTTTACCAGAAATCCATCAACTTCCTTTTTATACAGATTTTATCATTATAGAGTTTACCAGAAATCCATCAACTTCCTTTCTATACAGATCTTATCATTATAGAGTTTACCAGAAATCCATCAACTTCCTTTCTATACAGATTTTATCATTATAGAGTTTACCAGAAATCCATCAACTTCCTTTTTATACAGATTTTATCATGAAAGTTACGGGTCTGAACTGATATCAAACATGACTATTACAAACATGCTTAGATTTCATAGGTGTACCTTTCTACACCATATCCTATGCCACTTTGTAACACCGATTTTATCATTACCTGTTTGAACTAAAATCCTAAGTGACTATTTTTTTAAATTCTGTATGTTTTCCTGTCTAAACTGAAATTCATTGTGTTTATGTGTTATTGGTCATAACAGAAACATTAACATCACTCACAATTTCAGACTTTAAATTACAGAATAGTCTAGCTAATACTGTGTCAGGGCAGCATTTTTTCTATAATCACCTAAGCAAGATGCAGGTCACAAAGAAAAAGAATAATTTATGATCATTATGCAATGTATACTACAGATACTCACAGAGGGACTCAGAAACAATGTTGAGGGTTTGAGGATGAAACTGTGGCATATCCAGTTGTAAAGTTGGTGACACCTCAAACAATGACAGTGCTTGGTCCACTGGAGTGAACGTCTGCAAGTCAATCCCCTGCAGCATCTTTGTGACGACTGTCCCTTGATTCTGACTGCTGATAGAAGTACTTGTGCTGGTAACAGTATTGGTGGAGGCGTTTTTATGCTCTGTTGTCTGACAAAGCACCGGATGGCACACAGACTTTACTGTGGATGTAGTCTTACACAGGTCTTTTGCCACACTGAGTTTGAAAGCATTTTCAGTACCTATATGTTGTACATGTGTGTTGAGACCAGCCAATACAACCTGTTGACTACTGGACTGCACTTGTTGGATACCCAAATTTACCTGCTGTCCACTCGTTCTAACCTGCTGACCTTCCAAATCCACCTGTTGACTGGTTGACTGCTGAGAATCGCCATGTTTACCTTTAGTTTGCTGAGTGAGTTGACTTATCAGGCTGGCCAATTTGGCCTGATCTGTTCTGCCACTAGTGGTTCCAGTTATACTACGTGACTGGGTCACATACTTGAGTAGTTGCTGCAGCTGGCTGGAGTTGATCTTCCCTGATTTACACAACTGCTTAGCAGTGTTTATGACACTGGATAGTGGCTCTGTAATAAAGAGAATTTAAAGAATCAAGACAAAATGTAGATATTTAAGGAGAGCTCCGAATGTTAAATGACAATAATTTTGAATTTTTTTATACTGTTTGAGACTTGTGTGTAAATTTGAAATTGATGATGATCTGTTCGCCAATTCCACATTGGTAACCTGCTCTAGAAATAGTAAAACGAAATTCCAGCTCTAGAAATAGTGAAATGAAATTCCTGCTCTAGAAATTGTGAAACGAAATTCCAGCTCTAGAAATAGTGAAATGAAATTCCAGCTCTAGGAATAGTGAAATGAAATTCCAGCTCTAGAAATAGTGAAATGAAATTCCTGCTCTAGAAATTGTGAAATGAAATTCCAGCTCTAGGAATAGTGAAATGAAATTCCAGCTCTAGAAATAGTGAAATGAAATTCCAGCTCTAGGAATAGTGAAATGAAATTCCAGCTCTAGGAATAGTGAAATGAAATTCCAGCTCTAGAAATTGTGAAATGAAATTCCAGCTCTAGGAATAGTGAAATGAAATTCCTGCTCTAGAAATTGTGAAATGAAATTCCAGCTCTAGGAATAGTGAAATGAAATTCCAGCTCTAGAAATAGTGAAATGAAATTCCAGCTCTAGAAATTGTGAAATGAAATTCCAGCTCTAGGAATAGTGAAATGAAATTCCTGCTCTAGAAATTGTGAAATGAAATTCCAGCTCTAGGAATAGTGAAATGAAATTCCTGCTCTAGAAATTGTGAAATGAAATTCCAGCTCTAGGAATAGTGAAATGAAATTCCTGCTCTAGAAATTGTGAAATGAAATTCCAGCTCTAGGAATAGTGAAATGAAATTCCTGCTCTAGAAATTGTGAAATGAAATTCCAGCTCTAGGAATAGTGAAATGAAATTCCAGCTCTAGAAACAGTGAAATGAAATTCCAGCTCTAGGAATAGTGAAATGAAATTCCAGCTCTAGGAATAGTGAAATGAAATTCCAGCTCTAGGAATAGTGAAATGAAATTCCAGCTCTAGGAATAGTGAAATGAAATTCCAGCTCTAGAAATAGTGAAATGAAATTCCAGCTCTAGAAATTGTGAAATGAAATTCCAGCTCTAGGAATAGTGAAATGAAATTCCAGCTCTAGGAATAGTGAAATGAAATTCCAGCTCTAGAAATATTAAAATGAAATTCCAGCTCTAGGAATAGTGAAATGAAATTCCTGCTCTAGAAATTGTGAAATGAAATTCCAGCTCTAGGAATAGTGAAATGAAATTCCAGCTCTAGAAATAGTGAAATGAAATTCCAGCTCTAGGAATAGTGAAATGAAATTCCAGCTCTAGGAATAGTGAAATGAAATTCCTGCTCTAGAAATTGTGAAATGAAATTCCAGCTCTAGGAATAGTGAAATGAAATTCCTGCTCTAGAAATTGTGAAATGAAATTCCAGCTCTAGGAATAGTGAAATGAAATTCCAGCTCTAGGAATAGTGAAATGAAATTCCAGCTCTAGGAATAGTGAAATGAAATTCCAGCTCTAGGAATAGTGAAATGAAATTCCAGCTCTAGAAATTGTGAAATGAAATTCCAGCTCTAGGAATAGTGAAATGAAATTCCAGCTCTAGGAATAGTGAAATGAAATTCCAGCTCTAGAAATAGTGAAATGAAATTCCACCTCTAGAAATATTAAAATGAAATTCCACCTCTAGAAATAGTGAAATGAAAATGCAGTGAGGCTTTAGTTCGTCCGATCACAAAATCTAAATTGAAATACTTATTTTACAATTAACAACTTTAGAAGGAAGATTGTAATCACAGGTTAATTGGTAGATATTTAGCGAGATATGGCCTAGAGCACTCCCCTTAGGGGCCCTACAGGCGACAAGGGTTCAGAGGTATTGCTGTTGATGTACTCTCCAAACCATCTTGTCAGAAAATCTTGTCCCTCTGAAAAGATTTTGACCTATCCCCTAATGCTAAAGTTTGAAGCGAAAGAAGAAAGATGAAAAAATGTTAATTGAATGCTTTCATCCTATCTAAGTAAATGACACTGATATTGTCTATTAAATCTATAGATTTAATCTTTCTGCCAATCTAAATATAGGGTTGAACAGAACTTCTTTAAAATCTCTTCCATGTTGATGAATAAAACAAGTTGTAATCTAGTGGGAAAAATAAAAAGAGGTGGAGGAGTCCAACGTCCTGTGAGTGGTACTAGTAGGTAGATGTATCGGTAGAACCAATGTCCTGTGAATGGTACTGGTCGGTAGATGTATCGGTAGAACCAACGTCCCGTGAGTGGTACTAGTTGGTAGATGTATCGGTAGAACCAACGTCCCATGAGTGGTACTACCGTAAAAACCCATGTAATGTCCGCTCTTTTTTTCACCCAAAATCAATCCAAAAAAGGGGGTGCGGACATTACAGAGATATAGAGGAAATGACACTTTTTTCCTTCCGACAATTCATAACATATCTCCTTGAATTGTGTTCTTAAAAGCCAAGCATACCTGATATTATCGTTCTATGGTTTTTCGTATGATGTTTCCTCAACCAAACATGATTATTTATGATTATTTATTATAGTTTCCATGGTTAATTCCTTCCATTTTCTCGTTACAGGTTCGTATTGTGTCGTCCTTCGTAATAGGAAGCATTTTGTTTGACTTTGTTCTATCACATAGCCACTGGTAAAGATTTTTTTCTATTTCTTGGAACTTTGCAGGTGTACCACGATTAGCTTTCATGCCAGCCGGCATTACGATGAGGGTATCTTTCTTTCTTCTCCAGTTTCTGACGTTCTTGTCATCAGTATCATACTTTCGGGCAGCAGCTCTGTTACCAAACTTCTCAGCATACTCGACGATCTCTAACTTTTCTTTGGCAGTGTAAGAAGTGTAGCGTTTCCCCATGATTCAAATAAATAATCTTCTGTTGGGTACCCTCGGATAAATAAATTACGGACACCACAGAAGATTGTGATTGTGTACAGTTTTCCCGTATTATTTATGTACAATGTTAGCTTGGACGTGGGCGGGTCATGTTACTGTATAGTTATCGTTAATTGGCTAATCCCACGCTGTCACTCACTCACACTTGAGGTGAGGAGACGACCCAAGCTGATTATAACACTGCTGGGCTAACCCTTATCAAAACACCAATTATCGAAATGAGGACTTGTCATACCGGTAAGCTTACTGTACCATTATGGAGAATAACTGTTGTTATAAACAATTAAGTGAATTCTTGAATGGTACCTGTACGTTATACACAATGCGACATGCTCTCGGCCATTATGACATTAGCTTACGTGAAATGAAATCGGCAGCTTCAATTTGCATTTTTTGCCCGCAGACATTACACGGAAGGTGGGTTTTTTCCCCATATTTTTGTGTCAAAAAAGGGGTGCGGACATTACACAGATGCGGACATTACTTGGGTTTTTACGGTAGTTGGTAGATGTATCGGTAGAACCAATGTCCTGTGAGTGGTACTAGTCGGTAGATGTATAGGTAGGATCAACGTCCTGTGAGTGGAACTAGTCGGTAGATGTATAGGTAGGATCATCGTCCTGTGAGTGGTACTAGTTGGTAGATGTATCGGTAGAACCAACGTCCTGTGAGTGGTACTGGTTGGTAAGATGTATCGGTAGAACCAACGTCCTGTGAGTGGTACTAGTTGGTAGATGTATCGGTAGAACCAACGTCCTGTGAGTGGTACTAGTCGGTAGATGTATAGGTAGAACCAACATCCTGTGAGTGGTACTGGTTGGTAAGATGTATCGGTAGAACCAACGTCCTGTGAGTGGTACTAGTTGGTAGATGTATCGGTAGAATCAACGTCCTGTGAGTGGTACTAGTTGGTAGATGTATCGGTAGAATCAACGTCCTGTGAGTGGTACTAGTTGGTAGATGTATCGGTAGAAGAATCCTAGGCGGATCCGAAGGATTCTAGTAGAGCTCCATAGACAATAGGTAATAACAACTTAATACAGGTTGGAGCATCAACACCAAGGATTCCGTGATCGGTAGTTTTATTGGGTTTACATGTTTCGACTAGCTAGGCTAGCCGTCATCAGAACAACGGTACAAGTATTGGCATAGCTAAGGTTAAAATTATGGTTCAGTCGTGACGTAATAACGCATTGTCTTGATCACGTGATGATAACAATACAGATTGTTACGCTATACAAAGTGAAAGGAACAAAGCTTACTATAGATTATATACATACAAAAATGGTACAGCAATGCTGTGTTCAGTTTAGCCGTGTCATGCTCAGGTAAAGCACCTGTGACCTTGAAAGTTGGTCCTGGGCCTTTTGGTTATTGAGAAGAAGTCACCAAAACATTTTAACACATTTGAAACCTGTTACCTTGAAAGTAGGTCAATGTTATTTATATTAACAAAGTTGGTAGCCCTACATCCAAGCACGCTAAAGGACTAATATCATCATCCTGGGCCTTTTGGTTATTGAGAGGAAGTTGCTTCAGTATTTCAACAAATTCGATCCCTGTGACTTTTCAAGGATATAGGTCATTCCTATTAACTAAGGGTTAATCAACTTTCAGAATTTAAGAAATGATTCTTAACTCTCAATGATGTTTCAGACCAAATTTGGTTGAAATCAATTTAAGCAATAAGAAAGAGTAGCATTATGAAGCAAAATATTGACTACCTTTCCCATTTGGGGCTGTTTCCACCCACGAGTCCTTAGAAGTCTAATAAAAATTCTGAATTTAAGAAATGATTAACCCCTCACCAATGATGCATCAGACCAAATTTTATTGAAATCAATTCAGGTATGAAAGAGGAGTAGGCTTTTAAAGAAAAAGTTTACTCATGACGAACGATGCACAATGCATGTCACACAATGCACAATGCATGTGGCACAACGACAGGCGAAGCATGATGACTAAAGGTCATCTTGATCCTTCGGGTCAGATGACCTAAAAATTCACTCTCAACATGACTATCTGCATGTTCAGGAGAAGTGGTAATGATAACACCTCTAAGAATCCATCAAAAGTG